AGAGCCCAATTTCAATTTTCTTAAAATGAAGATGAAGAATCTGCAAGGGAGAGGGTTCATGAATACTCCCAACCTCACTGGGGACCCTCTCCCCCATGCTCAGGGCCCAAGTGCCTCTTTTAGTGTTCCTGGTTTTCTTCCTTCCCCAGATTTGTTGGACTTTGCCTGGGCCTTTTTCCTCCTCGCCAGCATCGCCAGCTTCTGCCTCTGCATTTTACTCATAAACATCGTCTTCTTCACCAGCTCCAACTTGCCCTTGCTGGACTTCTCCAATGTCATCATCAGCATCCTGGCAGGCACGGCACTGAGCTTTTTCCCTCTGGAACCGAGGCGAGAAGTACCTTGCCTAGCGCCCATCATAATATCCAATCCCCTCCCCCACCACATTCCAATCCCATCCCCATCCTCAGTTTCATCACCAATCCCAATCCTGTGTCCCTCCAAATCTCCAATCCATCCCCATAAAAAATATGAACTTCCAACACAACCCCATCTTTAGCCCCAATACCAGCTTCCACTTCGCCTCCCATCTCTATCACCAACAAATCTCAAACTCACCCATTTCCCCCTTGGGGATGCCCATCCCCATCCCAAACTGCATTCCAATTCTATCTACTTTTCAATCTCCAAACCATCCCCATCACCATCTCCAACCCCTTTCCAAATCTCAACACCCAATTCAACCCCATACCTAACCCTCCTCAACACTCGTTCCAAACTCAACCCAACCCTATCACCTGTGAACCTCATTTCAAACTCAACCACAACCCACCCCCAACCCCATCCTCCATCCTTATCACTTAAACTTTAACCTCTACCCAATTACCCATTTCCAGTTCCAACCCCATCCCAAATCCTGTCTCACCACCACCACCTTCTCTGATTGTGTTCAAGCTACTTAGTCTTTCTGAGCCAGTTTTCTCATCTGTAGGATGGAGATAAAATTTCCTACCACATGAAGGTGTAGTGAGGATTGAATTAGAAAATGTTGGTACTTGATGGTAGCTATTTAACTTTGCCCAAGTCCTTACCATGATAATTCTCCCACCTGACCCAAATAACTCAAAGTTGATACTCTGATTAGAATAGTCTAGTTTAAAAAGAAGAAAGAAGGGGGAGGAGGAGGAGGAGGAGGGTCTAGTTTTCCATTTGCATGCCATACACTTTTTAGAAAAGGAGGTGGGGCAGCATTTTAATTTGGAAATGAAGGATATTATGTTCCTGTCATTTGTAGTAATTGACTACAACTTTTATTTGTATCAGGAAAACATTCTTGGAGAGTGATAGCAAAGCCAAGAATAGGAAACACTCAACTTCCTGTTTCCTTGTGTGCAAAAAGTATTTATCCAATTTGTCTGGTAGCTCTTCCCAATTGTTGAAATATAAGGTACAAAGGGTAGAAAACACCTCAGTTTTATGTCATCTAATATAAGACATTTTTCTACAAAAAAAAAAAAAACATTTCTGCCCATTCCTTTTAATTAAATGGAAAACACCTCCTATATTATCTTTCAATACATAAATTTAAAAATTACCCAGGACTTCAGTACCCAAAATTTTTTTTTAAAGATTTTATTTATTTATTCATGAGAGATAGAGAGAGAGAGGCAGAGGCAGAGGGAGAAGCAGGCTCCCCGCAGAGCAGGGAGCCCGATGCGGGACTCGATCCCAGGACCCTGGGATCATGACCTGAGCCGAAGGCAGACGCCTAACCGACTGAGCCACCCAGGCGTCCCAGTACCCAAAATTTTAAAAGTTGAAATATCCAGAATGAGTGGGTTTCTTGTTCCCTTCGTCAGAGAAGCCCAAAATTAAAGACCCAATACAATGATCACAATCAAGCTCAATTCTGGGCTCACTGTGTGTCAGGAAATGTGCCAATCTCAACAACTCCTCATGATAGCCCAAGGAGATGAGTTCTATGATTACATGCACTTTACAGAGGAGGGAAATGAGGCTCAGAGAGATGGAGTGGTTGCCCTAAGGTGGGAGGGAGAGGCAGGACAAGAGCTCTGGTCTGTTGGCCCCAAAGCTTATGGTTTTGGACACCACCATGGCCTGGTTAAAGACTAAGACTTGTGCTTCCAATGTGCTCTACCATGACATTGGGAAGGAACTTCCTTTCCCACCTGTGCACAGAGGTACAGGGAGGCGACAGAAAGAGGGAGAATACTGAGCAAGGGGTAGGCAGCCACACAACTATGGGCAGGGGTCTGCACACACCTGATGCTCAGCTTCCTAACACCTGTACTCATGCAGGGACCAGCATCATCTTGGGTATCCTGTTCTACCTGATGCAGGCCAGTGGGTACCTGCAGGAAGGCATGACCTACAGGCTGGGGAACAGCTTCTACCTGGCATGGATCGGTGTCTTTCTCTTCCTGATGACTGGTCTGGGCTTGGGTGGGGTTTGGTTTGGGCATGGGTTTTCAGGAAGACAGACAGGGACTGAGTGGGATAGAGTTTGGGATGGGGATGGGTTGTGGACAGGCCTAGATAAGATGGGATAGCGGTGGGAAACAAGACTGGGGAGATGAGGGTGGGGATGGGTGGGCATAGGGCTGGATGTGGGGATGGGGTTGGGTTTGGGTTTGGAAATGGATTGGGGACAGCGTAGGGGTGTGATTGGGCTTGGGGAGGGAATTGGGATCAGGGGTGAGCTGTGAACTCTGCTTCTCACTCCCTCTGCTCTCTTCCTTCTCCAGGTTTCTTTTCCTATCTGAACTACATGAATTTCTGGTCCATCCTGGCACTCCAAGCCATCTGGACTTAGGACATGGGAATGACTCCAACTCTCCAGGCCTGTTCCCATGGTTCCCTGCCAAGTACCTGACAACCCTGCTCTCTAGTTGAGAGTCTTGCCCTTTTCAGTCCCCTCTGAATCCCCCCACTCAGATTAATAATTAGTATATTTAAATAATCTGTATTTTTTGCCCAGAATATTCTCTTAGCTCAGTACGTTGTTAAGGGTTCTGTGGAAATGCCATCTCTCCATGCGCCCATCCCTTGGGCCCTCTGGGGTAGAGGGATAGGTAAGGGAAGGAACTCAGGAGAAAGAGATGAAAGGCACAAGGTCAACAAAGGGACTGAGCCAGCGGTTCCTGGCATACATACAGATGGTGCCAATCAATATTTGTTGAGTAGCTGAGTCTCTCCAGGCCCTCAAGCCTTTATCTTTTACTTTCATGACCCCCAATAATGTGCCCCTTCTGAGGCAAATTCTCCCTGCACCTACACTTCGCCTCCTGCCTTTACCAGCAACCCTTATCACCACTTCCTCTTCTCCCCTAACCGTCCCCCGACACAGGACTGTTCTTTTCAAAAATTATCTGTTTATTTCTCTACCTATCTTTAAGGCTGTTCGATGTAGCATATTTTTGCTATCAGCGTCATTTGCTGAGCAGGGCAGGGTTGAAACTCAAGTACAAATTTTATCTCCTTGCCTGGATCCCCCTGCAGGGTCTTGACCTGGGGGTCCCCTCTACCTCCCTCTTGCACAGTGGTTAGGCTGGAAGGGTTGAGTCTCGGCTCTGCCACTTTATTGGCTCTGTGACCTGTGTCCAGGTGTTGAACTATCGGGTCTGTTTCCTCATCTGTAAAATGGGGGCAATGATAGTACTTCAACCTAGATGGAGTTTAACGTAACACCTAGTCCATAGTTTGTGCTCTTTAAGGGTTGCTAAAATAATCCTGCCCCTTCTCCCCCACAAAAGGTTCTCAAATTTCTTCTTCATCTTTAATGAAAATTGAGCTGCAACTATGTGGCAGACACTAGATGGATAGCAGTGATCAAACTAGACACAAATCCTTGTTTTTATGGCTTGACATTTTGGCAGCGGGGCAAAAATATATGCCCACAAACAAAGAGATATGTTAGGGATAAATGCTATGAGGAAAAATAAAGGAGGGGAAGAGAGACGGGTCTGGGAAGGAGTGGGGGCTCCCTGCCAAGGTGACATCTGAGCAGACACATGACTGAAGAGAGGGGAGCCATGGGGAGAGATTGGGGGACAGGATTCCTGGCAGAGGGAACAGCAAGTGCAAAGGTCCTGAGGTACAAATGTCCTTCCTTGGCAGGTTCCAAGAAGACTAGGGAAGCCAAAGTGCTAATGCAGCCTGAGCAAGGGAGAGGGGGGCAGGGGCAGAGTGGGAACAGGGGCCAGGTCACTCTGGGCTTTGTGGGCCACGGTGAAGGCTTTGTTTTACTCTGAGTGAGGCAAAAGCCAGTGAAGGAAATGTCTCATTTTCTTTTTAACAGAAGGGTATAGGTCTCTTACTTCAGACCATAAGCTTCATGGGAGGCATCTCCTCACTAGAAGTAAGAAAACAATCCAAATGACAAGGGAGACCAGCTAAACAATGTGTGTTCCACTCACACAAGAGAATACTTTGCCACTGTTTAAGGAATGAAGTCACTCTGTACGTACTGATGGAGGGGAAGACTATTTATGGGACAAAGTGGGGGGGGGGCGGAGCATACGTGTATGCGTGTGTATAGCCATAAAGTAAAAAGTCTACACCACATCGACAGTGGCGACTCTGGTGAGTGGGTCTGAAGTGGAGAAGTTTCACTTTTTATCTTCGGGAAAAAAAAAGTTTACAATCATGTCAGTTGAAAGACACTCCTTAGAGCTCTGACCCTACCAAGAATCCAAGCCCCCAGGTCTTAGACCATCTAAACTGGGAGGGGGGGTGAGGGCAGGAGATCCAGCCCTCGCTCAGCCCAGGAGTCCTGGCCCCCAGCCCCCTCCTCCCTTAGATCCAGAAGGCCAGCCTTCCAGCCCCGCCGTCCAGGCACCGACCCCTCCTCTCGCTGCTCGGGACCGGCCTCTCATTCTGCGCCACGCGAGCACCGCTCCAGAACGCCCCCTGTCAATCTCCGCGCTGGCCCCGCCCCCACCCTGCCCCTGGACTCCGTCTGGCTCGGCCCCGCCCCTAGCCCCACCCTCTCGCCGCTGCCGCGCTGGCAATTCCACTTGCCTCCGGTCTGGCTCCGTCCTCATTCGGGGTCCTGCCCCTTTTCAGCCCGCCTTTGGTGCTGTCCTCAGAATAGCCTGACGCCCATGACAGGACAACGGGGCCCGATATCCCACTGCTCCTTTTATCCGACCCCAGCGACAACATCCTGTGGTCCGTTCAGGAAGATTTTAGCGAGAACAGGCATTGTTCGCTTCCCCAAGCGCCAAAGTTGGGTTCCCGACACCGGCGCGCGTGCTGGGGGCCTCGGGGCGGAGCCCGGGCCGGCGCGTGCGGCGGGGTCCTGCGAGCGGCGCGCACTATAAAGCGGGACGCGGGGCCACCCGCGCACGCCGTGGAGAGCGTGAGGGCCGGGTGAGCTCTTCTCGGCTTTTTGGCACCGTTGCGTTCGCGCGGCTGGGCGTTGGGATCCGGGTCGCTCTTGTCATGAGGTGCCCCGGGGCTGCGGCGGGGCGGCCAGGTCGTCGCGTGGACGGGGTCAGGGCCCTTGTGAGACCCCGGCGTGCTCTCCGACGCGGGGCGGGCGCCCTTTGGAAAGGGGGCTCGGGCTGGGGAGGACTCCCGCCGCCGGAGCGAAGGAGGGCTTCCAGAGCTAGCGCGCCTTTGCACCGCAGGCCGGCTGCGCCATCTCTGCTTCCCACGTCGCAGGCCTCCGCCATCTTGTCCATTTTTCTTGGGGGGCTGGGGGGGGGGCTGTCTTTGTGGAGAGCGCGTGTGACACTGAGTTTTTCTTTCTGAGGTTTCCCACTCCCGTGCTGGCTACACGTGTCTTCCTTAGGCAGTCGCTGTTGTTTTTCGATTGCACGTGGCTGGCATTTTGCACAACCTAGAACAAAGGTTATGGGGGGGGCGGATATAGGCAGGATCTCGGGGCTTTCTAGGGAATGAGGGGGAGTGGAGTCTCGAAATGAATTCCTGGGTTGTTTCTGAGAACCACGTGGGTGTTCTTTTAGATGAAAGCAGATGGGGCCTTTGTTTACCCTCAGGAATCCTTCTGATACGGTCCCTGCAGATGTCAGAGTTTTGTGTTCATTCCATGCATCAGGTTTTTTTTTTTAAGATTTTATTTATTTTTTAGAGAGCGAGCGAGAGAGAAACAGCATGAGAGGGGCAAGGGTCAGAGGGAGAAGCAGGCTCCCCGCTGAGCCGGGAGCCCGATGCGGGGCTCGATCCCAGGACCCTGGGATCATGACCTGAGCCGAAGGCAGATGCTTAACCATCTGAGCCACCCAGGCGCCCTCCATGCATCAGTTTTGTGAAACGTTACTTCTGGGCTAATTGGTCCTTGGGGTCTTGGACATCCATCCGTTTCCTGATTGCCGCGGAGACCCAGCCCCGGGGCAGCTGGCTGATTTTCTTTCTGCCCACCACGACCCAGCAAGAATCCCCTCTCGCTGAATTTCTTCTCCCTTCCGGCAGCCCCCTGGGAAATCTTTGATCCTAACTGTGGCCGTGTCACGAGAGGGGGGATTTTTCTCCTCCATTCATCCCTGGCGCGCCCTCTGTCGCTATGTCCGATGTGTTCCTTTCACTTTTTATCATTAAAATCCTCAGGTGTGCTGGGAACTCGACAGAAGTTTAAGTTGTAACATTTTGCCATGGTTGCTTTCTTTGTGCTTCCTGTTTTGAAGGCATGTTTTTAATTTCATCGAAAATAGCTAACACTTCATTGTATTTGTGGTTCCGGAGTCCTCTCCAAAATGTCTTGCTCAGCTGATTTACTCCAAAATGGTGCAGTAAAGGCTCTCTGGTCATTGCATATGCTGCTTATATCTTAGGGGTTTTTTTTCTAGACTAGCTCCCTCCTTTTATCTGCCAGTAGGTTCTTCCAAGGGATAGATGTCTCATGAGAGACATCACTGGGGGGCTTTCATACCTTCCTGGTGGGTTTTGTGTTTCCCAGTCTCTTAAGTGCAGTTAATTTGGCCTCTGTTCCTGAAGGTGAGTGGCCTTGGGATCTGGTTGCAGTGGGGACCAGGGCTCCCATGATGTCCAGCACTGGGCTCCGATCACCCCTGAGGATGCAGTGCCCCCCAGGACCTTTGACACCTGGGGATCTGAGAGGCCCTGGTTTTGATGTGTCTGGATCCGCCCCCCCCCCACCAGACTGTTTTCTTTCTCCACCCTCACCACGTCCTTCCTGTGTTACAGGTGTATCTTCAAGCTGAGGGACCACTTACTATGACCCCATATTGGTGAGAACCCTTGCTTCCACTCCCTGACCCACACGCTTCCCCCCCGTCTAAAATACCTTCATTTGGGGTGACTTGACATCGGATATCTCTGGTGTGCCAACGTCTGTGGGGGGATGTACATGCAATTCCCTTTTCATTTATAGCAGTGGGAATGTAGCCAGAATGGGCCTGGGTCCAAATCCCAGCTCTGCTGTTCATGGGCTTGGAGAACTAGACAAGTGATTGGTCTCCTGAGCCTCAGTTTCTAAATCTGTAGAGTAGGCACAACACATTAGGAGCATATGGGCCTGAATCCTCTGCACAGTTGGGGACCGGGTGGGGGCAGCAGTGATGTTTCCCATCTTCAAACGTAAGGGTTGAATTAGATGGAGAATACATAGATTGTGGAAGAAAAACGTGTATTTGGGTTTCAAGGAAAAGGACTAATCAGAAGTCTAATTTCCAAAGTCAGCAGAACAAAAGAAACAAGCTGGCAACATTTATCACTGTTAACACTGAGGGTTTTATAGATTGAATACCTGATACTTTTAAGCAGAGCTTAGCTTCCCAAGAATCCTGTATATATAAACTGATGCAGTTATTAAAGTTACCCTTGATTTACACAGTAACCATTGTTTAAAGGGACCGTTTATCTGGGGAATGTTGCACAAGTGTTTCAAAGAGCTAAATCAAAATGGGCGTAGAGACCTGTTACCTGAAAAGAAACAAGTGTTCTCTGCTCTAGGAGGCTTTTTTCTGTTGGGAACAGAACTGCAAGTGTATTCTCTGGCGTCCTTGGAGGTTTCAGCTCTTGCTGACGACACTTTAGGGAGGAGAAGCTACTTTCCGTGATGAGTGAGCTCAGATTTCAGATCATGAGTGTCGTAGGATGGGCGCACTTCGCCTGAGGTGTCCCCCTGCAGAGCTCTGACCGTTCGTGCTGCTGAGAGGGAGTTTCTGGGAAAATGGAATAGGAAGTGTCCATTTGTTCGGCAAGGACAGGTGAGGGGAGACGAGAGCAGAACTGGAGGCTTTGGAAGATGCGAGGTGTGGGCAGAGCAGACATGGGGGTGTTTTCAGGAGGGTGCTCCTTGGATCTGAGCAGAGGAGGGAGGCTCCCTTCCCCTCACGGGTCTGTCAGGCAAATCTCTTCCATTTTCCAGGAGGAGAAACAGCCCCGGGGTTGGGGGAGGGGGGCTGAAGTCAGTTGCTGCGGATCATACAAGTGACACCCATGGATGAGCCACAGTGGGGGGTGGGCAAGGGGAGATGAGGTCGGGGGGGTATGGCATCAAAAGGCACCTGATGGGGGCTTGCTCCTTGGCATCCCAATGGCCAGGTATTGGTCATTTGTCCTACCTGGATGAGCTCTTGTCTGTCAGCCCCCTTAGGACTGGAGGCAGGTGGCTCTGGGACCTGAGTGAGGAGGTGGACAAGGGCACCGGGGGCCCCCATGATGCCCAGCACTGGGCTCTGACCTCCCTTGAGGACACAGTGCCCCCCCAGGACCTTTGACACCCGGGGGGTCTGAGGGGCCCCCCACTCTGGGGAGGGAGGGGTGGAGGGCCGTGGTTGCCCTGGGCCCCGCTGACCTGCTCTTAACCTCTCTGACCCCTTCTCGTCTGCAGGTGGTTCCTCCAGGAGTCAAACAGCCCCACCATCCGTGTGCTTGGTAAGAACAGAAGAGGGTCTCTTATTATTAATACCATAATGGTAATAAATTTGTCATTTTATGGTAATAACATAAAAGCAAATCCTGAGCATTTACTTGGAGCTGGTCTAGTGCTAAGCATTAGATTCACTTACTCTTCACAGTATCCCTGTGAAGTGTGAGGAGTGGCAAGGGGAGGTGGTTACGAGAGAGGTTGCTGTGATGCTGTCAGGGCTTTTGAAGGGGCTGTGCTTGGGACCCCCATGATGTCCAGCACTGGGCTCTGACCTCCCCTGAGGACACAGTGCCCCCCGGGACCTTTGACACCTGGGGATCTGAGGGGTCCCACTCTGGGGAGGTGCTGGAGGGTGTGGCTATTTTCCCACCTGATGGCCTCTGTCCTCCCCTGAAGGTCCTGAGCCAGCGCCCCTCTGGCTTCCTACCGTTCTCTGCAGGGGACAGCTGTGACCATGGCCGAGAGAGCACTGGCGCCCACGCAGATGGGGCGGGGGGACCGGTACTACACGTACACCGAGCTCCTGGCCATCTCGCGGCGCTTCAAGCAGAACCCCAATGAGCTCATGATCACCTGGATCCTGCGTGTCTATGACCAGGGCGGGCCAGCCCTGTCCCTGAATTCTGGAGAGCTGGCCCTGCTGGGCGACCTGACCAGCGATGCCATCTTCAACTACCGCTGTAAGACCCTGCGGGGCAGCTACAAGGCCCTGCTCACCTGGCTGCTGCTGGCCTGGCGCCGGCGCTGGGAGTCCTTCCTGCACTTCGAGGCCACCGAGCTGCCCTTCCGCCCCTGGACCACCATGGAGGAGGGCATCCAGCTGGTGCGCGAGCTGGGCATGCTGGACTGGATCTACCGCGAGCCGCCCTCCCCTCCTGCAGGAGAGCAGGGGCTGAGGCCCGCGCCCGAGGACGTGCCCTTCACGCAGGGCCTCCAGCGGCGCCTGCTGACGGCCGCACCCTCGGAGCTGCGGCTCTCACTCGTCAGCCTGCTGGTCAAGGGCATGACGGTGCTGGAGGCGGTGATGGAGATCCAGACCATCGCCGACGTGGGCCTGCTCTGGCGCCAGAGCCAGCCGGGCCGCGCCAAGCTCATGTTGGGGCCCAACCCGACGCGCAAAGACCTCATGGGCTGGCTGCTGAGCCATGGCGTGCCCAAGGAGCGGGTGGACAAGCAGCCCACCAAGGTCCTCCTCGAGCTGTACATCAAAGAGGCCAAGCGCAGCCGCAGCCACCCCGCCTACGTGCTGGGGGAGGAGCAGCCCCCGCCTCCCCCCTACTCAGACCAGGCCTGTGGGGAGGAGCCGCCCGTGCGGCACGACTAGGCCTCCTGGGCTTGGCCTGCTAGATGGTACTCGGTGGCGGAGGGAGGCTGGATTCCGGGGGAGACAGAGTCATAGCCAGTGTCCCCTGAGCGTGCGCCCCCCGGCGTGGACTGAGAGATGGCCTGTCTGCCTGTTCTCCCGCCTCCCAAGGGCAGGCTGCCCTGTTACTGCATTTGAGGTTCCCAGGAGAGAGGGCTGTCCTTGCCCCCAGCCACCCCACAGGTGTCCCCAGCCAGTGGTGGAGGAAGGCGAGCCCGCCTGTAGCCCTGGGTGCCTTGTTCTCCCTGGGGCACAGCCTGTTCCTTTTTAGTCTGTTACATTTCAGTCCGATTGGCACAGTGGGTGGGCACCCACCCCTCGGCCACATGGGCCCCCAAAGCACTACAGGCCAGGTGGGGAGACCCCACAGCCCATGATACGAAAGCACCTTGAAGTTTGTACCCTTTTTCTTGAGGTATTTTTAAATGCAATGTTTTTACCTGATAATTTAAGTATATGCAACACTTCGGTTTTAGGGACGCTCCTTTCTCTTGGAATGGTTTTTCCCTTAAGACTTTTTTTATTTTTATTTTATTATTACTATTTTGCAATTCCTTCCCGTTTTAAAGTGGCCTTCTGCTGCTTGCTCACCGGGAGCCAGTCCCATCTGATTTCTCTCGGTGGATGTGTGACCTCTGGCCAGTGTCTGTCACATCTGGATTAAAGGTGGTGGGGCCAAGAATCACAGCTTCGTGAGGACAGACAACTACCCTGGCAGGCCGCACTAGGCACGTGGGACTCATTAAATAACGTGAGCATTGCTGTGTGTGGACTGTGGTGTCTGACGGGTCGTGGTGTGGTCCTGGTGTGAATCCAGAACCCTCCTGGGGTAAGGGTGAGGATCATGGGCCATGGCCCCAGGGAGGTCTCCCATCTCCTTGGGCTATCCTAGTATGCTGAGAAGGCTGGGCTCCTGTTGGGGCCACTCAAAACAGGGTAGGGGAACCTGCTAGAACTTTGGGTCTGAATCTCTAAGCAAGAAGATGCTTCTCCCCCCCCCACCCCACCCCCAAGTGCATGACACTTTTTGAGGCCCTGTGATGGCTCCATACCTCCAGGGACGATGATGGGCAGGGGGGTGTGCAAGTTCTGAGAGCCCGGTCCCCACCCAGGGATGGGCATGGAGGAGGGAGGTCCCAAGCTTCTCTGAGCTGTGCAGACAGGGCTGCTGGCCCCTGTGCGAGGGCCCTGGCACCTCCCTCCCCGCAGGTGGAAGTCTGGGGATCTGGTGGCTAGGAGTAGCTTCTGTCAGTCTGGTGGCCTCCCCCGATCGTAGTGCTGTGCGGTACATGCAGCTGGAGACCTAGGCATGACTGTCAGTGCCCCAGGTTTGGGCCATTCAGTGCTTGGTATGTGGTGGGGAGGTGGCACCTCCCCTCCTGGGATGAGCAGTTAAGTGCAGGGACAGCACGAACAGAGCCTGCTGTTTCTCTCAGCAGGTGTGCAGTGGCTTTTCTTAGTCTTCAGCGCTGCGCGAGCTGTGCTCTTGGTGACGGGGGCCCCATCTACCGTCCGAGCAGCGCGCCAGCCGCCAGCCGCCAGCCGTGCGTGACCAGAGCCCTTGAACTGCGGCCAGTGCAGCTGGGACCTCAGTTCTCCACTTGCCTTCGTTTAAGTGGCCGCGTGGCAGCCGGCGGGTGCTGCCGCAGGCCACCGCCAAGCGGCCGGAGCCTGTGCGGTGCTGGGAGCCCTGAGCCGTATTCCCAGCGCTGCCGGCGTCCGGGAGCCTCGAGGCAAGGGTGGTGGGGTCTGCCAGACGCGGTGGGGCCCAGAGGCCGGTCGCTCGGAGCCCGCCTCCGGCTTTGCCGTGGCTCGGGACCCGGCCCTCGCCGAGCGCTGTCCCTGTGCACGCGGGCCTGACCCACCCCACCGCAGCCGGAGGATGGAGAAAAAGGTGACGCCGGGCTGCGGCACTGAGAGCCTGCGAGGGTCCCGGAGCCGGGTCTCCACGGGGCGTGTGACCCGCGGAGGGGCTCCCTGAGCTGGTGTGCGCGCCACGTGGCTGTGCCCACGGACGCATGTCCCCACGGGCACTGACGTGCCATGTGCCCCCGTGCGTGAGTACACAGCACCCGCACGGACCGGCGTGCACGTGCGTGCACGGAGATGGGTCAGGTGGGTGCGTGCACCCGTGTGCACAGAACCCAGGAAGCACGCGTGTATGCACACGCGTGCCACGTACGTGTACGCAAGCCGCCCTTAACGCATGCCCATGTGCACACGGATGCCGACCCGCAGGAGCGCGCACGACTGCCTGCGGCTTCCCGGCCAGGGAGCGCCCCCTCGGTTCCCCAGAACGGGCGCACGCAGTAAGTCAACGGAAGCCAAAGCAGCGGGGGGAGCAGTCGTGTTGGGACGCAGTGCCAGCTGTGGGGGAGGGGTGCCCGGGCTCCCAGCTCACACGGGGCCCCCCCAGGCCCGCAGGCAGCTGGGTCTCCAGGCCAGCAGGCCCAGCCCCGTGCTGAGCACCCCCAGCACTACCACGGCCCCGGCCAGCAGGGGCACCACAGTGGCTGCGGGGAGAACACGGGAGTGTGAGTCTCGGGACCAGCGCCCCCCCACACTCCCACCCCAGTGCCAGTGGCCGTCACCTGCAGGGGTGGCAGGCTCAGGGGGGCCGTGGCAGGGGACCCCGTGAGCCGGAGGCCGGGCCGGGGCGGTGAGCTGGCGGAAGCGGCCTAGCGGGCAGGCGCCTGGGCACCCAGGAAGGCTGAGGGGCAGGGGCAGGCCGGTGGAGTCGTTGCGGTAGAAAAGGGAGATGGTGACGTTCCTGGAGGAAGACAGGAGGTGGTGGCACCCGGGCCCCTCCTCAGCTCCCCCGCCACTGACTTAAATCTGGAGAGGAGTAGCCGAATGGAGACACTGGGCTCCTGAGTCCTACCTGTCACCCTCCTCGCGCCATCCCACACAAATTCCCCTCCACCTGGAATCCCATCTCTCTTCTTGAGACCATTCCGTCCTGCCCATCCCCGGGTGCCACCCCCTCCTTACCCTGCATCTTCGTCCGGGTCCCCGAGGCGCCTCCGGAATTCAAAGCCGAGGCAGGCAGCATACGGTGGGGTGTGCCCATCATAGAGACCCAGGGCTCCCTGGAGGGCCAGCAGGGTGCTGTCGTGCTGCAGGTGGGTCCCAGGGCTGAGACACGGCTCCTCTCTCGATGGCTCCTCTCTCCTGAACTCTAGATTTGTACATCTGGCTTCCTCCCAGATGTCTCCCAGATCTCTTAGAACTAACCGCCCCCCCAAATCGGCTCATCCTGGAGGCAGTTCCACCAGTTACAGGGGATCCTTTAATGAACATTGGTCAAATAGATGCAAAAATATGATCGGGCAGCTCAGTTAAACAGCTTGTCCTTCCAGAAGAGCTAAATTCTCTTGTAACACCATCCCCTCCCTCCTTCCAGACTGCGTACCTCTAGTGATATGGTCTGAGAGTATGGTTTGGAGATATGAATTACCCAGGGCAGTGGGCTGAAGTTCCATTGAGACCACCCACCAGCTCTTCCTCACCCGCATCGCCATCTGCCATCCCCCTCATCCCTGTGCCCACGTGGCACTGCCTCCCTTCCCAAAGACTCACAGCTGAGTACATAACCATCTTGAGGGGCAGCCCCAGGCGCTGGACCCGAGAGAAGTTGGCAAGGATGGCATCCAGCAGGATCCCTGACAGGGCAAGAACAGAGTGCTGAGAATCCCCCAGAGGAAGGTGCTTTGGCCACCCCGCCTCCCAGCCCCACACCTCACCCCCTGTCAGCTGGGCCTTCTCGGCTGCCCGGGGTGGACCCACGTGGGCCCCAATATCCAAAGCTGAGATCTGGGCTAGTGTCCGTAGGACATTCGGGGAGGCCCAGGATGGGAGGGGAAGACCATGGGCTTGCTGGAGAGAGACAGGGAGAGAAGACAAAGTGACTGGGATATCCTGAGCTCGCCACGTCCCCTCAGGCCTTCCCAGTGCCTGTGCTATCCCCCTGAGCTGCAGTCCTCTCTCCCACCCCTCTTCCGAACCCCTCATGGGCTGGGTCTTGTCCGGAAGTCATGGCCAATAGCAATCATTAATTAATAATAATGACCATCACCCCACAACCCAGGAGCCCTCACGCACAGAGCCAGAGGTGTTTCAAACTTCAGACGTTTTGGAATCTAGAAGGTTCCCGTGGTGGCAATACCATCTCCCTCAGAACACATCCAGTGGGGGCTGGGCAACCCTCTTAATCCCACACACTGCTATTCCCACCGTGCAACTAGGATAATTCTCATGGAATGGGGTAAGCAAAGACTATCTATCTGAAGAGCATCACGCCGGTTCAGGTCAGCTCCGGCTCCTCAATTTTTGGGTTTGGGACCTTTTCCCACAGGAGGAATGACAAACACGTAGCCTCAAGCCTTCCTGCAGACTTCACTGTGTGCCAGGCACTGTTCTAAGCACATCGCGTGGATTAACCCATTTTGATCTTCACAGAAACCCCAAAGGGTGTTGGTATGGGTTTTGCTATCCCCACTGTGCAGATGGGCAAACTGAGGCACCAAGGGTTAAGTGACTTGCCTGAGGGAACACAGGTAGTGAGCAGCAAAGCTGGGGTTTGAATCCAGGTTCCCTTAATCACTGGGTTGGGTGGGTGGGGCGGGGGCTCACCTGGCACATCAGCGTGTCTAGAACCTTCCACGCCCTGCGGAGCGGCTCTCCGACCAACGACAGCCCCGTGTAGTTCTCCAGGTGAGTCAGGAAGTCCTGGATGCACCGGGGCTGGGTGAGTCTGATGGGCCTCCTCACCCCTCCCTGCCCCCCACGCCCCCCCCCACGCCCTTCCGCGGGCCGCCCCGGCGGCCCCGCTCACTGTCCAGCCCTCCAGCGCAGTCTGGTACTCGGCAGCCTCGGTGGCCTCTCGCAGCAGCTCATGGTATCGGGGACAGCTGCGCGTGGGGAACCTCAGCAGCTGGGAGGAACAGGCTCAGAGAGGACCGCGCGACTGGGACCCCAGGGTCACAGTGCGGGGAGCTGGGGCTGTGGAGCCCTCGTCCAGATCTCTCTCTTCAAAGTATGTGGTCCCTCCCAAATCTGGCTGCACAGCACGGCGATGGCGGCTCACCCAAGCCGGACAGCTCTGACGCAGGGACCGGCTCTCGTCTCCCAGCCGGCATAGGCTGCCGGGGCCCGCACAGCCTCTCCCAGCCACTGGCTCCCTCCACCTAGGGGTCTCGGTCTCTCTCCATCCCTCTCCCAGCCTCTCCCAGCCACTGGCTCCCTCCACCTAGGGGTCTCGGTCTCTCTCCATCCCTCCCACCCCCTGCTTCTCTCCAGCCTCCTGACCTTGTCCTCGGTGACGGGCACCGTGTGCACAGGGATGGGCCTCCAGGCAGCCTCTGGGCGCCCCGGGGCAGCCTCGGGGAACAGCCCTGCGAGGTTGGCCTGAGCGCTCTCCAGCGTGCGGTCAAAGTCAGTGCTTCGAACATAAACCTGCCGTGGCGGGGAGACCAGTGCCGGCTCAGAGGCCCGAGGCAGCAGCGAACCAAAAGCTTCAGGTTCAGTTCGGGGTCGAAGGTCAGGTGCTGGGAGTCAGAGCCCAGAGTGAGGTGGAGTGTCTGGTCTTCAGCGTTGGAAGGTGGGATCGAGGGTCAGAGGTCAAGGTCATTGGGCAGTGGGGATGGAGGTCAGAATTTGGGTGAACATGTGGGATTAAAGGGGTCAGTTGCATCACTGGAAAGGAAGATCAGAACTGCTTGAGTTCCGAACTGTTGGAGTCCAAGTTTAGAAGGAAGGTGGAAGGACACGGGACCAGACTTCAGTACATGTCTATCAGGGATCAGAGGTCGGAGGTCAGGAGGAATGATCCTAATTGGAGGAAGTCAAAAGACACAGGAGGACATAGGAAGGAGGATTCAGATCTGATGAAGGGCAGAGATCAAAGACTGGAGCTCAGGAGGGCAAATTGAACCAGTGAGGGTCAAAGTCAGCATCAGTCAAGTTTTGGAGTCAGAAACCAGAGTTCAGGAGGTCTGGTCGGAGTTGGTGGGCGTCAGAAGACAGAGGTGGAGGCCAGAAAATAAAGTCAGAGTGGATGGAGCCCCGAGGTCAGAGGTGAAGCATGGGACTCGAGTTGAGATGGGGTCAGAGGTCAGCATGAGTTGGTTGATGGTTTGGAGGTCGGGGATCAGATACGGGGTGCAGGTCAGGTTATTGGGGGTCTGAGGCCAGAGGCGGAGGCCTGCAGCGAGTGCTGGGAGTCAGTGGAGGTCAGAGGTGAGCGGTCAGGAGGCCAAGCGAGGGTCATCTGGTTGGCAGTACCTCCTCCCGCCGGTACTCCGCGCTCAGAAAGGCCTCGTAGCGGCCCCTCAGGAAGCGTCCCAGCTCCAGCTGCTGGCGGACCCCCTCCTGAGGATGGAGAAAGCCTCAGCAGACCCCTCCCCAGCCCGCCCACTCCTCACCCGCACCCCGGCTTCTCACCCCAGTCAGCTGGCCCCGGCCTCTCGGCCACAGGGTGGTGGCGGCCTCCTTGTGTGGGTCGGTGGGGTAGGAGGCCAGCGGGGCCCGGTCGCCGTGGCGGAACACCTGGGGACGGGACCAGGTCAGGGCAGGCTGGGGAGAGGACGGGGGCCGGGCCAGGGCGGGGACACCTCACCACAGCCACAAACACCAGGGGTCCTTCGGCCAGGGCCCGGGGTGGCGGCGGCAATAGCAGCAGGAGCAGAAGTCCAGCGGGGAGCCCCCAAAACCCCGGCCCGTCCATGTCCACGCAGCCCAGACGCTGAGCTCAGCCCGCTGTCGGTGCCGCAGCCCCACCCGCTCGTTACCCCTGCCTCAGCACCCCCGGAAAAGCGGGTCCCGGCATGCCTACCCCGGGAGCCAAGGTGGCCTCCTGGGATCCGGCTCCCCCAGGGCCCTTGCCAGCCTTGGATTAGCCAGCGGAGTAGCCAGCTTTATCTTCACTGTACCTCTGACGGGGGTTGATGCGGTTCTCACCGCCCCCATCGTGCAGATGGGGAAACCGAGGCACGGCGGGTCCCATAATTTGCCTGAGGGGACACAGGCAGTGAGTGGCGAAGCTGGGATTTGAACCAGGGGCCCTTAACCTGGGTGCGAAAGGACACAAAGAGACCCCCACCCCCACCCAGCCCCACATTCTAGACACTTTCTCTACTTTCTCCTCTCTCCCCACAACCCAAGTCTGTCTTTTTCTATTCTCACCCCTTAAATGTTGGAGCTCTTTGAAGCTCTCTTGGGCTTCCTGGAGATGTCACCTTCCGGTGCCACCCACATCTGGCCCCAGCCAGCATGGGCCAGTGGTTGAACACCCAGACCCTGGATTTGGGTTGGCTGGGTTCAAACTCCTAACGTAACCGTTTACAAGCCGTGCAACTGTGGGCAAGTTACCGCACCTCTCTGTGCCTCCTCGCTCATCAAATCCATAAAATGGGAACGAGTGCAATCTCAGAGAGCTGCTTTGAGGATTAATGAGTTCAAAGGGCAGAGTGTCCCCTCGTCAGAACCTCAGCTGGGAACACGTGTGCATCCAGCAACTCAAAATTTTAATCGTTCTGCGCATGTCCACGAATGCCTGCAAGAGGGTAACGGGTATGCGTTTTGGGATTACAGAGAATTTAGGGGGAGGTGAATTCGCAAAAATGGGACCCGTGGATAATGACCTTCGACGGTACTTGTTTCTTTAGCCTCTGTGTTTCTGGTAAACCGAGAAGTTAGTTCTAAAGGCGTAAAGGACAAAAAGAGTCGGAGGCCTGTAATGCTAGTGGGAAGGCTGGTGGCGTGAAAGTCAGGGACCCCCGGGGTGGGGGCGGTTGGAGTCTCTGGCGCTGTCCCTGTGCCTGTGGTCCACAGGTAGGTGCCGCCACCCCACCCCCAGCACGGGTGACAAGACTCATTGGAGTCCCCAGTCCAGCTGCGGTCCCTGTCAACATTGTGTCTGTTTTCCCTGGGGCCACCTCCCGGCTCCCAGCCTCCTCCCTGCTCCAAGACACTGACGCGCCCAGAGCCGCCCCTATTCTCAGCCTCCCATGGCTTCCCAGCACCCTGGGGTGGGATGGGGGGACCAAACTCAGCATAGTGTTGGAGATCTGGATTCTGCAATCTCAAATGTCCCGCTCCCAAGTTCAGATACTGCATGTAACATTCTGCATCCCAGTCCCCCTCTCCCTCAAGCATCTGCCCTGTGTCCCCTCTACCCAGAATGCCCTTCTCTCGTCACCACGGCCACCATTCTGGTCTCCCAGGCAACCCCTTTTAGGTTCTAGTGGCTGATCTGTCCTCTCTGGTTCAGAGTCCAGGAAAGGAAGGAGACCAAGCAAAGCACGGAGTTCAAGGCCATGGCCATGAACTTTCAGGAAGTGAGGAGGGGTCTGGCGGGGGGGGGGGGGGGGGAGGTAGGGCAGGGAGTGGGCCCTGACCTCTGACTGCTCCCCCCAGAATGTAACCCTGGCCATGGCTGTATTCACCATCCTTGCCTCCATCTACTTCTTCAACAAGGTGAGTGGGAAGAGGGTAGGGGTGGCGGGCTGAATCTCTGTCTTTTTGGGCCCCCATTTTATCCACTTAGCCTCTCCTCCTCTCCCATGCCTCTGTGTATCTCTGTGTCTTCTTCCCTTAGGTTCAGCAATGAGAAGACACAGGGACGCCTAATCCAAAAGCATTCTGCCCTGGATCATGACTCTGGCCTCTGAGACCAAATAAATGGACTGAATCAGCAGATCCCATTCCATCCTGGCTGGTACACAGCCTCCCCGGCTCTGTTTGAGGGACAGGTCTCCGAATCAAAGGGAGGAGGGGCCAGGTGTCCAGCCTCCTGGGTCTGACAAAGGAGGGGCTAGAGGCCTGGAGTCCCTGGTTTGAGACAGGGAGCTGGGTTTTGAGGGATGAGTAGGAGTCTTTCAGGAGCAGTTAGAAAGGAGGAAGGACATTGGAATTCTGGTTGCAAAGGCACAAAGGGGAGCAGCGCCTCGGTGGCTCAGTCGGTTAAGCATCTACCTTTGGCTCAGGTCAGGATCCTAAGGTCCTGGGATGGAGTCCCACAACACAAGAGGCTGCCTGCTCAGAGGGGAGTCTGTTTCTCTCTCTCCCTCTGCCCCTCCCCTCTGCTCGTGCTCTATCTCTCTCAAATAAATAAAATCTTTAAAAATAAAATAGCACAGAGGGGAGAGAGAGCAGGGCTGACTCACCTGGTATCAACACAGACTGCTGTGTACTTCAGATATATTCCTTCTCTCTGAACCCTGGTTTTCTTCTCAGTCTGACAAAGGTGAAAATCTTTGTTCAGTGGGACCAGGTGGCTACAGCCAGAAAAACTTGAGATCAAAGACACGAATGGAATTTGTCAGCTGCAAAAAGTCTGTAGTTATCATCTTCATTGTTATATTCTATCAACACATCTTTCTCTTTTCTTAGAAAACTCCTATTCAACCTTCAATACCCACTGTCAATGCCCTTTCCTATGGAAGACAGTCTGTTACCAGCTCCCTCACTAAACTCCTCCTCACCACTCCGTGACTTCACCCCCAGTAGATGGAATGCCCTGGGTGACACCCCAGCCTTTGGTTGAGCTTCATCCACCTTCTCATCGGATGAACAATTTCATTTCGACTCAACATCTGAAAGGGCAGCTCCTGAATAGGGTGACCGAACATCCTGGGTTTCCCAGGAAAGGCCTAGCAAATTTTGATTAGGAACGGATTTATAGCTTCACTACGATTTTGTCTCGCGGATTGCAAACACTTTGGGCCAGTTCTTCCAACATCATTGGTAACAGCGTCCTCTTTAATTCTCAAAAGCGTCCTGATTTAGAGGCCCTGGTTGCAAAACTACGAGTAACCACACGGGGGAGGTGTTGGACCATTTTCCCAGCTAGAAGTTAGTCCGCCCGGCTCTGGGAGGGAATTTGGTTTCGCAAACCAGAATTCGGAGACCTTCCTGCCCCGCTCCCAGGGTTTCTCTCTCCCTGGACCTTTGCCTTGCTTCCTGTCTCTCTCCTCCAGCTCTCACAGAGGTCCTTCTACAACCAGAGCTGACCCTGTCCCTCCCTGCTGGCAGCCTTCTTGTGGCCCTCAGGTCGCGTCCCCGCCCCGTCCCCCAGAGTCCCAGCCCCTCAGCCTGGCCTTGGAGGCTGTGTACGACCTGACTCCCTCTGGTCTTTATTCTTTTCTTTTCCTTTCTTTTTTTTCCATCTCACCTACATCCTACGCACAGCTCCCCCCCCCCCACCCCCCAATATCCTTAACCACATATAACTCAGAGATAGTAAAAAATGCCACTCCCCAGTACCTTTGCATATACATGCTGTGCTCTCTGCCTGGAGTACCCTTTCCCGCCTCCGTTCTGCTCTGTGTCGGCTTCCTCTAGAAGACTTCCTAAAACCCCTCCTGCTCCCAGTGTGGCTGCCTGCTCTCCCCTCCCATCCTTCCAGGCTGTGACCAGGAGCTTAAGAGTGGGGTGCACAGAATAAGATCTGACTCCTAAGGGACCCCCAGCTTGGGTCTTGGTTGTCAATGCTTGTAGAACAACCAAATATAGACAAAGAAGTCGGTCTTTGCATGACCCCCTCCCCCACCCCAGGGTTTTCAACCACTTAGTGCTGGGGTTCTGGGTCCCCTGGGAGCTATTAAGGTTGCATTTCCACAACCACAGGCACTTCGGAGGGATGGGGCTCAGCCCGCTGCCCCTGGGGATCCCTGGGGAGCTTTTGAAACTCCCAGAGCCCAGCTCCACCCTGGACCACTTAAACCACGGCGCCTGGGGATGGGGCCTGGACATCAATTGGATTTTAAAAGCTCCCCCGGAGATTCTGATGTGCGGCCAGGGTCAGAGGCATCTCTGTAATGTTTTCTGAAGACAAGAAGAGATGGATTCCCCGCCCCCCCCCACCCCTCCTTGGAGCTTAGTGCATTTATATCTGAGGCAGCTCCGTGGATACATCAAAAGACTCAGAACGTGGAGCAAAATTTAACCTTTAGTTTAGAAACATTTGGGAGTTTGAAAACCAAAGAAAGCAGACAAAGTAGTTTCTTCCCAGAGCAGGGGGCAATGGAAGGGTGGTGGGGAGGCGCATTTCCCAGGGCAGCAAGAGAAGATGGGAGGGATGGGAGGGAAGTGAATGATAACCAACGACCTGCTGAACCAGAAAAGCCCCTGGCCCAGGGCTGCCCCGTTCCACCTAGGGGACCAAGGCATCGGACTTTCCAGTTTGAGCCCCCAAAGCCCTGGATCCCAGGAAGCACTCGGTCCCAGGATAATCAAGATGGGTGGTCACTCTCATTCCCAAATTCCTCTGCTATGTCCACAGTCCCGCCTTTACATGCAGGCCCACGGCCCTCTGGCCCTCTCTCCATGGTGTCCGTTTCCCTGTCCGTCTGTCTCCCCCGAGTGCTCTCCTTCAGACTGATTCCGATGCTATTTCGGTCTTTCGCTAGAGCTCTTCATGTTTCTGCCTCTCACTGGGTCTTTGTCTCCATATCTTTTTCTGTCTCCTCTTCCACTTGATCCCTCCCAGCAGCCTGGCCTGCTTCTCACCTCCCCTCCCTGCCTTGGCTGCCATCAGCTGCCGTGTCTATGCAGTCCCATGCACCTGCATGCATCCCCTCCCCCTCTCCTTCCATTTCACCCCATTTCTTGGGGTCTCTGTGTCCCTGCCCCGCAGGGTCTCTCGGGGTCTCTGTCCCACTCTCTCAGGGTCTTCTGTATCTCCCCTGACCCCGTCTCTGTCTCCCCCCACCCCTATCCTTCTCTCTGCCTCTCTGTCCCTCTCTCTCCACCTCTCTCGCTCTGCCTCCCCATTCTCCTATCCATCTCTTACTGAATCTCCACATCTCATATTCTCCAGAGTCGGAGGAGATAGGACCTCCCTCACCCTCCACGCTCCCCCATACTGTCTCCCTTCAGGTCCTCCTGGGATGGCTGGGCCTCTCATCCGTGTCCGTATCCATTCTAGACTCTCTCCCTTGGCAGAACCAGAGGGCCTGGCACAGCCACTGCCTGGAGGCCTGGCCCCTGGGGGAGGGGGGGCTGCAGAGGGTTGGAACAGCCACTGCCCATGCCCCCTCCCCCACCCAGGGTGAGCTCCAGTGGTCTGAGCAGCACCCACACTTCCACCCTGTCCAGCCTGGGCTCTCCCATCTCCCCACCAGCCCCAGCAGAAGCAGCAGGTGGAAGGGAACCCAGCAGGGAAACAACGTGCCCCCCTATGGCCCACGGCACCCCCAGCAGCTGGGGCCTCCCCAATCAGCCTTGCCCTGGCCCTCATCCGGCTGTGAAAGGTGCTCAGCACCCCCAGCAGCACCCCAAAGCCAGACACAAGCTGACTCAGTGTGCGGGCTGCGGGCGTCCTGGTAGAAGGGCCAGCCCCCCAGATCACTGGCCCCAAAGATGTCCACGCTGTAATCCCCAGGACCTGGGCCTACATTCCATTCTGTGGCAAAGGGTAGTAAGGTCACAGATGGAATTAAGGCTGTTTGTCAAAATGGGGAGAGGACCCTGGATTGTCCAGGTGGGCCCACACCATCACTGGGAAGTAGGAGAGAAAGGCAGAAGAGCGAGGGGCCGAGAGACCGACCCTGCTGGCTTTGAAGATGCACGAAGGCCCACGAGCCACCAAACAGGGCAACCTCTAGAAGCTAAAGAAGGAAAGGAAATGGACTCTCTTCCTGAACCCAGTGACCCCCATTTAGGACCCCCAGAACTGCAGGATAAATTCGTGTGGTATTGGTTATAGCAGCCATTTTACAGACCAGCAAATGGAGGTGCTCTGAAGGTCACACAGTTTCAAGGTCAATGAGTTTGCCTCCGGAAGGACAGGGGGTAGGGAGTTGAGGGCAGACAGCAGGAAGAAGGGGGGCTCTGGACCCAGGATGGCCGCAGGAGAAGCCTGGAGGGCATGGCCAGGCTGTGGGAAACAGGGTGGGGGGTTAGTGTCTGTTTAAAGAGGAGGGAGTGGGAGCCATGCTCTGCCAGACTGGGAGGTGAGGCAAGGGAGGGTGTGCTGGATCAGAGCCCACTACTAGCCTCTTCTTCCCTCCACTCTCTCCCCTCCATCTCTGTGACCTGGCCCCTACTCAGGCCTTCTCCTCTCCCCCAGGACCCCCATGCCCACATTCTCCTGGCCTCTCTCCATCCCCCAGGGGACCCCAGAGGGACTTCTCTACATTCAGTGTTGACCCCTCCCCTGCTCACACACCTCCCATGGCTCCCCAGTGCCCCTCAGCCTGGCTTTCCACCAGGGCCCATGAAAGCCCTCAACTCCATCTCTCAAGCTCCCACCCCATCCCTTACAACTGGTCCCTGTTCTGTCACAGCCGTAACCAACTTGACAGCTCACTGACTAAATCCATCTCTGTGGCCAGCCTGCAGCCTCTCTGAGATCAGGGTCCTGGTCTGACTCCTCTGGGGTCCCCAGCATCACCCACCACAGGAGGAGGCACATGGGAAGTCCCCATTTTCAAAGAAATGAATCATTATGGGGCGCCTGGGTGGCTCAGATGGTTAAGTGACTGCCTTCGGCTCAGGTCATGATCCTGGAGTCCTGGGATCGAGTCCCGCATCGGGCTCCCTGCTCAGCGGGGAGCCTGCTTTTCCCTCTGACCCTCCCCCTCTCATGCTGTCTCTCTATCTCATTCTCTCTCTCAAATAAATAAATAAAATCTTCAAAAAAAAAAAAAAAAGAAAGAAAGAAATGAATCATTAACACTGCGTAAGCCCAGGTCTCGGTCAGTGCGAGCCCCAGACGTGGGACAGCACGTCATTCACGACAGACCGCATCTCAGGAGCGAAGAACACAGAAGTGAATGAAACAGACAAACGCATAAGGCTGTCACCTTGTCCCCCTCTTCATCTGATTCCACGCGGACAAGAATGGGAACCGGGAGACCATAGCACAGCTGATCGTGTGTATCGGGAAGGGCGTGGGCTCCAGACTCCCACCACCATGCTGAGCTTGGACCCGGACCCTGACATCCTGGCCCTGACTGGGACCCCAAGCAATTCAGTCTCTACCCCAGCAGGGATGCGTGAGGATTAGGAAGCATTCGGTGCTCAGTCAACAGAAACAGTACCTACGACTTTGCAGCTATGGAACGAAGGCTTCAGGCGCCGGGAAGGGAAAGGTGTCAAGTGTCAGGGGGTGAGGAGTCTCATGACAGCTATTTCCCGACATTTGATGACAGTCTGTCTGTCTCCCACGGCTGGGAACATCTCAAACCAGGCCAGATTGGGGGCGCCGCCTCCCCTCTCTCCTTGCTGAGAGAAACAGAGGTAGTGATTAAGAGCGAGTAATTGCCTCCCTCCTGCCTGGGAGGTAAATATCTTTCTGCAGGATCTTCCTGTTCAGGACTGTCTTCCCTAGGCTGCGAGCTCCGTGAGGGCAGAGGCCCTGTTCTGGTCAGGGATTCCAGAGGATGGCAGAGATTTATTTGTACCGTGGGCTCAGTCAGTACTTGAAGAGGCAGAGTATTGTGAGGAGGAAGCTGTAGGCTCTGGAGGATAAGGGATGTCAGCCCCTCCCCTTGGGACATAAGCTCCTCCCCCAGAATGTCAGACCCTCCCACTGGGATGTTAGCGCTTCCTTCTGGGATGTCAGTTCCTCCCTTTGGAATGTTAGCCCCCTCCCCTCAAATGTCAGGCCCTCTCCCTTGAATGTCCCTCTCCAAAGTAGGGATTTCCTTCACCTCTCTCTAGAGCCTAGAACCATGCCGTTCAGCTCACCGGCTCTCAATAATCATGACTGAATGGATTAGTAGGGTCAGTCTTTGCAAGCCCTGACTGCCACTTACTTGCTATGTGACTTTACCTCTCTGACCCTCCAGCTTCCTCATCTGTAGTAGAATAGGCATAATCGTAATACCAGAGACCCTGGGATCATGACCTGAGGGGAAGGCTCTACAGGAGTAGCAATTCTCTATCTCACTGGAATTAAGCTAGTGTAAATAGGAACCTGATTCCAATCAATTAAAATGTATATGGTAAGCCCCAAAGCAACAACCAAAAAAAAAAATTAAATATGTGAAGAACTCTAACAACTCAATATCAAAAATACAAGTCACACCATTTTTGAATGGACAAGAGATCTGAATAGATGTTTCCCAAAGGAGATACACAAATGGCCAAAACAAGCACATGAAAATATTGGCATCATTAGTCATCAAAGAAATGCAAATCAAAATCACAAGGGTGTAAGTACCACTTCACATCCCTGAGAATGGCTAAAATTAAAAAGTCAGATAATAACAAGTGTTGACAAGGATGAGGAGAAACTGGAACCCTCACACACTGCTGGAGGGAGCTCACTGTGGGAAACAGGCTGGCCGTTCAAAAACGTCAAACAGAGTTACCATGAGATCCAGCAATTCCCCCTCCTAGATAGATACGAAAACACAAGAGAAATAAAAACACATAACCACACAAAAACTTGGACATGAATATTTATAGCAGCATTAAAGGTGGAAACAGTCGACACATCCCCATCAACTGATGAATGATAAACAAAATGCAACATATCCATACAATGAAATGTTATTTGGCCATAAGAAAGAATGAGGTACTCATCCAAGCCACAACCCAGATGAAACTTGAGACCATCACACTAAGCGAAAGAAGCCAATCACAAAAGACGACCCATTTATATGATTCCATTCATCTGAAATATCCATAACGGGAAAATCTGTAAATTCAGAAAATAGATTCTTGGTTTCTTGGGACTGGAAGTGGATGGAGTGATAAGAAAATTGCTGAAAGGTACAGGTTTGGTGTCTGTTTGTTTGTTTGTGATGGTGAAAATGTTCTAAAATTGACCGTGGTGATGGTTGCTCATATCTGAATGTACCAAGAACCACTGAATTGTCCACTTGAGTTGTATGAATTATATGGTATGTGAATCTCAAAAAAACTTTAAAATAGGGGCGCCTGGTGGCTCAGTTGGTTAAGCGTCTGCCTTCGGCTCAGGTCATGATCCTGGGGTCGTGGGATCAAGCCGCACGTCGGGCTCCCTGCTCAGTGGGGAGCCTGCTTCTCCCTCTCCCCTGCCTGTGCTCTCTTACTCTCTCTCTCTCAAATAAATAAATAAAATCTTTAAAAAAAACTTTAAAATAATCCAAGTAGAAGTATCTTTACTTTTATTCTGATCATCTTTGGGTCCTTCATTAGAGTTTAATGTCTTATCCCCAGAATCTTAATTTTCTTTTATGTGTTAGTTCCTAGATGATTTCTAGATATTTCAGAGGGATGGTGAATGCTATTTTTAATTACATTTCATGTTTGTCTGTTGTCGGTGTAGAGAAATGGAATTGATTTTTGTAGGTTAATCTTGGGGTTTTTTGTTTGACTTTTTAAAGACTTTTTATTTTTTTAAGTAATCTCTACACCCAATGTGGGGCTCAAACTCACAACTCTGAGAGATCAAGAGTCTTGCGCTCCACCGACTAAGCCAGCCAGGCGCCCGAGTAGGTTAATCTTGTAATTCAGGACCTTGCTGATATCTCTTACTTGTTCCTATAGCTTTTTAAATAAACCATTAATCAGGATTTATATACAGTACTGTATTAAGCAACAGCCGTGATGAGGATATTCTAATGTCATTCTTGCTCTTAGAAGGAAGGCATCCAAAATTTTTATGGTATTTGCTGGAAGCTTTATAAAGTTAAGAAAATATCCTTTTTTCTCCTAGTTTACTAAGTGTTTTAATTTTCAATCATAAATAGATATAAAACTTTATCAAATTATTTCTCCACGTTGATAGAAATCATTACATTTTCTTCCTTGGTCTGCTAGTGAATTACACTGAAAGAATTTTTTTTTTTTTAATTTTGAACGACCCTTGCTAATTAGTGATAAATCCTACCTGATCATGATGAATTATGATACAGTTTTGGATTTAGTAGGCTATTATGCGATGTAGGATTTTTGCACCCACATTCACAAATGAAATGGACCTATAATTTTCTTTTCTTGTACATGTTCCTTATCTGGTTTTAGAACCAGCGTTGCATTAGCTTCCAAAAATGAACTAGACAGATTCCACATGATTTCTATTTTCCAGAATAATGTGTATAAGATAAAAATTAAGCATTTCTTGAATATTTGATATCAGTCACCTAGAAGACCATCTGTGCCCCTGGGGTTTTTTTTGAGAGAGAGAGAGAATGGAAATCTTTGACTATAACTTTGTATATTCCAGTACTTACTGGTTTACTCAAGTTCTTGATTTTTGCATAATTTTTGGCATTTTATATTTTTCTAGTAATTTAACCATTTCATCTATGTTTTTAAATGTTGGCTCATAGTTGGTCATGTACCATCTAATTACTTTTTTTTTTAAGTTTATTCATATATTTTTAAGCAAAGTCTACACACCATGGGCTTGAACTTGTGACCCCGACACCAAGAGTTCCATGCTCCACCAACTGAGCCAGACAGGTGCCCCTAATTACTTTTTATATCTCAGTCCTAGCTATAACTATTCACTTTATGGTTTGTATTTCATTTGTAGCCCCTCTCTTTTTTTCTTATTGGGTTTGGCGAAAAGTCAATTGATCTCAGTAACTTTTTCAAAAATCAAGATAACTTCTTGTTTTGTTAGACTTTTCTCCCCCCTTGATTTCATTGATTTCTGCCCCCTCCCTTTTTTTTTGTCACTTGTTTTGCTCTTGTTTCTGTGGATTTGCTTTATTGCTTATTTTCCCACTGTTTGCATTAGATTGCTCATTATAGAAAAAACTATTTGTTGGATCAAGTTTTTATCAAATGCTTTTCCTCCATCTGTGGAGATTGTCATCTGGTTTTCCTCTGTTAACCCATGAATGTGGAGAATTAATGAATTGATGAAATCAGATGGTAATATTTTATTTAGGATTTTTTTTTTATTCATGAGAGAAATAGACTGTGGTTTTCCTTGTTTATGCTGTTCTTGATTTTTTCAGATTTTATTTTTTTAAGTAATCTCTACACCCAATGTGGGACTCGAACCCACAACCCCAAGATCAAGAGTTGCACACTCCACTGATTGAGCCAGCCGGGTGCCCCTGTCCTTGACTTTTTTTTTTTTTGTATTAACATTGTAGTAACCTCATAAAATGAGTTAGGGAGTGTTACTTCTTTTTCTACTTGCTACGTGGGTTCATATAAAGTTGTAATGAAATGTTATACAAAGCAATAGTTATTGAGACAGGATGGTCTTGATGCAGGCTTAAATGAATTAACCAATGTGCAGGACAGAGAGCCCCATAAAAGACCCACAAATACTAAAATATGATGGGGCAGAGAACACAGAGAATCAGGAAAAGATAACTAACAAATGCTGTTGAAATCACTGGTTATCCTTAGGGGAAAAAGTGAAATTGGATTTCTACATCACACCTCACAAAAATCAACTTCAGGTGGATTGAAGACTTTCGTGTGGAAGGGAAAACTTTAAGAATGAAAGAGAATATCTTTCACCCGTGGGGGCAGGGAAGAATTTCTTAAGCGACTGTATAATACTATATGGTGGAGACATGTCATTTTACATCTGTCCAAGTCCACTGAATGTACACCACTAAGAATGAATATTCAGGTAAACTTTGAGAGGTGATGATGTGTAGATTCATCAATCGTGGCAAATGTACCCATTCCAGTGGGGGATGTTGATGACGGGGGAGGCTATGCATGTGTGGGAGTGAGGGGTATATGGGGAATCTCCCTACCTTCCTCTCAACATTTTTTTAAAATGTTTTATTTATTTATTTAAGAGAGATCACAGAGGGAGAGGGAGAGGGAGAGGGAGAAGTAGACTTCCCGCTGAGCAGGAAGCCTGCGCCCACAGGGCTTGATCCCAGGACCCTGAGATCATGACCTGAGCCGAAGGCAGACGCTTAACCACCTGAGCCAGCCAGGTGCCCCTCTTCCTCTCAACCTTGTTGTCAACCTAAAACGACTCTTAAAAAAAAAGAAAAGAAAACGGGGCGCTAGGGGTTGTAAGTTTAAACCCCACGCTGAGCGTAGAGATTAAGAAATAAAATCTTAAAGGAAAAAAAGCTAGCTACATATAGTAAGATATGGTAATGGGCTAGATTTTGCCCCTCTCTATGGATTCATATGTCGAAGCCCTAACCCCAATACCTTAGAATGTGACTGTATTTTGAAATAAGGTCTGTAAAATGAAGCCCTTAGAGTGGGCCCTAATACAAGCTGATTGGTGTCCTTATAGAGGACATTTGGACACACAGAGAGACACCAGGAATGCCTGAGCACAGACAAAAGACCATGTGAGGACACAGAGAAGAGGCAGCCATCTGCAAGCCAAGGAGAGAAGCCTCAGAAGGAATCAACCTGCTGACGTGTGCATCTTCAACTTCTAGCTTCCAGAACTGTGAGAAATAAAATTTCTGTGGTCTGAGCTACCCTGTCTTTGGTACTTTGTTATGGCAGCTCTGTGTCATTGCTACAAAGCTCAAAAACAAGCAAAATGAAATTGTTCAGGGACACCTATGTGCTACCTATGTGCTAAAGTAATCATGGAAATTGAGGAAGGATAAACATGATTCAGGACAGTGGTTACAGTTGGGCATGAGGACAGCACAAGGAAAGAGCAGTAAATAACAACGTCCTGGTATTAAATCGAGCGGTGAATTAACGGGTGGTCTCCTTACACATAGATTACTTTACAGGTACCCACTATTACAAAATTGCCCAAAAGATTGTTTTGAAGGCAGAGCTGGTGTTCTACTTCCTGCCACCTCTGTCCTCCAAATCCACCCCAGCTCTGGCTCCCTGCCCGGAAGGCTGCCAGGAGCCGTCACGGCTCAGGGTCAGAACCCGAAGTCCAGTTGCGTTTGGAGTAGGTGGAAATAGACTGAGAAGGGAAGGTTACTTGCCTCCTGCCGGAACTTGCAAAACCCAAGCTCACACACCATCTGGCTCGGCTCACACAACCACCTGTGCTTTGGAAAAAAGCAACTTGCTGCTGGAATGACAGAAGCTGGCATTTTAGGAGGACTTGGTAGCTTGGGGCTAGAGCAGAGGAGAGGTTGTTCAAATGAATGAATAAAGAACACGGGGCTGGCACAGAAAAGCCTGTCGAAGCCAGGAGGGGTCATGTTCAAAGTGAACCACTGAGGACAGAAACATGACCTAAAGCAAAAGAAATCATTCTATGCTCTGCGCGCTTCCCTCAACTGGCCATAAGGAGGAAGGACACACCTCACCTCGTATATTCTGGTGGAGAATGTATAACCCGAATTGAATCATCATGAAGAAACGTCAGGCAAACTCAAGTGAGGAACTTCTATTTAAAAAAGAAAAAAGGTGGGGGTTGTTCTTCCAAAATGTCAATATCATAAATATGGAAATGTTCCAGATTCAAGGAGACATGACAACAAAATGCAATACCTGAGCCCAGACTAGATCCTGAACTGGCAGGGGAAAGTCCTGTGAGAGAGAGCATCTGAGCCCACTGATGAAACTGAGAGACCACCAGGAGATTAGATAAAAAGAATTAAGTGCATGTTACGTTTATTGAGGTTGATTACTGTGGATAAGTAAGAGAGTATCTCTGTTCCTAGGAGATACTGAAGTATTCAGGGTAAAGGGCGATGATGTGTGCAACTAACACATGCTTCAGAAAATATACGCATGTACTGAGAAACAAAAACTAGCTCGGACTGTAAAAATCCGCCCACCATCTATCTATAAACACAGATAAGGCCAGCTGTGGAGTTAACAAGAAGCATTTCTCCCAGGGATATGTGGCAGCTGTAAAGGGTCCTAACCAACCCCGTTGTGAGCAACTACTGTTATCTTACTGAGAAAGTTTGTTCTCTAAAATCATAGGCTTTCGAAACTTTGTTGTTTGAAAGCATATCCATAAGAATGAAATTTAGCCCTCTCTTCCCGAAAGATCTACGTCACTTTGACACAGACAAGGAGCCTCAATTTCCAGCCCTGATGCAGAGCTTTATATAGAGTTTCTGGGCATAGCATGCCACGTTTATCTTAACTTTGTAGTTTCCAAGGAAACAGGATCCTGAGTCCACTTTGCAGTCCGTAACTGTTGACTCATTTATACACATCCCTACTTTGCTCTGAAGCTACCAAACCAGTTTCACCTAAATTTCACCAAATTCTTCTCTTCCCCCAAATCCTGTAAGTTGATCACAGCTTCTCTTTTGGGATGTGGTCTCCTTCCCTGCAATTGGTCAGTAAACCTGACTTTAATTTATTCCTGGTAATTGGGTTAGGATGGATGGGTGGGTGATGAATGGATGGATGGGTGGATGGATAGATAAATAATGATAAGCCAAAGCAATGGAGTGAATTGTTAACAATAGATAAACCTGGGTAGATACTATTTGTATTTGGGCAGGATATCTGTAAGCTTGAGATTATTTCCAAACAAAAAGGTGTGTGTATGTGTTTTTTTTTTTAAAGAAACTAAATTAGTTTGGACCAATATTTAGAATTTTTTTTTCGAGGCCAAGGAAGAATTTTTATAACATATTTTATGTTGTAATTCAGTACATATTCAAGATACTCAAATTTTGAGAACTATTTCTTAACCATTTTCTACGCATTCTCTTATTTTCTATGCACTTATGTTTTATTTTATTTTATTTTTTGCACTTATGTTTTAAAAGATGCTTATTATTGGGGCACCTGGGTGGCTCAGTTGGTTAAGCGGCTGCCTTCGGCTCAAGTTCCCAGGGTACTAGGATCGAGCCCCGCGTCCGTCCTCCTGCTCAGCGGGGAGCCTGCCTCTCCCTCTCCCTCTCCCTCTCCCTCTGCCTGCCTCTCTGCCTACTTGTGCTCTCTCTCTCTCTGTGTCAAATAAATAAAATCTTTAAAAATAAATAAAAGACGCTTATTATCAATATACAATTATCCGTGGAAATTCACCCGTATTTTTAAAAAACTCTTGGAAAGGTCTGAGCACTAGGTATAGTCTAAGCCTAAATGAATGTTAAGACTTCGACTTCGGATTTTTCTTCCCGCTGACTCGTGACGGGACTACATTTCCCAAAGCACCTTGGGGCGAGGCCCGGGGAGAAGGGGTGTGAGCTCTGATTGGAGAGGGCCAAGTTCCTACCTGTCATGCTTTCTGCGAAATGTAAGCGAGCCTCACGTGGGAGGAGGGGGCGGGACTTCGAGGGGACTTGCGTGAGGTTCCCGATGGTTCTGGGAAACGTGGTTCTGAGAAGAAGGTAGAGGGCCTGCCGCTCGGACTCCTGGGACTTGTAGTCTTGGCCAACCGGTGCCGGCCGGGTTCTTCCTCCGCTGGGTCATCTCAGGCGTTGGGCCCTTCCTCCACCACCGCCCTGGAATCTCTTCATGCATCGATCCCAGGCAGCTGAGGAGACCTTATCTGGTCTGCGACTCCGAGCTCTCAAACCGCAGGTGCTCCGCAGAGTTAGGGCGGGGGCATTGGCAAACGCTGGTCTTTGGCAGGCCTGGGAGGGCTTCTGGGAGGTGAGCGGAGCAGGATCCCTATGAACAGAACTGAGTCAGGAAATCACACCAGAATGCAGCGTACAGGGGAGCTGATGATGCTTAAACAGTCCTTGCAAAATGCCCTCCACTCCCCTCCCCGCCCCCCACCTCTCTGTGTGCGCATAACTTTATGTCCCTGGGCTTAGTATGACAATGACCAAACAGTGGCACCTAGAGTAATGGACGGTGTGATGAGGAAAGCCCCCAACTCTGTGGGAGCCCAGGGAAAGCTCCTGATTCAGCCTGAGGGAGGCCAGGGAGGAAGAGAAGCAGAGATCGAACTCATTTCAAGGTCCCAAACATGGCACCATACAGGCATCTTCCTTTCTACAAAGAGCTCCCCTGTACCCGGGGATGCTGGGGGCACGGAGTTGGTCATACCCAGCCCAGCCCAACAAGGCTCCCCAGTCTGGCTGATCAGGGCTTACTTAAGTCAGAAGAGAACTCAGCAGTTCTGGAACATCACAGGGGGGCACCATACCCTGCTGGGGGAAGGGGGAAGCAGGTTGTTCAGGGTGATACACTGGCCAATTCTCGAAAGAATCTGTACATATGCAAAGACAGTGTCTGGACAGAGCATGCAGAGGTGAGCGTGAGGTTAAAGTTGCCATACGAGAGTCAGATCTGATGTTGCAAGGACCCCTCTGTGTCCAGCACTCTTCCACTCTTCTAGGAGGTAGATATTCTTACCCCCAATGTGCAGATGGGGACACTGAGGCACAGGGGTTTTATCTCACTTTATGTGCCTGGTAGGTAAGTGGCCAAGACAGGATTAGAACCTGGGACGTCTGGTTCCAGAGTCCAGGCAGGTAACCACTGAACTGCTCCGCATTCATCCACCCACTTTCCAGAATGCCAGGTCTGTAATGGTGGGCCCCTTCCAGGCAGTAGCAGATACCCATCCATGTCTGCCCTAATGTGCCCTCTGATCACCTAGAAGACGTCCTGCTGCCTCTCTCCGACCCAAGGAAACAAGTTCAGAGGGGGAAGAATTTTGAGCAAGGTCTTCAGTTCCCTGATTGAAGCCCTCCTGACCAGAGCCCCCCCCCCCCCGACTCCACCCCACCTCCCCACCATTCCCCATTCCGTTACTCCTACAGGGGCTGTGGGGCTGAGAAATGACAGGGGTGGAGATGACAGGGATGGCTTAATCCTCCCACTGGTGGATCCAATGGTGACATTTTGGGCTGGTGGTACCATGGTGAAGGAGAGGCAGGGATATAAGGACAGACAGGGTCACACTACAGTGCCTGGTCTCCATGATGATATCAGGGTCAGGCCCATGTTGCCAGTATTGGGGGGAAGACACTGGGTAACTCCAAAATAAGAGCTCCTCCCTCAAAGAGTACTGTCCTCAATGAGGAGGCCCAGGCTGGCCCACTCCCGAGTGTTCTGACTCAGGGAACAAAGCATGAAAAAGGTGGAGAAAGAAAGGTAGCATGTGACTCACATTCAACCATTTTTGAAATGCTCACTTTCCTGGGCTCACCTGAACTTTGCAAGAGCTAATACAAGGTGGGATGATTGTTACCATGTTCAGTTGAGGAAACTGAGGCTCACAGAGGAGAAGGGACTGGCTTATGGCCACGCAGGCAGGGAGCAGGGAAGGAAACACTGGGAAGGAGCCCAAGTTTCCGGGCTGTACAGGTTAAGTTTGCTTCTCAACACATGCCCCTGCGTAGGGAAAGGGAGTGGGGCAGGGCCTGACATTACATGATGCAAAGGAACCATCTGGTGGAACGAGTTTGAGATACATCAATTAAACAAAATTAAATGGGCTCTTTCCTGCAGGACTTGTCAGAACCTTTAGCTCCTTTGTATTTCGCAGATCTCTTTGACCAGGACCAAGGCCAGGGCCTGGACAATGACTGACAGGCCCTGTGTCCCAAAGGCCGTGAGTGGGACACGATGGGGGTGGAGGCGACAGCAGCATGTGCACGGGTGTACTCCAGGCATCTACGTGCAGGAGCAGATGATGAGGGTACGTCTGTACATGTGTTCTCCATCATTCTGATTCTGGGGCTCAAATAATACCTGTAAAAGCGGAACGGGATAGGCATCCAAAGGCCAGGGTTTTGCCCTTCCAGGCTTGCCCAGCGACGAGATAAAGACCCAAAGTGCCTCCAGCGCCCGCTCAAGTCAGATTCCACAAGGCTTTATTGGCGTGGAACTTAGCCTGGTGCCCGCCGCTCCCAAGAAAGGCAGGCGAGTAAGGGCTCTCGGCTCCGCAGAAGGCCCCCTGGGATCGCCCAGCCCGGGGGAACACGCTTCCATCCGTGGGCAGGGAGGAAGGGAGGGAAGGGCCTTCGCACAGGATGAATGGCCCAGCCAAAGGGCGAGTGGTGGGATGGAGACGCGAGGACCGGCCCCGCTAGAAGGGGTACTCGCAGACGTAGTAGAGGCGGCGTTCGCAGTCGTGGTCCCACCAGGAGCCGTCATCCGAGGCCTGCGCCACGCAGTTCTCGAGCGTGCCGCCGTTGGGCTGGTTAGGGCTGAGCGGGTGCGGCGCGGGGCTGGGACCGGCTCCGGGCTCCGGACGGGGCGCGCGGTGCCAGGCGAAGAAGGACACGCGCTGGCCGTTCTCGAAGAGGTATAGTCCCTCGGAGCGCCGGTCGTGCACGCCCAGCCACACCGGCCAGTTGTAGGGAGCGAGCGCCGCGCGCAAGTAGCGAGTGAGCGCCTCCATCTGCTGGCGGTCCGCGGGCTGGGCCAGGCTCCCGCCCCGTGCCACGCAACGCGCCTGCGCCGCCGCCTGCGCCTCGAAGTCGCGCGAGAGCAGGAAGCACTTGTGGCCAAGGCGCTGCCCCTTCAGGCAGCCTGCGGGCGGGGAGGGGCGGAGTTAGGGGCTCCGGGGGCGGGGAGAAGGCGGGGTCGGAGCCACGGGGAGCAAAGAGGCGGAGAGTTAGGACCGCGGCGGGTGGGGCCAGACTGCCGGACCCGGACTGTAAGGGGCGTGGCGCGGCCCCAGTCGGGTACGCTCCACCGCGCGGTAGGGAGCGGGCCTCCCCCTCCGCGCGCCTACTCTCCGCATTCACCCTCCCCGCTACTCTAAGTCCCCATAAGCCAACACCCTGCACATCTCTAGGAACCCGTTCGTCCCTAACACCCTGGGTCCTCACGTCTCTTCAGATGTTTCTGGGCCCCCTCCCGCCACCAGTCCTCCACTTGACCCGGATCGTCCCACTTTTCCTGCCCGGCGCGGCGCGGACTCACCCTCTAAGCGGCCATGCTCGCGCTCCGCGCGGCTCTGCGCCTCCTGCAGGGCTTGCACGGCGTCGCGGGTGTCGCTTGCCGCCTCCCGCAGCTGCCGCAGCCCCCGATTCAACTCGACCACGCGGGTGTCCAACGCGTGCAGACGGACGTGCAGCTGGTGCAGGCCTGCGTCCAAGCCGGCCAGGCGGCCCACTGCGGGCAGACAGGGAGCACGCTGGACGGAACCCAGGGAACGGAGCTGGGGGACCAAAGGGCCTGGAGGGATCTAGGGCTTCTGCGGGCAGAGTTGGGGTGGGCGGCGCTCGGGATTTCTGGAAGGTAGGGGCCGGTGGCCCCGGGCTCTTGGGAGGCAAGACCAGGCCCCCGGAGCTCCCAGGGACGTGGGGGCAGCGGCTGGGCGTTGGGCCATTGAAAGGTCCCGGGCAGTGAAAGGACGGTTCATTTTTGAGAAAATGACCGCGGAGGCCTGGGGGCAGGGCGGAGCTAATGATTACTCACGGATATAAGTGACGGTATCTTCAGGGGTGGGAGAGGGGCTAGGGCCAGAAGAGGGGGTTTGCGTTGTTTCCTCCTCTTCCTCCCCCTGACCGTCCTCCTGCGTCCCCCAGGTCTCTTCGTCTTCAGGGGTTCCCTCAGGGTTTTCGTCCCCCCTCCCAGCGGGCAGCCCCAGGGCCTCCTGCAAATGCTGAGGCAGGGAAGGGATGTTAGGGCCAACCCAGCTGCATTCTGACGCCCCACACGCTCCAGCCACCACTTTACAGCAGTGAGCTCTGCCCCTGAGTCCCTTGTCTGAATCCATCATCCCCATCCTTTGAGCCTGCCCCATCACTCTCCCTTGCCCATTTCCCTAACCCTGGAATACCCTCCCCCCAACACTCACAGTTCCCCATCAGAGTCCTAAGCAACTCACCTTCAGCATCAGGGCCTCCCTCTCCCGCTCCTCCTCTTGGGCGCCTCCCCAGACTCCCTCCCACTCCCTGTCTGCTCCTCGAGCCCCATGGCTGAAGCCCAGGAGCTGAGGGACCACCAGGGCCCCAAGCAGCCAGGCTGCCTGCATCAGGCTGGGCTCTGCAGCACCCAAGGCTGCAGAGGGATGTCTCTGGGGACTGGAGTGCGTGCAAATCACTAGCCCCTGGTTCCTGCCTCTCCCAGCTTCTCTCTGATCCCTTTTCTCCCAGCTCTTGTCTCTGTCCACTCGTCTGTTGGTCTGTTGGTCTCTGCTCCTCTGTGTGTGTGTCTCTCCCCGCCTCTCTTGGCTCCCCTGAGGCCCTGCTTCTGTGGCCGGAAACCTCTAACGTTCCAAAGCCTGGATCCCGCCTTGGGTCTCCCCACATACCCCCCTCTTTCCACTTTCCAGAGCTCACTTCCGCCCTGCCCTTTCCTTCCACCATGGCCAAAAGCTCAGATGGCCAAAAAAGGATGGAGTTGGCTCTCCAAGGGATCCTGGGGACACAACCTCTGCCCTCAGGGGGTTCTTGGGGCTTGGCCCTGCTCCCTGCTCCTCCTCCTGGCCACACCTCGGGAGCAGGGAGACTGCATGGTCTCCATAAGGTTTTTTATTACCCTGTGGCCACCATCGCCCACGCACCCTGCTGGAGGAGGCTTTCCACGACTCACAGGCCCTAGGGCGCCTCCTGCCCCCAGATCTCCCATCCTGGCCTCAAGCCCTTGCCCCAAGATGAAAATGAGTGTGTGTGCTTGTCTGTGGGGACACATATGAAGAGCATGCATGTCACTGTGTATGCAAGTCTAGAAGGCGGGGCTCTGGGATTCATTTGCTGTACTTTCCTGGAAGCCTCCTGCAGGTCAGGCTCTGGGTGGGGCAATGCTGGGGACTCCAGCTGCTCACAGACAGGCAGACAGTAGGGCAGAAGGGAGGAGGAAGGGTGGGTGGTGGTCAAGGAAGCTTCCTCCGGGAGGTGGAGTAGACAGACGCAGGGCTGGGTGCATGGAGCTCTGAGCATTCAGCCAAGTGCCTCGGCTCCGGCCTGGACCACTGCAGTCACCTCCTCCTGGCTCTCCCCCTCCTTTCTCCCGAGCCCCTCCAATCCACACTGCTTGCGGCAGCGAGCCATGCTTCCAAACCATAAATCAGATCACGTCACTCCCCACTCCCCTGCTCCCCCAGCTTCCCATCATATGCAGGAGGGAAGCCAAACCCTGTCCTCAGCACAAGCCTGGCCTGCCCAGCGGGGGGCTGGGAAGGATGGACCCTTGGCACCTCTGCAAGCTCATCACCCCCACTCCCCTTGCCCCCAGGCTCCTGCCACACCGGCCTCTTCACTGGTTCCTGAATGCCAAGCTCCTTCCTACCGCAGAGCTTTTGCACTCGACTTTTCCTCCTTCTAGATGCTCTTCCCCCAGCTCCTTCTCATTATTAAGGTCTCAGCTCAGTGAGGCCTTCTCTATCATATCCAAAGAAACTGCACTTCTACAAGTTAACACCCCATTTTATCGTGTTGGTATAATCAAGACTGGATTGTCTTGTTTGTTCATTTTCTTGTTTGCTGACTGTCTCCTGCCAACGAAGGCAGGCATTCTTGTTCATTGCTGCATCCCCGGAGCTAGAACAGGGCCAACCTAGCACATAGTAGGTTCTCAATCAGTCTGCTCAGTGGGGAAGGAAATAGCCATTCCTGGTGGGGTAACAGCTTAGCCAAAGACTGAAGACTTGACCGCTGTGTTTAGGTGGCACCCCACGTTCCCTGGGGCAGGGGCACAGGGGCATGGTGGGGGCGGGGTGGTCACCAGGGTGGAGGTGGTGAGGGCAGTGGGAGAGAAGCTGCAGAGGCAAGGGAAGCAGGAGGCCAGGCTATGCCCACTCTGTGCCAGACCTGTGAGTCATGCAGGGCTTTCCCAGCCGGGGCCTGGCTGGTTGTGCCAGTGAACATGGAGCTCAGCAGCCAGGGATTGCAGGGCCCACTCTTCAAGGGAAGAAACTGAGGCTCAGAGAAGGGACAGCGCAGCCTGCTGGAGGTCATCAGCGTGGCAGCTGCTAGCCAAGGCTTCTGGCTCTAAGCAGGGGCATCGGCCCTCAGCTGCTGGGAGCCCCAGGAGGGGTCTTGGAAATCCACTCATCCAGCCTTCCCTTTTCCAAGAAAGCAGAAGGCAGTGTGACATGAGGGCAGGCTGCTTACCCCCTGGCCCTTTTGGCTGCCTATTAGGGGCCTGGGGACCCCTCACTAGCAGCTAGAGGCCTCAAGAGATAATGCACAGGCTAGGAAAGGCCTTGTAAACTGTAGAGGGGTGCATGGCCTCTGTTGCTGCTGGTGGCAGTGTGGGCAGCTGTTCTCTCCCCGGGCCCGGGTGCTCACCACCTGGGCTGATGGGTATGCATCCGGAGCGAGGCCTTCCGGGGCTGGGCTGGCTCAGACCTCCGTACGCTGGAGCCCACAGCTGGAGATGCGGCCAGAGGTGTCTCAGAACTGCCCTCTGCAGGGACCTGTGCTCCAGCTGGCCGCCCTGGAGGCGCTGGTGGAGCTGGAAGAAGGGTAGGCGCCTGGGCTCTGGGGACACTCTCACCATTGCCCTATGGGACCTGCCCTGTCTCTCTGGTATGTCCCGGGCACCAGAGACCCGAGCTTTGAGGAGACCTTGGGAGTGTCTGTGTGCAATGAAGGAAGACATGCAGCGATGGTGTGCCTAGTAGTGAACAACAGTGGTATAAAGACTGAGCCAGCCTGCCTGTCCCTGATCCTTGGTACCACCTCTTTATGGCTAGGTGACCTTGGGCACCAAGGTACTTAGCTTCTCTGTGCCCCAGTTTCCCCCTCTGGAAAATGGGGATGGTGAAAGTCCATAGCCCATAGGATTGGCAGGAGAAGTTGACGAGTAAAATCCAGAGCAGAGCATGGCACATATGAAGTGCTCAAGAAATGTCAGCTGTGGAGGGGGGCTATGGCACAGTGTTGTGCATCTAAATGGGTGTGTGCAGACCTGTGAGAGGGATGGTGAGGTGGGTGGGTGTGATGGTGCTGCATGCACACGACTCCTGACAGTTGTGTGTGTCTGTGTCTGGGTGCGTGTGAGCTGGAGATCTGAGCGTCCTGCGGGCCCCTGTGGGGGTGGGGGGTGCTGTGGTACGCGGACGCTCTGGCACTCGGGTGTGATATGTACATGTTGTCGCTGGGTGTGTTTGTGGTGATGTCCACTCCAGGTATGTTAGGTCATGCATGCCCTGGAGAGCGTGTATGTGGGGGAATGTGCGCACGTGCAGGGCCAGCTAAGCACCTGTGCCTTGGGGGAAGATGTGTGTGTGTGTGTGTGTGTGTGTGTGTTTGGGGGGACGGGAATCTATAGCTCTCACAATCCAATTTGGAGGTCTAGAGTCTAGCAACAAATCTTTATTGCGCCCTACTGTGTGTAGACGGGTTGGGAAGCGCTGTGGGAAGGGGCGGTCCTGGGGTGTGTGTGTGGAGCGGTACCCTTAGGGGGGCGGGGCCCCATAGTCCGGGTAGGGGGGCAAGCAGGGGTAGAGCCGGGTTGGGTTATCCGGTGGCGATGAGGAGTGGTGGGGGAGGGCAGGGGGAGGGGGCGGAGCCGGCGGGGGGGGGATGGGCGAGGTTTGGGGGCGCGGGGAGGGGCGATGTCTCCTCCGCCGGCTCCGGAGGGAGGGGAGAGGGCGGAGGGAGGGGAGGGAGGGAGAGAGGGAGGGAGAGAGAGAGACAGGGTGAGGGAGAGACAGTGAGAGCGAGAGAGCGAGAAGGGAGGCAGAGGAGGCGCGGAGCGGGCGGCGGCGGCGGCGGCCTGAGGAAGAGGAGGAGGAAGAGCAGGCGGAGACGCCGCGCCCGGAGCCGGCCGGACCGAGCCGGGGGCGGGCTAGCCCGGAGGGGCGCGGCGGCCGCGGCAGAAGGGGGGGCGCTCTGCGGATGGCCAGGCCCGGCCCGCGGGGGGGGTGAGGTCCTCGGCCCCCCCGCCCTCCCCCCCCGGCCCCCGCTCGCCCCCTCCCCGGCCCGCTCGCCCTCCGGGGCGGTGGGGCATGGCCTGAGGGTCCCCCGTCTCCGGGGGGGTGGGGGGTGGGGGGAGGGGGGAGGGGCCGCGGGCGCCGCCGACCGGGACTCAGCAGCCCCGCCAGGCAGGTAAGGGGGCCGAAAACCCAGGGTTTTGGGGGAGCTGCGGGGCCGGGGACGCGGGAGGGGGCGGGGGCGCCCCGGACGTCCTTGGCCGCGCGCCGGGCTCCGGGCCCGGGTGTGCGGTGGGGGGTGGGGGTGAGGAGGGGAGCGTTGCCCCGGGCGACGCCAAATTGGGTTACGCCCTGGTCCCCCGTGCCCCGTCCCAGATAGCAGACTTGAGGGGAGGATGCGCCCCCCATCCCCCGCCAGTAAGGCCCCCAGCCCGAACCCGGTTCCCCGCGCACCCAGGCCAAGGGCTCGGTCGCTGTACCCACCTCCTGGCCCAGCCCGGCCACTCCCCCGCCTCGCGCACCCCGGCTTACCAGGGCCCGTAGACCCCTATTGCAGCCCCACTGCGCGAGGCCCCTCCCCCAGGTCACCCTGGTTCCCTGCCCCTCCGTCGGGGGTCTGGGCCTTGGCCTCCTCCGCCCCCTTCGACCCCCTCTAGCTCCTGCTTCTCCTTCTAGGCTCCTCCAATCCCCTCCCACCCCCTTCACAAGCTCCCCTCATCCCCACCCGTCTCCTCTCGCTTCTCCACCGGCCGGCGCGCCCCCTCGGCTCCCGCCTCCGAGTCCCGCTCCCGGGTGCCCCCGCCCCCTCTCCCCGGCCCGGGGCTCTCCCCCACCAGTTTCTCGGCCCCAGCCCCGGCTCCTCTCCCCGCCTTTCCCCGCCTCTCTCCGCCTCCATTCATTCTCCCGGGCCCCGCTCTCGGCCACACCAGCCGCCCCCTGTCCCCCCACAGCCTCCCAGGGCACCCCCTCTCTCCCCTTCTCCACCCCCCCACCCCCCCCCCCGCCGATTCCTCAGCCCGTCTCAGTACCAGCTGCGTGCCAGCTATTCTTAGCCGCGGAGCGTTTGATTCATGCCGCCCCGGCGGAGTGTGCCCGCTCCCTCCCTCGGGCCTGAGGGGGAGGGGCCGGAGCTGGTCTGGGGGGTTGGGGGCAGCCGCACGCGCGGGGGAGCCCGGGCCAGCTTTGCTTTCATCCCCCGGGCCACCCCATTAGTGCCCGGGTGAGGCTGGGGTCAGCCAGGGTCAGCCGAGGGGGAGTGGCAGCGGGCTGCGGTCCGGAGGTGGGATGTGGAGTCCTGCGGGTAGGAGGCCAGGGGGCCTCCGCAAGGGCAAGGTGGGGCAGCTCTGCTGGGTACCTGGAGGGGGGAGGGGGCTTCTCAGCCTGGCCACGCATGGGGGAGGGGTTGGCCAGCTCCTGGTTAAGCTGCTCGCTCACCCACAGCTCTTGGAACTGTCCTCCCTGCACACTCATTTTGTCTTCCCTCCCCAACCCCCCCAGCCCATCCCCACTCCCCCAAAGTCAGCAGTACCCTCCACTGCTTCCCATCTCCATGGCAACGGTGCAGGAGCTGGGCCTGGTGTGGGGGGGAGGGACCAGACCAGACATTCTGGTTTCCGGTGCTGGGGTGGGAGACTGGGAGAAGAAGAGGGAGGCGGACCCCATTTGGGACCCAGGCTTATAAGGCCACCTTGGGAGACAATATTGGGGATGTGAGATGACCTCCCACCCCAGTCCCCCAGACCATCACCCCACTCTTAGCCACCCTCCCAGCCCCCCAGTCTCCCTCAGAGCGCATCGGCCAGTACCAGGCAATGCCACTCCCCTGTCCTGTAGTGCCAGGTTATCCACAGCCACCCCACACTGACCCAGGCCACCCCACTACCAGCACCAGCCGGCCCACCCAGGCCAGTGTCCCCACCCGCCCACACCCTTCTCAGGATGCCCCCAACAGCCTGCAGAGGCCGCGTCTTGTGGTTCCCTCGGGGACGCCCCATGCATGATAGTTTGCCCCGTGACACCTGCATCTGAGTGTCCCCGCTCCCCTGGGACACTGATTCCCAGCAGTCCTCTGCACACGTTGTCAGCCACACTTGAGTGCCGTCACCAGCTCCACCGCTCCCCACTCCCGGGCACCGCTCCCGGGCACCACGCGGCCTCCCACTTCTGCCGCCCCAGACTCACAGCACCTCTGTCTCCCCATTACTACGTCCCAGCCTCGCCCGACCAGCTATCCAGGAGGAGGACGAGAGGGCCTCGGGTGAGGGGCCAGGCTGGGGCCAGGAGGGCAGGATGCCGGGGGGTCATCCACCTGTCTGTCCTCAGCTAATTTTAGCTGCATTTTCCGTGACCTGCCAAAGTGGGCCAGTAGCTCCCGCGGTGATTCTGCGGTTTCTGGGACACTGCCATGCTGGGTCAGCAGCAAAGTGGGGCGCAGGAGGGGTGGGGGGCTGCGAGCAGGGCCAAGGGCAGGGAAGGAGACGCGCTGGAAGCATGGCAGGGATGGGCGTGTGTGAGCAGAGGCGGCAGGAGTATCTGGGGGTGTGTCCAGCCTCCTTCCTGCCAGCCTGGGGCATGTGGGGTGGCAGCCCTCGGCCGCTCACCCACAAGGCTGCCTGCCACCTCCGAAGAGTGCGGGCTCCTCATCTGACAGCCGCCCTTGGCCCCCCAGCAGCCGCCTGTGATGCTGCTGTCCCCTGTCGCCCCGTGGCCCCACGATGACCCACAGCCCCGCGTCAAGCGAGGACGAGGAACGCCACAGTGCCAGCGAGTGTCCCGAGGGGGGCTCAGAGTCCGACAGCTCCCCAGACGGGCCCAGCAGAGGCCCCCGGGGGACCCGGGGCCAGGGCAGCGGAGCACCTGGTAGTCTGGCCTCCACCCGAGGCCTCCAGGGCCGCTCCATGTCTGTCCCGGACGACGCCCACTTCAGCATGATGGTCTTCAGGATTGGCATCCCGGACCTGCACCAGACAGTGAGTGACTGACGGCCCGCTGACCAGTGGGGGACAGGGACCCCAACCCGCAGGAGGAGGCTTCTGGTGCTGGGCGTCCGCCCCCTTTGGGCCCCATTTTCAGACCCCCACATGCTTCCCCCAGGCCCCCTTCTATCCCCAGAATCACCCCCCCCACCTTTCCAAACCACCTCAGGCTCCTCCCTGTCACCTCCCCATCCAGAAATGTCTGCGGTTCAACCCTGATGCCACCATCTGGACAGCCAAGCAGCAGGTGCTCTGCGCCCTGAGCGAGAGCCTGCAGGACGTGCTCAACTACGGTCTGTTCCAGCCGGCCACCTCAGGCCGCGATGCCAACTTTCTGGAGGAGGAACGGCTACTTCGGGAGTACCCCCAGTCTTTTGAGAAGGGGGTGCCCTACCTGGAGGTGAGGCCCACAGCCTGCCCAGCTTGGTCACAGAGGAGAGAAGGCTTGCCCCATTTTTCTCCCAGTCATGCCCTTGCAAGGGAAAACCCAGTGGGCTCCTCCAGATCCCCTCAGGATTAGAGTCAGAGAGGCCTGAGTTCAAAGGACAGTGTGTTCTGCCTCTGACCAACAGAGTGGCCTTGGGCAAGTCACTTCCCTGCCCCAAGCTTCTCCTTGCCTTTCAAAGTGGGAAAGGATTCACAATTACAGTAGGTGTTCTAGAACATTCTGTGCGGGGTCCAGACTCCTACTCCTCCACATCAGGGGTTGCAGTCCATATACTCCGCAGCAGCCCCGCACTCCTCTGCCACCCAGCCAAGGCTCCAGGGCTGTTTCCACCTTGACCCTGAGATGACCCCCCCCCCCCCACTGGCTCAAAAGGAGTCCAGCCTCCTCCCCAGGCCCCTGATTCCAAGTCTCTGTGTCTCTCCCCTCATACACCCCTGGCCACAGTTCCGATACAAGACCCGGGTTTACAAACAGACCAACCTGGATGAGAAGCAGCTGGCCAAATTGCACACGAAGGTGAGAGAACCCTGCTGGCGCTTACCCCCCAGCATCCCCCCCACAGAGACCCGGAGCCCTCCCCACCACCACTTTCCCACTTCCTCTCCCACCTCTTCCCCACAGCAGCCCTCCACGTTCCCCAGCCCCTTCTGTTCCTCTGCCAGGGTCCCCCACTCACTTGAGATGCTATGTTGCATTTGGGACAACCCCAAATGCCACCCCCTTCTCTCCATCATAGCCCTTCCTCGTTCCCCCCTCCCTCTGCCCCTCATGGCTCTGCCCAGGCCCACACCATTTCCCCCTGGCTCTCACTTTCTTCTTCCTTGGGCTCTCCCATCTCATCTCTGGGTCCCCCATATCCACGCAGGGGCCCTGCCTCCCCCCACTTGGCCTGGACTCTGACACACAGTGTCCTCTGCCTCAGGGCTGTTTTGTAGACACCCTGCAGTTCCCCCAATCCCATAGCCTAAACCTCTCCTAGGATGTCTCCCACCCCTGGCCACATAGAGCCATGTTGCCCTCCCAGCCTCCGACCATATGTCCCCTGTGTCTCCCCTGGTCCCCTAAGATCTGGGAGGAAGCCAGGGGGCTGCTTTAGCCAGAGGTGAAGAGAAAGATTCCTGACACTTGGGAAAAAAGTCCCTGGCCTCTCCTCATCCCCCACCCTGACCGCACCATGCATTCGTGTCTGTCCTCCCCCAAATATTCCATCCCTCCAGACCTGCGCCATCCACTCCGGGAGCCACCGGCCACATACGGCTCCCAAGCACTTCTGGTGTGGCAGGTCCAAACTGAGACTCGCTGTGAGTGTGAAATGCACACCGGATTTCGAAGACTCAGTATCCCAAAAGAGTAAACTTTCTCATTGATAAATTTCCTATGGATTACCTGTTGATACGGTAATATTGTGGATATATTAGGTTAAAAAGATAGGTCACTAAGATGAACTTCGGTACAATCAACTGTGCCCCTTCCTTTTTTTTTTTTTAAAGGTGGCTACTAGAGACTTTTCAATGCCACACGCGGCTCGCTGTGTATTTCCACTGGACAGCGCTGCTCAAGACCCCAGCTTTTCTCCCTTGCTCCCTGACTGGCCTGTCTTCTCTCTCTTGTCCATGGCTCAGACGGGGTTGAAGAAGTTCCTGGAGTACGTGCAGCTCGGGACGTCCGACAAGGTGGCACGGCTGCTGGACAAGGGGCTGGACCCCAATTATCATGACTCGGATTCAGGAGGTAGGGAGGGAACCGGGGGCTTTGGAAGAGGTGGGGGGAGCCAAGAACGAGGCATAAGGGCTGCATGTGACTGGCCTTTCCTGCCCCTTAGAGACCCCCCTGACTCTGGCTGCCCAGACGGAAGGCTCTGTAGAGGTGATTCGAACCCTGTGCCTGGGAGGGGCCCACATCGACTTCCGGGCCCGGGATGGCATGACAGCGCTGCACAAAGCTGCATGTGCCCGTCACTGCCTCGCTCTCACGGTGAGGTGCCAGACCCCCGGGACCCTCCCCCAGATTGCAGTGGTCCCCTAACAGCAGGCTGAACTGCAGCGAGTTGCCCCAGACCCACCCTCCACCTCCCCTTCATCTCCCTTGACCCCACAAGCCATCTGGTCTCCCCTTTGCCTCTCATCTCGCCTCCTGGAGGTCCCCTCCCACATCCCCATGGGGATGCCACTTCTGCTCTTCCCTCAGACTCCTCTCCCTTTCCCGTTTGTTCTTTCTCAAGCCTCAGTTCTTTAGATTTGTTAAAAATAGTCTCTCTTCGTGTCCCAAATACAAAGCCCCTTTCCATAGCCTGACAAACACGCAGACCCCATGCTCACTCCTCCAAGGGGATCCGAGACCCTCTGCTGATCCCCAGATGCACCCGCACTACAGAGGATGGTCACACAGAGCTTTCCCCAGGGAGATCCTAATACCTGTACTCTCCTGCTACCCAGACGTTCTGGTTCCCTCTGACCCAGCTCACCACCAACCCGGCCTCTGTCTCCCTCAAGTGTAGACCCTCCCTCCTCTGTTCCTTAAAGTACACAGTAAGCAACCTGCTGTGCCCCCAGATACAGACCCTCCTTGGCACACGCATACCCTGCAGACGCAGCCCCTCCCCCTGCTTCATAACTAAAGTGCACTTTCCCAGATAGACAAACCCGTATCCCTGCAAAATACACACATGGAGTCGGCTTATGTGGTCTTATTTTAAAAATCCTCTTCCTCTCCCCCCACCCCAATGGCGCTTGATCCCTCTTCATACACAGGTCAGAATAGACTGCCCCCAAAGATATGTAGCTGTTGATAAACACCCAGCTCACAGATGCTCCAGCTTAATGGACCCTCCCTTCCCTTTTCCAGCTGCCCCGAAGACCCTAAATGCAGTCAGACGCCAGCCACAAAGATCTGCTTAGGCGCTTGGAATTGACAAACCCTCTAGATGTACCCCCAGTCTGCTCCCTTCCGCCAGGCAGATCTGCTCTCACCCCCACCCCCGGCCTCCAGACCTACTCTGTCCAATCCTCTAGCCACTAGCCACATGGGGCTGTTTAGACTTAAGTTAATTAAAGTGAACTAAGACGAACATTTCTGTTCCTCAGGCTCACTAGCACATTCTAGCGCTCAAGAGCCCACATGTGGCTGCCGTGTTGGATGGGGAGGTTGCAGGCTGTTTTTGTCACTGCAAACATTCTGGTGGACAGCGCTGCCGCAGGCTGTCCTCACACGGCTGGGGCTGACAGTCCTCTAATGATGCTCAGCTCCACCAGCCTCTGTGCCCAGAGCTGTTCCTGGACGCCCCCTGCCCCCCTGCCCCCCAGCCCCCAGCCTCAGTGAGGCTGACCCACTCACTTTGGTCCGAGCTAGCCCTTCTCCCAGGTCTCCTTCTGCGTCCCACCCTTGGGATCCCGTCCCAACCACACCTCCTGCTTGGCCAGGGGTCCTCCCGCGTCCAGACTCTGTTCTCATGTGGTCCCACATGACCGTCCCGCTGCTCGGATGAGGCGCTGAGGCACCAGGCTCCTTCAGTGGCTCATCCAAAGTCAGCCATGGGTGGAAGGGCCAGGCTCAAGGTCACACAAGGGCATCGTGGCAGAACCCACAACAGCCTTGGCCAGTGTGGGTCACCCGAGACTCCCTGCCCCACTGGTCCTTCAGGTTGAGCCAGAACTAGTGGGACTGTCTTTTGTCTCCCTCCTCAGGCACTCCTGGACCTTGGGGGCTCCCCCAACTACAAGGACCGCCGAGGCCTGACCCCTCTGTTCCATACGGCGATGGTGGGGGGCGACCCCCGCTGCTGTGAGCTCCTCCTGTACAACAGGGCCCAGCTGGGCATAGCTGATGAGAATGGCTGGCAGGAGATTCACCAGGTGCTCCGGACTCGGCCAGGAGGGATTGGGGGGGGTGTGGAGCGGGGCGGGGGGGTGCCTAGGCCCTGATCAGAGCAAGGATCGGAGACCCTGGTGCAAAGAGCTGGCGATCCAGATGCTGAGGTCCTCATAGAGTATGGAGGCTGGAGGAGCATGGTCTCCAAAGAGAAAAAGATGGGAGGAGGCAACACCAGGACCCTAAGGGGGCATGGACCGGGGACTGGACATCTGGATCCCTGAGTTGGGTGGGGACGGTCTCTTGAGCCTCTCGAGGGGCCAAGCCAGGCACCTGGGTCTTGCAATGACCCAGGAAACTGACAGTCTGGGCCCCTGGGCAGGAATGGAGGCTGAAAGGAGAGGGAGAGGGAGATGCAGGGTTTCCTGGCCTCTGGCAATAGATACATGCCGTGGTTGGGAGAGTCTGATGTGGCCTCCTGGCTTCCCTGTCCCCTGCCCCCCAGGCCTGCCAGCGGGGTCACTCTCAGCACCTGGAACACCTGCTCTTCTACGGGGCTGAGCCCGGAGCCCAGAACGCCTCGGGGAACACGGCCTTGCACATCTGCGCCCTCTACAATAAGGTCTGCTCTGGCAGTGCAGGCCCGGGTCCTCCTCCTGCCCCCGGCCTCCCAGCCTCCCTGCGCGTCCTCTGTTCCATCACTGTTTCATTCATTCGTCCATTCATTTATTCGTTCATTTGTTCATTTCATTCATTCATCCGTCTCCTTCATTCATTCAACAGATATTTACTGAGCACCTTCCCCATGCTGAGGACCAGGCAGTGAGCGAGACAGACAGCCCCTCTGCCAGGCATGCCTTCCCATTACAGTCCAGAGTCGTGGGGGCCGGAATCTGGGCTTGGCCTTGGGGTTGGGGTGGAGATGGGTCTCCTGTGCCAAGATGAGCAGGAGTCAGCTGAGTAGGAACGAGAGAAAGGGTGTTCTAGGCAGTGGGCACAGCCCAGTTGAACAAACCAGAGGGCAGAGAGCACATCAGGACCGTTGCCGGAAGGGAAAGTTGCTCCCCGGGCCCCCTTTCCTGTGTGTCTCCATTCAGCTGTCCGTGGAGCACCTGCAGTGCGTTTGGGGGGTGCTGCAGGGGACAGAGGAAAGGCCAAACCCCAGCCCGGAAGGGGACAAGAGTATATTGCAAGTTGTAGCAATTCGGGGCTGGGTGGACAGCCCCCACCTCGGGGGTCGTGAAGGTGAGCGGTAAAAAGCCGGCAGGGAGCCTCACAAACCAGCCTGTGTGGCTCTCAGCCTTCTGACCCCAGCCCCAGGCGGATCCTGCGCAAGTCAGCCCCTCAGTCTCCTTCCTTGTTTTCCAGGGCTTCCTGCCCTTGGAGGGGTGCCTCAGGGACTCCGCAGAGCAGGGCTTGGCAAGCTGGTGCTGGTCTGCCAACCTCCTCTCCCCTTCCTCCAGGAAGTCTTCCAAGACAGCCCCAGCCCCTTCTGCTTCATCAGAACTTGCAGTGCCGGAGACGTGGCAGGTAGCCACGTGTTGCCTTGTGGCAGCGAGCAGTCTGCTCTGCCGAGGGAGAACTCAGTGTTTGTCAGACCCAACCAACGCGGTGCTGTCACTTCCCCTCCCCGGTGTTTCTGTCTCTCCTGCTCCCTGACGCAGGCCTCGTGCCCAGATTCCCCCGCTCCACGGCCTCTGCGCATGCCTGTGGGCAGACCACAGCCCCCCAGACAAGCCCTGTGCCCTCTCCCAGGCTCTGTCCTCTCCCCGTGGTGGGGATGACGTCAGCTGATCGAAGGGGAGGAAAGACCATGTATGTTAAGCACTCGTCCCCAGAAGGCAGCCTTGTTAGTCAGGACCTGGAAACCGTATTGTGAATTTCAACAGGGAAAACTTAGTATACAGAATTAGAGTGTGGGAGCAATTACTCTTAGTCGGATGACCCAGTCGTTTCCCCTCCTTGAGCTTCTCCTTTCTCCTCCGTGCAATGGGTCAGTAACACCTACAGCGCGAAGGATCAAGTGGGTGGATGTTTTGCTTTTGCTCTTGGCATGGTGCTTAGCAAGTAGATGCTTGACAGATATAGTTTATTTTGTACTTCTCCCTCCCTTGTTTTTCCTCTCAGACCTTAAGCTTCCCAAGGGCCAGAGCTGGGTCTGACAGATTTCCCAGCTCTCTCCTCCTCTGGCCTCCTGACATGCCCGTCTCTCCCCTGCTGGTGAAGGTCAGGTCCATGTTTATTGGCTCTGGGAGCTCCTCAAGGGTGAGGGCTCAGTCCGATCAGTTACTCTGTCCCAAGGCCGCAGGATGTAGTAGGCCTCGGTGCATCTTTGTTGAATGAGTGAGTGGACGGATGAATTATAAATCAGCTACCTTGAATTTGCCCCAAGACTACACAGAGCCCCCCTCAGAATATTCATCAGGTGTTTGCTCTGCGATAGACTGAATGACTCAGTGAATGAATGAATGGCTTGAACAAATGAATTTTGAGTGACTCGGCTCCGTATCCTTCATCCTCATACTTCCCCGTGCATGTTTCGTGGGCACCTACCGATGTGAGATGAATCAGACTCAGCATGGGGCCTGTCCTGCGGAGTTGGGGGGGAGTTCACATCTGGTGAAGAGGCAGATGTGTAACGAGGAATTGCAATGCCGTGAGATCAGTGTTGGGCACCAGTAAATCGAGGTTCTCGAGGTGTAGGGTGTATTGCTGGTTGGGCCCGTGGAGATGGTCTGGCCCTGGGCTAGGCAAGGTGGTGGTGGAGGCGGGCAGACACACACAAACACACACACGGCAGCTAACAGTCTCATTGGGGGTCAGCATGGACACACTTGGACACACACTCTCTCACACACTCACAAAAGCACCCAGAAAACTAACTGAGCTTACTTTGCTGTCCAGTGACTGAATTGGGCAACCTGAGCTGTGCGCCCACAAGACATAGATGAGCCCTAGGCTTCGGAGGCCACGTTTGAGTCCTACCTAGCTGCTCCACTCACCAGCTGTGTGACTTTGGGCACAGATTTGCCCTCTCTGAGCCTGTCCTATAGAATGGGACCATGCAAGCATCCTTGGCATGCTTGTTACACGGAGAGGGTGAGACCAAGGAGATGCTTTGTGAATGCTGGTTGAATTGCATCAATGGGGAGCTGGAGAGAGGAGTCGAGCCGGGGGCCAAGACAAAGGGTGGAAGACTTCAGCAACTGTTTATTGAACAGCTTCTGTGGCCCAGGCGCTATTCCAGGTGCTGGGTGCTGCAAAATCATGCCCTATATGAAACTCACGATGTAGTGGGGGAGAGATGCTAACGAGACAAGTAAAAGAGAAATGTCATTTGACGGAGATAGCGTTATGAAGAAAATGAGCTAATACTGGCTTAGAAGAATGCCTGGCATATAGTGGCCATCATATAAATAAAAATAAAACAGGGAACAGGATAGGGAGCTATTTTGACGAGGTGGCCAGAGAAACCCTCTCCAAAGAGGTGGCGTTTGAGCAAAAACCTGAATGAAGCGAGAAAGTGAGCCATGTGGAAATCTAGGGGCAGAGAATTAATTCCAAGGAGAGGGAGCAGCAGGTGCAAAGGCCCTGGGGCAGGAGCATGCCTGTCAGAGGAAGAAGGAGGCCAGTGTGGCTGGAGTACAGGGAGTGAAGAAAGGCAGCAGAAGATGAAGTTGATGAGGCTGGGGGTAGGAGGGTAGGCAGACCAGGTGGAGGTAGAGCCTCTAGGCCATGGCAAGGCCACTGGGTTTGATCCAAACAGTGAGAGGGAGTGACGTGGTTGACATTAGGAAGGCACAGATCTGGATGCGAACAGCATTCCTACCGCCCACTGCCCAACCCTGGCCCCCACTGCCTCCCTTCCTTCTGGGTCTAGCAGAGTGCATGATAAGAGCAAAGACTCTGGAGTCCGACAGACCTTGGTTCAAATCCAACCGCTGATAGTCACCAGCCGCATGACCTGGGGCTCCTTGTGATGTCTTAGCTTCCTCGCCTGTAAAATGGGGATAGTAATTTCCATCTCGTGGGTTGTTGGACAATACAGTGAGCTTCCGCCTCTAAAGTGCTGAGCCCCTGACATGCAACATGGGAAGCCCTCCGTGAGGCTTGGATTAGTGGCTCTCCACTGGAGCACCCCTAACCCCCAGGGGACATTTAGCAGTGTGTGCAGACATTCTTGGTTTTCACAACTGGGGAGAGGAGTGCTACCGGCATCTAGTGGTAGAGCCCAGGGATGCTGCTAAGCATCCTTACGGCACACAGGACAGCCGCCACTACAAAGATTGATCCGGCCCCAGATGTCAGCAGTGCTGAGGTCAAGAAAGCCTGCTTCTGCTGAGCACCATCCAATAGACTATAACACGGGTCATGCGTGTAATTTTAAGCGTCTCAGGAGCTGCGTTAAAAAAAAAAAAAGTAAATAGGTGACGTTAATTTTTGTAGCATATTTTATCAGCCCATGGTTTCCAAAAATATTATCATGTCAACATGCAAGCGATATAACAATTATTAGAGATACTTCGTTGTTTTTTTTTTTTTTTTTCATGCTAAGTTCTTGAAATCTGGTGTGTATTTTACACGTACAGCTCATCTCAGTTCGGACCGGACACATTTAAAGGGCTCTTGAGCCACATGTGGTAAGTGGCTGCTGTCTTGGGTGAGGCAGGTTTAGATCAGGTTGTTCCGGAAGTTCTTAGCCCAGTGCCTCTGTCTGCTCATGACCTTCACCGTTTTCTTTTGTTTCACCCTCTGCCACCGCCATCGCCTGCAGGAGACCTGTGCTCGGATCCTCCTCTATCGAGGAGCCAACAAGGATGTGAAGAATAACAATGGACAGACCCCCTTCCAGGTCTGGGGCTGTGAGGGCTGGTGGGGGGCCCAAAGAAGGCAGGGGGTGAGGAAGGTGGGACAGGCAGGGGTGCTGGTGGTCTGGGAGAGGAGGGAGGGGCGCAGTTGCTGGGGTGAAGGTTTGGGGGGCAGGGGCGGGGGGCAGCCAGCCAGGGACCTCACCGTGCTTCCCGCTCTCTCCCTCTGCGGCCTGGGCCACCCCACCTCCTTGTGTCCCCTCCCTCCAGGTGGCAGTGATCGCTGGGAATTTTGAATTGGGGGAGCTGATCCGAAACCACCGAGAACAGGATGTGGGTGAGCGAGTGGGAAGTACGGCTAAGGGGAGAACCTAGGGTATTGGGGGTGCATGGTGGGACTGGGGAGTCAGCGGACTGTGAGCATCTGGGTAGTAGTAGGGGGTGCGATTCCAGGCCCCCACTCTCTCTCACGTCTATCTTTCTTCCCTCGTGCCTCTCCCCGTCCTCCCTTGCGTGCATGCCCCCTCCACCTGCCTGTCTCCCCTGCCCCTTCTGCCCCCTGCCACTGTGCCCTCTCAGTGCCCTTCCAGGAGTCCCCCAAGTACGCAGCCCGGCGACGGGGACCCCCCGGCGTAGGGCTGACGGTGCCCCCGGCACTGCTTCGGGCCAACAGTGATACCAGCATGGCCCTGCCCGACTGGATGGTGTTTGCAGCCCCGGGGACCTCGTCCTCTGGGGCCCCTGGCCCTACCTCCGGGCCCCAGGGCCAGTCGCAGCCCTCGGCCCCCAGCACCAAGCTCAGCAGTGGGACCCTCCGAAGTGCCAGCAGCCCCCGGGGCGCCCGGGCCCGCTCCCCATCCCGTGGGAGGCACCCTGAAGAGGCCAAGAGGCAGCCCCGTGGACGGCCCAGGTAGGGGAAAGCTCAGCCCTGGTCCCGCAGACCCCAGCCCAACCAGATCCTATCCTCGGAGCCCCAGCTCCCCCCACCCAGGCTGGCGCCCCATCCACCCCAGTCCCTGGTCCCACCCTCAGGCCTCCAGATCTCTCTCCTGCTCCCTGAGGAAGGGAGGGCATTGTAAGCCACAGTCTTGCACCCACCCCCAAATGTGCCAGTTTAGCCAAGCACCTGCTCGATGCCAGGGGTCAGGGGTGGGGTGCCCAAAAGAAATGTTGGCTCCAGCCCCCGAAGACAGACTGACAGACAGGGCAAGGTGAGAAAAAGCCAAATGGGGTGGGGATGGGCGAGGGACTTGGGGAAGGGTTTCTGAGCTTGGAGATGAGACCACGGTGCGGGGCGGGGGGGTAGTGGAGGAGCCACTCAGGGTAGAGGGGAGGACGAGCAGGGGGCATTCTGGGGGTAAAGAGGCCAGGCTGGCTAGAGGAGGACGAGAAGGGGGACTGTGGCTGGCCAGTATGTCCTGAGGACACGGGAGAGCAAAAAATCATGGCAGGCCAGGCATGGCAGGCAGAGGAGTTGGACCTGCACCAGGAGGAAGCTGGGAGTCTCTGAAGGCTCGTGAGGGAGCTGAGAGATGACACAGTCAGAGCTCCGCTTCAGGAAGCTGAATCAGGCACAGCACGCAGGGCCGTGGGAGGGGCAGAGCCGGAAGCCAGGAGGCAGAGGAGGGGGCTGGGGGGCAGCAGTGGGCAGGCAGGGGGAGCCCCCAAATGCCCTCTTCCCCCCAGGACGCCAGAGCTGGGACACCCACTCAAGCCCCCTCCCCCACTCTGATGCTCCATCTCCCCCTACCCCACGGACCCCTGTTCTCCCAGAGGTGCCCCCTCCCTCCATTCTCCCTGCCTCTCACACCCTCTGTGTATGCAGCTCCAGTGGGACGCCCAGGGAAGGGCCGGCAGGGGGCACAGGGGGCTCAGGGGGCCCTGGGGGCTCCCTGGGCAGCCGCGGGAGGCGCAGGAAGCTCTACTCAGCAGTACCCGGACGCTCCTTCATGGCCGTGAAGTCCTACCAGGCCCAAGCCGAGGGGGAGATCTCCCTGAGCAAGGGGGAGAAGATCAAAGGTAACAGGGCAGGGCCGGGCCAGGCTGAGGGTCGGGCAGGGGAGCCAACCACTCAAGGAGAAGACAGTCAAGGACAAACAGTTCTCCGGGGCCTAGGCTGTCCGATGCACTCTGGGGACCCCAGGGAGCCCCTGGATGCCCCTCTGCCCCAGAGGAGCATGAAGCATAGCTGCCCAGATGCCACCCGTCGGGAGGAGGTGTTGAGGCAAAAGAAGGGAAATGAGCATTTGGGGGACCCCGACACCATGCCAGGCCCTGTGGGAGTGGTCCCCCTGCAGGGTCGGCCTTTCAGGGGGGTGTCAGGAGCCCCTCTGACAGTTGAAGGAACAGTCTCACAGGTCAAGTGACTTGCCCCAGTCCCCAGTGTGAGCCCACAGTCTTTCCTGCCACCTGGTGTGGAGCGTGGGGCCAAGCCACCTTGACCTCACCTCCTGCCCCTGCCAGGTGCTCTCATCTGAGGAACGGGGTGGGGGGCCCGCTTCACGGGGCTCTCATGAGACAGGTGTTGGAAGCCAGGACCATGCCAAGGGCTCCCTGAGCGGCGGCAGACGCTGCTGTTCCTGGAGTTTGCCTCTCTTTGGTTTTTCTGTCTTCTTCTGGAAAATGGTGCCAGTAGCCTTCACGTGCAGACTTCGCAGGGCTGTTGACGTGTGTTCTTGGATAGAATGAAGCTTGGAAACGGGAAGCAAGCAGACGTGGCAATTAATGCGAGGCGGGGGAGCAATTCTTTGCCGACTCTAGGCTGCAGGGGAGCTGAGTAGTGTAGAGCTGGAGGGCCAAGCTGCCTGGGTTCAAATCCTGGCTCTACCACTTCCTGGCTGGGTGCCCGCAGACAAGTGACTTTTCTCTGGGCCTCAGTTTCTTTACCTGTACAGTGGGACCCTGGTGAGAATTTAAAAAGTCAGTCACCTTAAAGCACCCAGGACCACACTGAGCACATAGCAAGCGCCAATGATCGTGATCCTCCGCGGGCCCCCATGACAGGAGCTTAGAGGGGAGAGAAAGAGACCCTGGCTGCCCGTGAAAGCTGGGGGTTCCTCCCATGGGAGACGGAGGTTGTGTGGGGCCTTGAAGCATGTGCAGGGATCAGAGGGTCAGGTGGGTCGTGGATCAGCATCCGTTTTGCACTATCTCTTCCCGCAGCCTGAGTTCCTGAAGGCAAGGTCACGTGTCATTGATCTCTGGGTTGCCGGGGCCCAGTGTAATGACCCAGGACACAGGAAGCCTCAGTGCACATCTGCTGAATGAGTGAATGAGCGAATGAGTGAATGGCCAGATGCAGGAGCAAACTGTGGGGGCCAGGGGCAGTGCCTCCAGAGGCAGGGTGCCTGGGAAGTGTGCGTGTCTGTGTGCGGGTGTGAACACATACACACAGGCACGCACACATGGAGGGTCAGGTCGGTGCTTTGAGACAGAGTTTGCAAGAAGAAAGGGAAGCTAAGGTCCGAGGGCAGGGACTTTCCGTGTGCGGGATCTTCCAAGTTTCTTTCTGAAATTCAAGCCCAATACTCCTGTACAATGCCCCGTTTTTGTATCCTTCCCTTTCATTAAGACGTTTAGTCGCTTCAAAGCCTGCCTCCATCCACGATGCCACTGAGGTTCGCCGCATCCCGATGAGGCAGCAGGCTCCCTCTGCTCTCAGGCCAAAGCCCGGTGCCTGAGCCTGGCTTGCCAGCCCTCCCCTGCCCACCCACCCACCTCATCTCATGGCACTCTTTCCTTCCCCCACAGGGCGCCAGGGACCTCCTTCTCCCCATTGCTCACGTGCCCCAAGCCCTTTTCCACACCAGGCTCTTTGCACGAGCTGTTCCTTCTGCCAAGACAAACTTTTCCTCCCTCTCTTTGCCTCTTTAACTCCTAGGATCCTTCTGGTCTCAGTCTATATGTCGTGTCCTCCGAGACATCGTCCTGGCCCCTTTGCCGTCCGATTTATAAACCCCCATCTGGCCTCTCTTCGGACACCCCGTCCTTTTCCCCTAGAGTGCTGACCTTAATTTTCAATTGTGAGGTCCCTTACAGAGTTATGCCTCCCACGGCTGCCAGCGTGGAAGCTCCCCGAGGGCAAGAACCACAGTGGTTGTGTCCAAGAGTGCTCTACCCCGTGTCTAGCCTGGTGCTTGACTCATGACCGGCACTAAATAAATATTTGTTCAGTGACCGGACGATTGATTCCATGACCACCAAGCCGGTCACTGGAGGGCTAGCCAAGAACCCAGACCCCTTGTTACCCCCTCGCCTGTTCCCTTCCATGACCTTGAGCATCTCCTCGATTTGGTCTCCCCAGTGAAGCAAAGAAAAGCACCAGGGGGCCCCAACTCAAATCCCAGTGTGGCTTGAGCCATCTCTGGGGCCAGGGACTTTTCTGCTTTAGCTTCAGCTTCTTCATCTATAAAATGGGAAATCAGTTGTTGCCTACCCTGGTAGGCGTGAGGGAAGTGTGCGAAGGGCCGAGCGGAGACAGAGCCAGGAGAAATGAAGAAATGGAAGACTGTGCATCTGTTACTGTTGCCATGACCATCAGCATCAGAAGCATCAGCAACACAATGCTTGAACAGAGAGGTAGCAAAACACTATGACTCAGAGCATTCACGGTGGAGACACAGAGTGGTGTTCAAATCCAGGCTCTATGGATTACAAGCTGTATATTCGGGAGCAAATGACCTCGGCTCCCTGAGCCTCGGTTTCCCTACCGGCAAAAGGGGTTTAATGGAAGTGTCCCTTCTTAGGGTTCTGGTCACCAGTGAGAACCGGATAGACGTTAGCAGTCCCCGATGTCCGTCTTTGTACTTGAGTGGCCGGCTCACACACACACAGACACAGAGCGGGCAGTCAGCAAACGTGTGCCGTGTGTGGCTAAGAGATGGGGCCAGCAGGAAAGGGCCTCCAGTGACGGGTGGTGGACAGGAAGAAAGATGTGATTCTAGTCTCTTCTCCTGTCTAGAGCCAGGGGAAGCAAAGAGAGGCAGAGGGCAGGAGCTGGAAGCAAAGGACAGAAGTTTAAGTGGCCAGGAGGCTGTGGGAGGGGGCGGGGGCAGTGGCGGGACTGTAGAAGGGTTTAGGGAGTCTAGAAGGGCTTCACGAAATTACAGAACACCCGAGCTGTGACTGGTTGGTTACCAGGGGAGGTGAGGGCCAGTCCTGGATGTGTCCCTAACCTGCGAGGACCATGTCACCAGACACAGCCCTTTCTCCCAGTGCCTCTGGATGTCCCCACTGGATTCGGAAATCAAGAGTGCAGGAATGATAGGATTTGATTCTTCCCCTCCCCCTCATCCCTGCCTTGGACATTTATTAAGGATGCCCTTGGGCCAGGCCCTGTGCTAGGTGCTGGGGAATTGTGGCAAGGCTGTGCATCGAATATGTTGGGGGTGGGGCGTGACACGGAAACACAGAAATGTTTCTATGTCCCTGCTCCCCACCCAGTGCTTAGCATCGGGGAAGGAGGCTTCTGGGAAGGCCAGGTCAAAGGTCGCATTGGCTGGTTCCCCTCTGACTGCCTAGAAGAGGTGGCGAACCGCTCCCAGGAGGGAAAGCAAGGTAATGAGGACTCCCTAGTTGTCCCTGATCATCTGAGGGTTCTCCTGACGGGGGTGGGGTGCTGGGAGGTAGAGGGGACGACGTGGGCCAGGACCCCCAGGGGTGGGCCCACGGTTTCCAGAGTGAGGGTCCAAGGTCGTCCCTTGTCCCCCTGCAGAAAGCCGCAGTGACAAGGCAAAGAGACTCTTCCGGCATTATACCGTGGGCTCCTACGACAGCTTTGATGCCCCAAGGTAAATGTCCTTACACCCTCGGGTGCCCCTCACCCCAACCTACCTTCATACTCCACCTTTAAATATTTCCACCACCTCCACGCCTCCTTTCTGCTCCCTCTAAAGTTTGATCCAGAGCTGGGGGAAGGCAGAGTTAGCTTCAGACCACAAGCTCATCCCAAACCATCCTTGGCAGCCACTGAGGCTGCCCAGGTTTGGAGTAGCCTGAGACCAATGGGTGGACAGATAAGGATGGGGATGTCTGGGGACCAGGGGAGCTCGTGTGTGTGGCTGGCTGGAGGCCTTTGTCTCCTTCATGTGCCCCATCTCTGTGCGGTCATGTGCAGCAGAAGTGTATGCATCCCATGCCTCGCACGGGCGTGGGGAGAGGGGCAGGCAGAGCTGGGCCAGGAGGGGTGGGGGTGGAGAGATGGGCACACTGACACCTTTCCCCTCCCTGGCTGCTGGCTGACTTGCTTCAGAAGCTTGATGGATGGGATTGGCCCAGGGAGGTGAGAGGGGAGGGGAAGGGAGGGCACGGGGTCAGGAATGGGAAGAAAGGGGTGCCTGGGGATGTATGGACTTGTGTGTGCACGAACAGAGCTGGTTTCCCTGTGCGTGAACATCTTACACAGGCGAGCGTCCTTGTACGGATTCTCTGAGTGTGTCCTTGCCCCTGTGTCTCTGTAGGTGCGCATGACACGTGTCCGTGTGCATGGGTGGCTAGAGGCCCCTAGACGTATAGCCATGTGCCTATATATGCCCATGACAGCGAGAGAGTCTGTCGTACTCTGTATAGATGGATGCATTTGTGGCTGCCATTTGTGGGCGCACGATTGAGCCTAATCGTGTGGCTGGCACTGCACATTTGTGTTTCCCTGAATCTGTGTGTCTGAGAATGAGGGCAAGTGTTTCCAGGGATGTCAGTGTGTCTGCTTACCTTGTATGGACAGGTTGGTTTCTGCACACGTCTGTCTCTTTCTATGCATGTCACTGTGCGGGCGTGTTAGCCCAGAAAATTGTGTGCATGCATTTGCATCTGTCCGATTGATCTGGAATTCAGGACCTGGGGCCCTGGGGGAGGGGAGGACAGAAGAGGGGAGGATTCCAGGGCTTGGGCTTCCAGAAGGGCAAGACTGTGGGGGAGGGATGGTCATAACTGGGTATCTGAAAGATGACACCCTCCCCCACCGCTCCCCCCATCCAGGGAAGGGTCTCCTTGTTTGTAGCATCCTTCCATTAAATGTGTCCAAACCTATGTGTCTGTGTTCTGGCCAGTGGGGACGGGAGGGGGGGGGGGTTGGGGGGAGAGAAATAACAAAAGATGGGGAGAGAGGATGGGGCTGGGGTGCCACCCTGCGCCCGGAGTGTCTGAGGCGCTTGACCATTGTGCGTGTTCACCTGGCACGTCTCTGGCTCTGGGCACCGGGTGAGTATCAAGGTCCCCCCCACCCCAAATCTCCCTATCAGCCTCTGCTTCTTGTCTCTGACAGTGTCTCTCTGGGTCTCTCCTTGGCCTTGTTTTGGGAATCACTTGCTCCCCCAGCTGGATAGGGGTGCTCCCTCTTGCCCTCAGCTTCTTCCTTCTCCTCCCCTAGCTCCGTCAACTTCATCCCCTCCCCTTCTCCTTTCCTCCTTGTGCCCACTGGCATGTGCTGCACTGTGTGATGTGTCTGAGCCTCTTCCCCTCCTGCCTCCCCCCTGCTCTCCCTGACCCTGTCTGAGGTGGCCTGGCCTGTGGTGTGTACCCTGCATCCCTGCTGGAGCTCTGAGGTCCTGGCCTGTTGCCACCCTCTCTCCTCTCCCTGGGGGTCTATGCCCTCTCCTCTCTCAAGTGAGCTGCGGTGTGTGTATGTCCCTCGTCTGGGCTTCTTTGGGGCGGGGGGAGGGGTGTCTCTCACTGCTCTGGGGCCCAGTCTCAATGTTCCTAGCCTTCCCTTCCTGGCCCTTCCAGACTGTGTCGGGGTGCATTATGTGTCGGTCTGCGATGGGGGGCTGTGCGTCCCCTCCTGGGGCCTCTCTCACCGTGGTATCCCTGCTGGGAAGTGGGGCTCGGTTCGCGCGTCCCCGCACGCGGTCGCGAGGCATCTTGTGTGGTGGTGTGCGTCTCTCTCCGCTCTCCCTCGCTCTGCACCTGCGCGGGAGGGCTCTGGAGGGAGGAGGGGGTTAAGCGGGGGGCCCAGACCGGAAGTGCCTCCCCTTCTCCCCCCCGTGCCTCGCCCCTCCCCCTTCTCCCGCCAAGGGGGCCCCCGCGTTCCCCTTCGGGCCCCCTCCCCCCTGCCCGGCCCCCTCCGCCACCCGGCGCAGGACGCCAAGGGGTTAAAGCCTCGCGCCCGCCGCCCGCCTCCGGAGCTGTCCGCGGTGCTGAAGCCGGCGCCTTCCGCGGTCCTCGCGCTCCCGCCGCGGCCCGACCCCGCGCCCCGCGCCCCCGCGCCCCCCGGCATGTGAGCCCCCGGCCCTGCCCTCCCTCCCGCGGGAGGGTGCGCGCCCCCTCCCCCTCCCCCCTCCCGGCGCGGGTCAGCATGAGGCGGGGCCTGGGGGCCCGGACACGGGGGTTCGGCCGAGCGGGGACGGGGACGCGGCGGCGGCGGCGGCGGCGGGGGCGGCCGGCACCGGGCCCGGGGCCGGGGCCGGGGCCGCGGCGGCGATGGCTTTGTCTGCGGTCGGCGGCGGCGGGGGTCTCGGAGGCGGCCCCGGTGGGGGCTCCCTGCCGCAGCCGCCCCCCGCGCTCTCCTCCAGCTGGCCGGCCCTGGGGCCCCGGCGGCGCAGCGTCTGGTACATCTACAGGTAACGGAGCGCGCCGCCCCTTTTCTCCGCGGCAGGCTGGGAGGCCCTGGCCCGCTGTGACGACCCTCTCCTCGCCGCTAATCCCCCAGTCTTGGGACTCCTCCCCCCTCAAGCCGCCCCCCCACCCCCTCTCCCCTCACCTTCCCTCAGTGATAAACCCTTTGGACCCCTCTTCTCAGCCTTTCTCTCATCCCCGTCCCTGGGCCTCTCTCCCCGAGCCCCCCCACACACATACACTCCTCAGCCCCCTTCCAGGCCCTTTCAGACCCCCTCATCTCTTCCTCCGAAGCCTTGCCCCCAGTCGAACCCTCCAAACGGACCCCACTCCGGGGTTTGGAACCCACTACCCCTTTCTGCCCCCCTCACCGCCCCCACTCTGTTGAGCTCTCCCCGTGGGGAGCCACAGTGACTCCCCCTCAGGCACCTACATTCCAGGTCCCTGTTCCTCTGATCCCCACCTCCCCACACCCCTTTACAGAGTTGGCAAGTCCCCTCATTCATACCCCTCTCTCCCATTCACAGTCATCCCCCCATCACACACACATCCCACCCCCGGCCTCCCCTCCCCTCCTCTTTTTCCGCTGCGTGTCACTGTGCGACCGTGCATGTGTCAGTGTGGATGTGTCGGTGTGCGTGCGTGTGTGACTGCCTGCGGCCATGCGCACACGGCTGTGTGTGTGTGTGTGTGTGTGACAGAGAGAGAGAGAGAGAGAGAGATGGAGAGATGGTGGGCTCCCAGTCCCCCTCCCCCAGCTGTGTCCATCTGTGTGTCCCTGTTTGATGGTGTCTATCTCTGTGTGTGACTTGGAGCGACAGAGAGGCTGTCTGAGGATTGTGTGTGTGTGTGTGAGTGATGGAGTGGGTCTGTCCCAGGGACTGCGGCTGTATTTCCCATTACCTATCCTCTCATGCCAGGCCTGTCCCTTCCCCCCGACAGCCCCCCCTTTTCTAGTCCCTCCGTGTGTCTCTGTCCCCATGTGCCCCTCTCCCTGCCTCCAGGGGGTCTGTGCCGGTGTGGGGCATGTGTGCTGAGCCTCGGCTAAGCTTTTTCACGGGGAGCTGCATCTGCCTGTGTGTGCCACTTCTTAGCATGGGAGGGGGCTGGCTTCCCTGCGAGGGGGCCTCTGTGCAGGCCATGGAGAGACCCATGGAGATGGGTACATGAGGAGGGGCTGAGTACCAGAGGGGGTGCCTTGTACAGCAGCAAGCTCTGGGCTGTGGGATCCTGGGTGTGTGAGAGGCACCTTTGGGATGGGGGTGGGGGGAGTGGATGCTGCTGCAGTCTCCGCGTGTGGGATCCGGCGAACAAGAGCTGGCCGCTGAGCTCCAGAGGCCACTCCGGGGTCGCCGAGGGATGGCCTGGGGGAGAGCATTGTGTGTGCTCCTGCAGGGCAGGTAGTCAGCAATACCAGCCTGAATGGGGTGTCGCGTGGGTAGAGAATGCTGGGCCAGGGGTGGGGTTAGAGGGTCTCAGTAGGAGGGTGGCCGATGAGATTGGAACAGGGGAGAGCGGAGGACACTGAAGTGGGGGAAACGGGGGTGCTGGAGCATACAGGGTGCGTGGGGTGTTTGGAGAAATGGGGTGAGGAGGGAATGCAGGAACTGTGAGGAGGATTTGGGGGTGGGGATTCAGGCAGCACAGGGAGAGCACAGAGAGGATGCAGGGAATATAAATGAAATGCAGCTGCAAGTACCAGGAGGCGGAAGGGTGTGTGAGGAAGTGAGTTGATGCAGAAGTAGAAAGAGGCTTCCACGGATGAGAATGCGGGGGACTGGGGAGTATGAAAGGAACCTAGGGTGCTGTAGGGGACACAGTGGGATTGCATGCAGAGGTGTGAGAGGATGTGGGAGGGGTGAGGCTAAGGGAGAGGGGGCATAAGAGGGATGAGGGTCTGTGGAGGACACTTTGGGGAAGGGAATGGGAGGTGTGCAGGGGCCGAGTAGGAGGTAGAGGGATGACCCCATGGGGGTGTGATGAGGGCTAGGGGAACTGAAAGCTAATGAGGGTGGGTTGGACCAACACGGAGCTTTCCGATGGCATGGAGGAGTAGGGAGCAAGGTGCTGAGAGGTGAAGGGGCACACACAGGAGCAGAGGATGGGGAGCACAGAGTTTAGGGAAACTGTTGGGGCAACAGGGCAGGTGGGAAGTTGGAGGATAACGTGGTGGGATGAGGGAAGCATCCCATGGCCAGGGATTGGGCAAGAAAGTCATGGGAGTGCGGAGAGAAAGGAGCCTGTATGGGATGGGGATGCTTGGGAGGGAGGGACACAGGTGGAGTTGGGATGATCTGGGGGTGTTTGGACGTTATTGGGGTGTATGGGTTGCCTGTGAGGAATTCAATCCTTGGCTTTGACACTTTTCTAGCTGGTGTGATCTTGAGCATGTTACTTCTCCGTGCCTCAGTTACCCCTCCCAGGGGTGTTGTGAGACTATGTGAATAGATAAACATTAAGTACGTGGAGTGGCATCTGGCAGTCAGCAATGGGTCAGTAAATGTCACTCATTGTTGTGCTGATGGCATAACCTGGGATAAATTTCAGGCTCCGAAGGCGTGGATGCTTATGACCAATTTGGGGCAGATGTATATGTGCTTGAAGTATTTGGGTGCAGTGAAGTGGACGGTATTATAACTGCAGCCACCCAAGTATTTCTTCTGTGTTTCTGAAGATTACTCACTGTGTGACCTTAGGCAAGTTGCTTAACCTTTCTATGCTTCTGTTTCCTCACCTATAAAGTGGAAATAGTACTTATGCCTACCTCAGAGGCTGGCTAGGACAGACAACTGAGTTACTCACCTGTGAAGGGTTTCAGATACCGCCCCGCACATAGCAAACGCTTCTTCCTGGCATGCAATGGACATGGGAGTTCTGTTGAATTATATTGGGGGATGGGGTACTTGGGGGAAGGCTTGTGTCTGGAGTGTGAGAATAATGTGGGGGTAAAAGAGAGATTCCAGGGGTAGGGGAAAGACGTGGGAAACATAGGGGTTTGTGGCATGAACAGAAGAAAAAGAAACGGTTGCAAATGAGGGATAAAGGAAGTCCCAAGGGCAGGCTGTCTGCTGGGGACCTGGAGGTCTGGAGGGGGTCTGGGGGTAGCAAAGGCATAAGGACTCAGTGGAAGTGGCCAGGTGGGGACAAAGGTGGGTGTCGCAGAGTGCATGGTCAGGAGCAGGCAGCTCTGACCTCTGAACCAATTTCTGTTGGCCTTGGCCTTGGCCCCTTCCTCCTCTCTTTGCCTCCCTTCCCTCACCCCTTCGAAACCCCTTCCCTCTTCTCTTCCTACACCCCTTCTACCCTGCTACAAAGGTGGCCTCTCCCTGGCTTGAATGTAAGGTCAAGAAGGCATGGTGGGTATGGTGTGGTGTGTTGACTGGACCATGGTGACCCTTGAGTGAGAGAAGTGGCTAGGTCTGCCCGTGTGTATACACGCGCTGTTGACCACACCCAGTTACGATAAGGGGGGACGGGGGCAGGGCTGGCATACCGCGCATGTGCAGACCGCTGTCGCTGGGGTACAAACGTATGGATGTGACAGTGACAGTGGAAGTCGTGGGGATCATGGGAGTACACAGGGGTGCTTGTGTGTAGGGGGAATGGTACCGAAATACGGTAGGAGCATGGTGGGTATTATTGGCGTGTGCTGGGATGTGTTCAGGGGGCGTGTTATGGGAATACACTGAGATCTGAGGGAGGGGGAGTTATTATTGGAGCATACTGGGATGTGTGGGGGGCGTTACTGAAATCTACTGGAGTATTCGTGGAGGGCTGTTTTGCCGAATCTGTGGGGGTAGGTAATTGAAGCATGCGGGGAGCATGCTTGGCTATTATTGGAGTGTGTTGGGGCTGGTGGATATTATTGGGATCTGCTAAGGGGTCTGCACGTGTGCTGGACAGGTCTCAGACGTGAGCACAGGATGCTCGGGGTGCATCAGGGCATGCATCCTAGTGGATGGAGGGTATTCTTGGGGCCCCCGAGGGGAGTGGGGTTGGAGTCAGGGTGTATGGGTATTCCTGTTGTATACTGGGGTTCCTGGAATGGAGTGGATATATAATCTTCAGGCACACTGTGGTGATGTCAAGGGTTTGAGGCTGTTATCTGAGCGAGCCCAGGCAGGCGTTGAGATACATGGAATAGATTTGAGTTTAACTGAACTTTCCTGGGTATGTGAACATTACCTAAATGTGCTGACAGGCTTTGGTGGCCCGATGGTGGCGACTATCTGCATATTCGTGAGTAGTTTGCATTTTTACTAGAACCTGTCGGCTGCATGAAGGAGAGACATCTGAGGTATACCAGGGAATAGATCAGTCACTGTTGCTCACTAGAGCTTTCTGCAGCGATGGAAATGTTCTGTAACTGCACTGTCCACCATGGTAACCACCAGCCACATGGTGACTACTGGGCACTTTGAAATGTGACTAGTGAGACTGAGGAACTGAATTTCTCAATTTAATTTGCGATTAATTTGCATATAAATAGTCACACGCATTTAGTGGCCCCCATATTGCACAGTGCTGAGTAAGCGAGGCTACAATCTGCTTGGGTACCTGGGGAGATGTTACTGTAGTTTATATATAGTCAGGGAGCTGGGAGGGCTATCATCAAAGCACACGTGTCCTGTCGACTTAGTAACTTGCCTGAAGACCTTGAAGGAATCCTGCTGAGCCCATACTTCTTTGTGCCCAGCCCCGTGCTGAATACTGTACGTACTGAACTCCCACAGCGACCCCATCTGGTGGGGCCTGCTGTTGTCTCACATTATAGATGAGGAAATTGAGGCCCAAAAGGTTAAAGCCTTGGGCTCAAGGTCACAGATAAGAAAGTGGCTAGCAGGGGCTCAAAGCAGGCTGTCTGGTGATCTGGCGGCTTACCTCCCCATCCCTTGCACTGTGCTGGTACACAGTGGGCTTGGAAACTGCTTGCTGAATGGATGGGTGGATGGATGCACGGATGGATGAATGAGGAAAGACTGAGTGGGAGAGCCAGCACTCCGGGCTCTGAGGGGGAGGCTGCGAGCAAACACACACGGAATGGGTGAGGAAGATCCAGGAGGTGGGATGAATCGTTCTGGAGCAGGGGCTCAGGTCACCGGGTTGCTGGTGGAGGTTGGACTCTATGTCTCATAATCCCTTCTCCACCCCCCACCCCCCACCCCGCCCCCTTGCCAGCGATTACATCATTAAGGAGAAGACAGTCTTGCTGCAGAAGAAGGACAGTGAGGGGTTTGGGTTCGTGCTCCGGGGGGCCAAGGGTGAGTGCCGGCTGGGGAGGAGATGGGAGAAGGGCTCTCTGACCCAGGGGGATGGACAGGGGAAGGGACCCCAGCCCCCCCACCCCCCCACCCCCAGGGTGCTGGTCCCTCAGCTACGGTGAGGCCTCTGTGACTTGGGTCTGAGCCCCATCCCCTGCTCGGCCTCTCCACCCCCTCCCCTCCGACCCCGCCGGCTCCTCCCCATCTGCAGCGCAGACCCCCATCGAGGAGTTCACCCCCACCCCGGCCTTCCCGGCACTGCAGTATCTGGAGTCTGTGGATGAGGGTGGCGTGGCATGGCGAGCTGGACTTCGTATGGGAGACTTCCTCATCGAGGTGAGTCCTGGCCCCCAGCCCCAGGGGCCTTTCCAAGTGCCAGCCTCCAGCACACCTTCCACAGATACTGCTCTCTCCCTGGGACCCTGGTGACAAAAATCCCCAGGCTCCTCCTGATCCACACCAAATACGGCTGCCCAAGTCCCGATTCTCTTTCAGCACCAGGCCTCCCAGTCCCCCAGCCCACCCCCTAGCCAGCCTCTGCTTTCTTCAGTGACTCCTTCCGAAGGCTTCTCTGAAGCACTAAAAGAAAACAGAGCTGTTCCCCAGGACACACACACACACACACACACACAATGCAGGGACGGGGGACAAGGACCGGGGGGGAGAGAGGTGAATAGGGTGAACCCAGTCCCTTCCCCAACCCTGGGGCCAGGAAAGTTACCAGAAGGAGAAGTGGGGCCTTGCAAGGAGAGGGGGTGGTGGTGAGGGTCAGTGAGAGGGAAGAGGCCAAGAATGCTACACACAGGGCAAGGCGGGAGACCACTCTGCTGGGGACTCTGAAGCTGAAAGCATCCCTCCCCTCACCTACTCTGTGTGGTGTGGGGCTATCTGTGCCACAGGTGAACGGGCAGAATGTGGTGAAGGTTGGCCACCGGCAGGTGGTGAACATGATCCGCCAAGGGGGCAACACGCTGATGGTCAAGGTGGTGATGGTCACCAGGCACCCGGACATGGATGAGGCTGTCCATAAGAAAGGTGCTTGTCCACTTTTTGTGTGTGGCCAGACCTGGGCACCCCACTGCCACCAGACTGAGATCCTCAGAGGTCCTAATGGCCTAATGGTCCTCACCACTGGCCTTCTCTTCCCCAAGGCTGCTTGTTCATGACCCTTCTGGAGGAGAAACTGAGGCAGGGAGGGCTCAGCATGCTGGGGGCAACTGTTATCTGATATCTGGGAGCACTGCAGTGGTGGTGGGGGTGGTTCATGGGCCTTCTCTCTGCGGTACTGATGCTTGACCCCACCGTCACTTTTCAGCACCCCAGCAGGCTAAGCGGCTCCCGCCCCCAGCCATCTCTCTGCGTTCCAAGTCTATGACCTCAGAGCTGGAGGAGATGGGTGAGCCTGTGGGGCTGCTGGGGCCCAGGCGCTGGGGGGGTGGGAGGGGCAGAAGGGGGCTGAACCAGACCTTGAGTTTGTTAGTGTTGTTAGTGACCAGGGGTCCTGTCCTCATCCTGTCCCCTAGTCCATGGGTCAGACTGTCTCTGGCCTGCGTGTGTGTTGCTGGGAAGGGGCGTCTGAGAGTCGACCTTCCTCTGTCCTCTTATATCTGTTTCTCTGTCGAGTCTCTCTCTGGGTCTGCACGTCCCTCCTTACGGGTCCCTGTTTCCTTTCTGGCTTCTCTCCATCTGCCCCACCTCACCCCACTCCCGTTCTCTATCTCTTCCTCCACCAGCTTCCCCACACCCACTAACAGAAAGGAAGGCCAGCCCCTCCCCAGACAGGGCCGAGTGGACCTGGGGGTCCCGTTTCCCCTGACAGGGGGCAGATCGGGCAGCTGACCTCCCCTACCCTGAGGGAGGAGGGTGTTCCAGAGAGGGGGCCCCTCGCCTCCCCCTGAAGTCCTAACTCTTGGCTCCTCTACTGCCTCTCCCCCGGGCTAGTCTCCCCCTGGAAGAAGAAGAGTGGTGAGTGGGCACAGGACTGGCGGGGGGGCCCCCCCGTCCCCATCCCGCCGGCGGACTCGCCCCTCCCCGACCCGGGCCCTTCACTGCCCCACTCGCGCTTGCGCACGCCCGCTGGCCACGCCCACTGGCCGAGCCCGCTCCGCCCCGCCCCCAGGGGCGCCCCTGGACTTCATCCGCATCCTTTGCCCACAGAGTATGAGCAGCAGCCCGCGCCGGTGCCCAGCATGGAGAAAAAGCGGACCGTGTATCAGATGGCTCTCAGTAAGATGGCCCAGCCCTGCTCCCCAGGCTGCCCAGGACCCCTGACCCCACACCCCCTGGGGTGCCGCAGCCTCTCCAACCCTCCTCCTGCCTGCGCACCCTTTGGCCACCTCCAACCTGATCGCCTCATACCCCAACCTTGCCCCACGCATCAAGTATGAGCTCCCACCCCTGTCCTCAGCCTCTCCCCTGTTCCTTCTGCCTCCCCTCCACCTTCCCTCCTATGACAATTTGCTGTCCTCACCCCTTCCCACCGCTGGGTCCTGCCTTCTGGGCTGGAGATTCTGTCTCCATCAGGGCCATCAGTCCACGGGGATGGAGGCAAGGGTGCCTTTTCCTGGTTCGTACAACATATTGTATGGGCTCCTGGCAGCTCGGTTTCTGCCCGAGGCCAAAGCAAGCTTCATTTCACTGCCTCTTCCCTCCTCCCCTTAGACAAACTGGATGAAATTTTGGCGGCAGCTCAGCAGACCATCAGTGCAAGCGAGAGTCCTGGACCTGGTGGCCTTGCATCGCTGGGCAAACACCGGCCCAAAGGCTTCTTTGCCACTGAGGTAGGCCGCCTGGACTGGGGGATGGGAGCATAATGGAGAGGAGGCTTGGGGGGTGCACACACCAACCTGGAGCAACGTCCTTCTCCTTGCAAACCTTTCCCACCCCTCTGTGTTGAATGTCGGCCTAGAGGGGCACCATACTTCCTGGGCCTTCTCTTTTCTCCCCACTCTGGCAGCCTCCTTTCCTCTCTGCGCATCCTCTTCCTTACTCTCCTCCTAAGTCTTGTCTCTTGTTTCCTCACTCCCTGCTCCCACCTCTTGTCCATCTCCGTCCCACCTCAGGAGTCTCAGGGAAGGCATGATGTCACAGCTGGTGATCCCTGGCATCGGCCCAGCACATGATAATAGGTGCTCAACAAGAGGGAGTTATTAAAATATTATTTATTACCACTGTCTCCACTCTACCTGCTTTTCCCTAGGACAGAGGCTGACCTGTAATGGGTGGTGATCCTGTTTGGGACACTACATTTTACATGGATTATCTCATTTGTTCCTAGGATCATTCTGTGAGGTCCACATAGTTGTTAGCCCATTTACAGAGAGGAAACTGAGGCTCAGAGAGGGAGGCAGTATTTCAATCCAGGCAAGTCAGGCAACTGGATCCGTGGCATTGGCTCTTCTGGTGGGCCTGCTGGACCCTCCCTAGCTGGCCTGCCATTGGGCTGTGCCCTTTCATGGGAACACAGTCACCACCAGCCTCCTCCCCCCTCCAGCGTCACCTCCAGAGATCATACACGCCCTACTTCTCTCTTAGCACTTGCTTCTTCTCTGCTCGGGCCTTGCCCTCTGACCGTGCCCTTCGACCCCTTTTCCCCACAGGCCACACCCACCACCCAGTGGCCAACAGGCTATTTACTCTAAAACTGGATTCTTTGGCTTTTGAGGGACCATGGACCCCCTTGGCAGGCTAGCATAGTCCTCCTAATAATGCTTATGAACATAAAATAAATTACCTAAGAAAACAAAAGAAACCAATTACACCAATAATACAATTATCAAAATATTTTTTTAAAAGCAAAATCCATGGGGCACCTGGCTGGCTCAGTCGGTAGGGCATGTGACTCTTGATCTCGGGGGCATGAGTTTGAGCCCTGTGTTGGGCCTAGAGCTCAGTTAAACACATACACACACACACAAAGTAAAAGCAAAATTTATGATATAGAAACATCTATACTTTTTTGTCAACACGTTAGCCAGCAAGACCTCGTGATGGATCTTAACTACTCTAACTAGTCATGAGGTGCATAAACACAATTTCAGGAGATCTGCACCTGCTGTTAAAGGATATGGAAATATCTGTGATTTCTTTTGGGGATACAGGCACAAGGCTTGCTAAGGTCGGCTTGGTTTGCTGCCTACATCCTTAATCGAGGAAATGTTGTGTTGTCGTTGGAAGATAATGACAATAAAGATGTAATTTTTTTTCCTAGTCCAAGTGCATGGCCCCCTTGAAGTCTATCCACAGACCTGCGAAGGGTTAGACTGCCTACTTTAGAACGCCTCATACTTTGACAAGAACCAAATGAAGGTGGCAAATTTTGTACTTGGACTCAAAGAATTGCTTTCAGATGTAAAGGTGGAGGGTCCTTGGCCACTTCTCAGGGCTTGGGAGAGTGCCCTGCACGCAGTAGCCCCTCATGTCTCACCTGTCCTGAGTTTCTCAAGGAATCTGAAATCTCTGAGGCTGTGAGGATCATCTTTTGTGCCCACCTCCCCCAAAGGTCAGTGTAGACTCGGAAGTGTATGGACAGTCAAGCCAGGCAGACCTGCCTCCAAATTCTGACTTCCTCTGACTTCCTGTGTTACTTGAACCATACTACCTAATTTCTCTGCATCCTCAGTTTCCTGCTCCGTACAATGGGGCTAAAGCCAATCTTGCTGGTCCTGATGAGGAGTGAATGAGATCACCTCCTAGTACAGCAGGCTCTCAACAGATGGCGAGCCCTCTTAGGCCATAAAACAAACTGGAGACCCCACAATGACTTGCCAGTGAGCCTTGAATGTGCCCCAGAGACCCTGTAACAGCGTATCACATGCAGAGTCTCCAAGAATAGATAGGGCAAACCCTGTTTTCCTTTATTCAACAAATGGCAGCCAGCATGCCAACCCCTCCCTGTGTGAACCATGGTTGCAGGACAGACAAGATCCCAGCCTTCGTGGAATTCACCATCTGAGCTCCAAAGACACCCGTAGATGGGCCCAGACATGGGCCAGTAATAACACCAGCTGCCCACGTGCCCCTCCCTCCTAGAAACGAGACCCGCAGGCATTCACCTGAGTTCTTGAATGGCATCTCCCTTCCTTCTGGGCCTTAGAGGCCAGTGGTGTTTTTCCCTGTTAGGTTTCCCCTTTTCTTCTCCCTTCCAGGGTCTGGCCCTGGGCCTTCCCAAAGCCCCGCCTCTCGTGTTGGGGTCTTTCTTCACCCTCATCTCTGTCCCCACCTTCCCACCAGCCATCCTGACTTCTCACACTAAGTCAACACGGGCCCCATCCTGCTGCTTCTGCATCTCCATGGCTCACTCTCTCTGTGGTCTTGGTCTCTTCTGTTTCTTGTCTCCCATCTGCTTCAGCTTCTCTCCCCTCCTCACTGTCTCACTTGGAGCTCTGTGCACTAGACCAGAGAAGGTAGCTGGCAGTGTGGGGGCCCAGTATTGCCCCGAGGCCTCTTTTATCAGGCCCGAGCAACAGTGAATCAGAGTAACCTATTGTACAAGGTGCCACTGTTTGGAAACGTAAGAATTGGGAGATTTCAACCTCCCTGAAAGACACCCGTCTGCACAAAACCTAACGTGGGGACATGGTACTGAAGGACCTGCCCATGCCAACAGTGGGAGTGGCAGACCCCAGGCAGATCCACTGTAGGTCAAGGTGCCTCTTGGGCTGTCTCCTCCTAGGGCTCTGCTGTCCATCCATCAGTCCTCCCCTCTGTGTGGCTTTGGCTCCCTCAGCTACTGTCTCTGTTACCCGGTCACTGACCCCAAGGGGTACCCTACCTCCCCCCCAACTCCTGCACTGTCCTCGCTTCCGCCCATCTTTATCTGGGTGCCAGTGTTAACCTTTCTCTGGACTCAAATTTTCCCTCTGATTATTTTGACCATACCCTCTTGATTGCATTATCTGTCTCTTTCCCTCCTCTTTTTTTTTTTTTTTAAGATTTTATTTATTTATTTGACAGAGACACAGCGAGAGAGGGAACCCAAGCAGGGGGAGTGGGAGAGGGAGAAGCAGGCTTCCCGCCGAGCAGGGAGCCTGATGTGGGACTCGATCCCAGGACCCTGGGATCATGACCCGAGCCGAAGGCAGTCGTTTAACCGACTGAGCCACCCAGGCGCCCTCTTTCCCTCCTCTTTGCATGCCTGACCCTCCTGGAGCAGCTCTGGCCCCTTCCATTCGAGGCCTCTCAGGACTGCCTCTCTTCCTGCTTTGTTGGGACCCTCTTTCTTCCCATCGCTTTCTCATTTCCCCTCCTGTCTGCCCGGCTCTGAACCCCCATCTCTGTCTTTGTCGATCTCTGTCTCTCCGTCTGTCTCCCCCTCCGCTCTCTCCCCCCTCACCCCTTTCCAAGGGCTGTCGCCCTGGCGTGCATTTCTCAGCCCATCTTCAGCCTCCAGCCTGCACATAGCACCAGGGCGCACACTCTGCCCTTGAGGCATCAGACCCCCCACCGGCCCACGAGGTGGCACCGGAGGAGGGCCGGACCTCCCGCTGACTCCTGCCCGCAGCCGGTGACGTCACGCGCACCCGGGCCCTCTGATTGGCTGCCCGCCTCTGCGCGGGAGAGGACGCTCCCGGTTCGTGGGTGGAGGTCAGCCTGTCCCACCTGGGGCAGTGTGCCCCTCAGGCAGGCAGGCCGACGCCTCCTCAGACGCGTTTACGGCTTCTCCATCAGTCTGACATCTCCTCGGCCACTCTGACCCCTTTTATGTCAAGTTAACCCATCATTTGATCTCTCCTCTTCCACTTCGAAGTGTCTTCTGCCAATGTCCCAATCTGACGCCTTTCCCTCACTCTGCACTCTCTTCAGTCAGAGGCACCCCCACCCCGTCGTTCGGAACCCTCCCCCATCACTCTACCTCCATCCATCCCCAATCCCATGCGTCTACCAGATGCTTCCCTCACCTTCCTTCCCACCTCCCCATTATCCCCGTGCTCGCCTTCCCCAGCCTGGACTCCGTATTCAGTGTCCTCTCCAGCCTGCTTCTGCCCTCAGGGGTCCCTGCATCCTTTCCGACTGGGTGTTCCCCCATCTTGTCAGGGTGTCCTTCATTCTGCACGTATTTACTGAGCACCTGTTATGCGCTGGACCTGCTGCTTGGCTCTGGGGGTGGAGGAGGGAACCAATCAAGGCCACTCCCATTAGAGAATTTACATTTGGGGGCGGAGGTTGGGTTTTGCAGACTTGGGTTCTGCCGCATGTAAGAGAAACCTCCAAATAACAGTGGCTTGAACCAGAAGAGTCTTACAGCTCTGTCATGTTAACGAAGTCTGGAGGAGGGAGTCCCAGGCAGGTGTGGCAGCTGCCATGGTCATGAAGACCCAGGATCCTTCTCACTTTCTGCTCCACCATCCTAGCCTTCTTTCCAACCATAAGGTCACCTCATAGTCCAAGATGGCTGGAGCTCTAGCTGTTACACCAGCATTCCAGGTAGCAGGAACAAGGAAGAGGGAAAGGCAGGAAGGCAAAGGAGGGCACATTGTTGCTTCTTGGGTTGCCTCTGAGGAGACCTCCCCAAAGAAACACACAACACTTGCACTTACGCATCCCAGCTGACCTTAGTTCCATGGCCACACTCAGCTGCAAGGGGGCCTGGGGAATGTAGTCCCAATAGGTGCCAAAGGAGATTGCGGTTTCCTTACCAAGGAAGAAGAGTAGAATGGGAACTGGGTAGGCTCTGTGCCCAGGGAGACAGACAATGAACAAGCAAGCAAATAATTATACTAACTCTACACTGGTTTAAGTGGAGGGAGTTATGATGTAGAGTAACAGACAGAAGCCTCTCCAGGGAGGAGACATCTGAAACTAACAGACTTCACCCATTATCACTTTTCTACCACCTGTCTGACCTCATCTCCCACCCCTCAGCGCCCTGCTCACCCACTCGAGACACATCGGCCTCCTGACTGTTCCTTGAGCACACCAGACTCACTCCCACCTCAGGACGTTTACAATTGCTGTTCCCTCTGCCTGGGATACTCTTCCCCTGGATATATGCATGGCTCCCTTCTTCCGGAGATTGCTCAAATGATATCTTCACAGAAGGGCCTTCCTTGACAGCCCTATTTTAAATTATAGTCCTCCTCTCCTCCCCCTCTTCCCTCCACCCGACCCCGTTATGTTACTAATTTATTTTGTCTGCCCTCCAAAATAGACTTTTGTCTTATTTTGTCGATGGCTGCATCTGCAGCATCTAGAACAGTCCCTGGCATGAATCAGGTGCTCAGTAAATATCTGTGGAATGAATGAATGAATGAGACAAACACAGAGATGGTTAGTCTCAGTCCAGTGAGGTGTGTGCAGGGAGAGGTTAGGACAGGAGCATCCTGTGAGGGGCCAGAGCAGCACTGTCTTGTCCAGTAGAGTTCCTGGGTTGAAGGAACTGTTCTACATCCGTGCTGTCCCATACGGCAGCCACCAGCCGTGTGTGGTGACTGAACCCTTGAAATGTGGCCAGCAAAAACAGAGGAAGGGAGTTTTAAATTTTAGTTTATTTTAATTTGTTAAAATTTACATCTGAAAGGGTGGTGGCTATTGTATTGGGCAGTGTCGGTTTAGAAAGGAAGGGAGACGCCAGGCCAGAGTGGGGGCCAGGGTGACAAGTCTTCCCAAGCAGAGCAGGGGGAAAGGATGTTCCAGGCAGAGGGAACAGCGTATGCAGAGGCCCTGAGGTGAGAAACAGCACAGGAAATTGAGAGAGGCAGGGAGTACTTAGAGCAAGGGGGCTGGAGGGTGCATGATGGGAGGTGAGGGCAGTAAGGTGGGGACTTCGTCCAAAAAGGGTTTCCTTTCTCTGCACTTCTGGCCTCAAAGACAGAGAAGAGCAACATCCGAGGTCACCTGGCAGAAGCAAGGGAGTCAGTGCCTGATGTTGGCTCATTCTCCTTTAGTCACTGTTCATTTGACACAAGCTTATAGAACATCAGGTCCTGGTTGGGGACTGGGGACCCAGCAGTGAAAGAGCCCAACAACGTTGCTACCATCAGGCAGGGTGTTAGGATTCCACGGGCCTTTGGCACTTTTTTTTTTTAAAGATTTTATTTATTTGAAAGAGAGAGAATGAGAGAGAGAGAGCATATGAGAGGGGGGAGGGTCAGAGGAGAAGCAGACTCCCTGCTGAGCAGGAAGCCCGATGCGGGGACTCGATCCCGGGACTCCAGGAACATGACCCCAGCCGAAGGCAGTCGCTCAACCAACTGAGCCACCCAGGCGCCCTGGGCCTTTGCCACTTTTACCTTCATAAGCCCCTCTGTGTTGGTGCAAAGATGAATATTATCATCCAGGCTGGATTCTGTTCATTTCTCCCCCTCTGATTTTAAAGGAAATGAAAATATCTTCCCTGCAGGTGTCCTGGGCCGGAGATCCTGTACCTCTGGTGCCTTCAAGGAGCTGACATTCTAGGCAGGGAGTCAGGAAGGAAGCAAGTAAACAAGTCGTCTCAGATGGAAATGAGTGCCCTAAGGAAAACAGGACAGGAAAGTGCGGTAGACAGTGACTGGGAGGGACATTTGAGTGGAGGACGTAAAGACGGAAAGGAATGTGTGATGATGAGGAGAAAATGTTGCAGAGAGCAAATGCAGGACTTGCAAGTGTTCTAAAGCAGGGATGGACCTCGGGGCATTGGAGGAGCAGGACTGGTGGACACGGTGGACCAGAGTGAGCAGGTAGGAGATGTAGGCAGGGCTAGATTGTACTGGGCACCTGGGTTTCCTGTAGTGGGAGCATGAGATGGGGATTCCTGCGCCAACAGTATCCTAAGGGGAGAATTATAAGGGAGTGAGGGAGGCAAGGTGAGCTGCGGGAGGTCAGCAAACGTGGTCCCCGCTGGAGTTCCCTTTCAGCCTGATCCCTGGGAGAGTTTGAATTGCACCACGGAGTTAATCCTGCCTTGGATCTCTGTGTCAGTCTATCCTTGGCTGCAGGCTGCTCCCAGGAGTAGGGGGACGTAACCACTTGGGCCCATCAGCTCCTTTGGAGGAGGGGGATTCTTTAGAGCCAGGAGCAGCAGAGAGCCCAGGCAGCTGACACTCTCAGCAGCTGGGGATGGTCACTGCGTCCCAGTCAAAGGGATGTGCGTGTGCACCAGCAATGTCTACCACAGACCACAACTCAAGACCAGAGTTGGGAATTCCGATCCCCTCCTGACTGGTGATGTGGGATGCTCCTGTAGGACTTTAAGCAGGGCAGTCGCATGACCTGTACTTCTTTTTGAAAGATCCGTCTGACTCTTACGTGGCAAGCAGACCAGAAAGCGGTGGGGGGTGGGGACAGGGTGGCAGCAGGGAGACAGGGGAAAAGGCTGGGGCAGCCAGCGAGCCAAGCAATGCTGGTGACTTGGACCTGGGTGGGGGGTTTGACAGCAAGAATGGAGAAAAGACCCAGAACAGTGATCGGTATGGGAAGCAGAGCTAACGGGGCTGCCTGAGAAACTGCTTTCTTTTCCTTTCTTTCTCCCCGCTGCCCAAACTCAGACACCTTTCTCTCCCCCAGAATTCCCTTTTGCCTCCTCCATTCCTCTCACCCTCCCTGCAGAGGCTTGGGGGCTGGCTGTATGGTGAAGCCATGAATCTTCACACCCAGACTGATCTCTCTCTGTTGTCTTTTTTCTCTGACTGCTACCCCAAAGTCAAGCTTCGATCCGCACCACCGCTCGCAGCCAAGTTATGAACGTCCTTCTTACCTGCCTCCAGGACCTGGGCTTATGATCCGGCAAAAATCTATTGGTATGTCACCTGGACGGGTGGGTATAATGGATGCCAGCAGGGGAGGGGGAGGCTGGGAGAGTGACAGGTTACGGGAGGAATGAAGGGGCTTTGAAATGTCCTTTTCTACTTCCATATATGACCACGGTTCCATCAAGCTGGGCAAAGAGCTCAGGCTTTGTTTTTGGGCAAACCTGGGTTTGAATTCTGGCTCTTGTCCCTCCTGGCTGTGTGACCTGGGGCAAGTAGCTTCACCTCTCTGGGCCTTGGGTTCTGCATCTAGGAAATGGGCGTGTTATTGTTCCTGGCTGGATGCAGTGAGTCGAAGCCCCCACCACCTAGTTTCTTCTCTGTTATACCTGACTTCATTCATGCATGCATACATTCTAGAAATGTTTACTAAGCACTCTGCATAAGTCCTAGACTGCTGGGGATATGTCAGTGAACCAAACAGAGGAAAGGGTCCTGCCCTCATGGAGCTTGCCTTCTAGCAGGGGAAGACAGACAACAGATTATAAGGATAAGAAACAAGACAATTATATAGTATGTTGACAGTGGTAAGTTCTGTGTGGCGGGGGCGGGTGGGGAGCCGACTAGAATAAGAGAGATCAGGAGCGCTGGGAAGCAGATATGAGCCAAAACATGGAAATGAAGGGGGAGAGCCATGTGGATATACGGTGATAAGGTATTCCAGGTAGTGAGAACAGCCGAGACAAAGGTCCTGAGGTAGGATTGAGCCACCGTTTGCTCAGATCAGGGAGACTGTGGGGTGGGAGGAGATCAGGAGCATAGCTGGGGGCCTGCTAAGTTTCAGATGCCAGTGAGACATCCAATTAAGTGGATATGGCATTTGGATATAGGAGCCTGGAGCTCAGCGGAGAGGACTGAGCCCCAGGACAGATGTGGGCGTCTTCAGCAGAGACATAGTGAATGAAGCAACGTACAGCTTGAGATCGCCAAAGGAGAGAGAGTAGTCAGAGGGGAGAAGAGGGTCAAAGACTGAGCCCTGCAGTGATAAATAGGCAAAAGGCTTTGCTCTTCCCAATCCACTTGGAGTCCTTTTGCTGATTGGGCCTAGCTTTTCTCCCACTTCCAGCGTCCACAGTCCATCAGTGTGAGTCTTGCATCTGTGAGGTCTACCTGTATCTCCTCATTTACCTCCTCTCAACCACCTGTAAAGCCACCCAGCATTGCTCACCTATAAATCGGCTCTCTCTAGTAAACGTTAGCCTCATCCTAAGCAGTTCCGTCTGTGAAAGCACAGGTTTGATGTGCTAATTACATTTTATTTCCGTGTATACATGAAAAAGAAATCTATAACTGTGCACCTAAACATGGCATCTTTCCCGGGCTCCAGCCACTTTTGCTCACCCCAAGCCACCGCTAGCATAGGCCGTGTCTTTGTGGGAATTAGAAAACAGCGCCCCCTCCTGGCGTGGAGAGGAAGTTCAGCTGCATGTCGCCCCACCTCCCCTTGCTCCCTCTGCCGGGTGCTGATGTGCAATGCACAGCCTGGTCATCAAGCCAACTCTGGACTCATTCGTGTGAGGGTCTTAGCATATACTCAGTGGCGTCGTATTATTATTATTATTATTATTATTATTATTAATCATCATCATCATCTCATTAATATTGTAGTACTATGGGATAGGGGAGGAGGGAGACCCCCTCCCCCCACTCCTGGATCCGCTGTATCTTCCCCAGGGGCTGCAGAAGATGATAGACCCTACCTAGCACCCCCAGCCATGAAGTTCAGCCGCAGCCTGTCTGTGCCTGGCTCGGAGGACATCCCCCCGCCGCCCACCACGTCCCCACCGGAGCCCCCCTACAGCACACCTCCAGCCCCCTCCTCCTCTGGCCGCCTCACCCCATCCCCCAGAGGAGGGCACTTCAACCCCAGTTCGGGTGGCCCGCTCCCCTCCTCTTCCCCCGCATCCTTTGATGGACCCTCCCCTCCCGACGCGCGTGTAGGGGGCCGTGAGAAGAGCCTGTACCACAGCGGGCCCCTGCCCCCCGCCCACCACCACCCGCCCCACCACCACCACCATCACGCCCCGCCCCCCCAGCCTCACCACCACCACGCCCACCCCCCTCATCCCCCGGAGATGGAGACCGGCGGCTCTCCCGACGACCCCCCACCCCGACTGGCTCTCGGGCCCCAGCCCAGCCTGCGCGGCTGGCGGGGCGGCGGGCCCAGCCCCACCCCGGGCGCCGCGTCCCCGTCGCACCACGGCAGCGGGGGCGGGGGCATCGGCTCCTCCCAGGCCCCGGCCCTGCGCTACTTCCAGCTGCCCCCCCGGGCGGCCAGCGCGGCCATGTACGTGCCGGCCCGCTCGGGCCGCGGGCGCAAGGGGCCCCTGGTCAAGCAGACCAAAGTCGAGGGCGAGCCGCAGAAGGGCGGCGGCCTCCCGCCCGCCCCGTCGCCCACGTCGCCGGCGTCGCCGCAGCCGCCGCCGGCCGCCCCGTCGGAGAAGAACTCCATCCCCATCCCCACCATCATCATCAAGGCCCCGTCCACCAGTAGCAGCGGCCGCAGCAGCCAGGGCAGCAGCACCGAGGCGGAGCCCCCCACTCAGCCCGAGGCTGCGGGCGGCGGCGGCGGCGGCGGCCCCTCGGCGCCGAGCCCCGCCCCGGCCATGTCCCCGGTGCCGCCGTCGCCCTCGCCCGTGCCCACCCCCACCCCCACCTCGCCCAGCGGCCCGGCCACCCTGGATTTCACCAGCCAGTTCGGAGCGGCCCTGGTGGGGGCGGCCCGGAGGGAAGGGGGCTGGCAGAACGAAGCCCGCCGGCGGTCCACGCTCTTCCTCTCCACCGACGCGGGGGACGAGGATGGCGGCGACAGCGGGCTGGGCCCAGGGGCGCCCCCGGGTCCCCGGCTGCGCCACTCGAAATCCATCGACGAAGGCATGTTCTCCGCCGAGCCCTACCTGCGGCTGGAGTCCGCGGGCGCGGGGGGCGGCGGCGGCTACGCGGCTTACGCGGCCGGGAGCCGCGCCTACGCGGGCGGCGGGGCCAGCAGCGCCTTCACCAGCTTCCTGCCGCCGCGACCCCTGGTCCACCCGCTGACCGGCAAGGCCCTGGACCCCGCCTCCCCGCTCGGGCTGGCCCTGGCCGCCCGAGAGCGGGCGCTGAAGGAGTCCTCGGAGGGTGGTGGGCCCCCCCAGCCCCCTCCAAGGCCCCCGTCGCCCCGCTATGAGGCCCCGCCGCCCACCCCACACCACCACTCGCCCCACGCCCACCATGAGCCAGTGCTGCGTCTCTGGGGGGCCTCACCACCGGACCCCGCCCGCCGGGAGCTGGGGTACCGGGCGGGGCTGGGCAGCCAGGAGAAGTCCCTTCCGGCCAGCCCTCCAGCTGCCCGACGCTCCTTGCTGCACCGCTTGCCCCCCACAGCTCCCGGGGTCGGGCCCCTCCTCCTGCAGCTGGGGCCAGAGCCCCCGCCGCCGCAGCCCGGGGTGAGCAAGGCGTGGAGGCCGGGGGCCCCCGAGGAGCCCGAGCGGCTGCCCCTACACGTGCGGTTCCTTGAGAACTGCCAGCCCAGAGCCAGTGGGGCGGGGGGAAGGGGACCCCCCTCGGAGGACGGGCCGGGGGTTCCGCCGCCCAGCCCACGCCGCTCCGTGCCGCCCTCGCCGACCTCCCCGCGGGGCGCTGAAGAGAACGGGCTTCCCCTGCTAGTCCTGCCGCCCCCCGCTCCCTCGGTGGATGTGGAAGACGGGGAATTCCTCTTCGTGGAACCGCTGCCCCCGCCCCTGGAGTTCTCCAACAGCTTCGAGAAGCCCGAGTCGCCGCTCACACCTGGGCCTCCGCACGCGCTGCCGGACCCGCCGAGCCCAGCCACCCCCTTGCCCCCCGGGCCACCACCTGCTATTACTGCCGCACCTCCCACCCTGGACTCCACGGCATCCAGCCTGACTTCCTACGACAGCGAGGTGGCCACACTGACCCAGGGGGCCCCCGTGGCTCCTGGGGACGCCCCTCCGCCAGGCCCACCGGCCCCGGCGGCCCCTGCTGCCCCGGCCCCCCAGCCTGGCCCAGACCCGCCGCCGGGCACGGACTCCGGCATCGAGGAGGTGGACAGTCGGAGCAGCAGCGACCACCCCCTGGAGACCATCAGCAGCGCATCCACACTGAGCAGCCTCTCCGCCGAGGGCGGGGGCAGCGCGGGAGGGGGCGGGGGCGCCAGTGTGGCCAGTGGGCCAGAGCTCCTGGACACGTACGTGGCCTACCTGGACGGCCAGGCCTTCGGGGGGAGTGGGGCTCCCGGCCCACCCTATCCTCCGCAGCTCATGACTCCTTCTAAGCTCCGCGGCCGGGCTCTGGGCACCAGCGGAGGACTGAGGCCCGGCCCTAGTGGGGGACTCCGGGACCCTGTCACTCCCACCAGCCCCACCGTCTCGGTGACAGGGGCTGGAACGGATGGGCTGCTGGCCCTGAGTGGTTGCACGGGACCCTCAGCGGCGGCTATGGCCGGGGGTCCGGTGGCTCTCGAGCCGGAAGGCCCGCCAGTGCCCTTGCCATCGGCCTCCTCTCTGCCTCGGAAGCTGCTGCCCTGGGAGGAGGGCCCGGGCCCCCCGCCGCCACCCCTGCCCGGGCCCCTGGCCCCGCCTCAGGCCTCAGCCTTGGCCACAGTAAAAGCCAGCATCATCAGTGAACTCAGCTCCAAGCTTCAGCAATTTGGGGGCTCCTCGGCAGCTGGTGGCGCTCTGCCCTGGGCCCGGGGAGGCAGCGGGGGAAGCGGGGACAGCCACCACGGGGGAGCCAGCTACGTCCCTGAGAGGACCGCTTCCCTGCAGCGGCAGAGGTGAGCCGGGGCTGATGGTTGGTGATGGAGGCCACAGGGGCCAATGCTGTGGGTACCAGAGCCTACCTTCCCCATAGCTGCGTCCTTTGAGGGTCCCAGGTGGCAGAAAGAAAGCAGAAACGAGGCTGGCTTGCAGAAGTCCGTCCTCGGGGAAGCATGCTTTCACAGATAGTTTATCTCAGTAGCTTTTGTGCTCTCTTCCCATCACCATGACAACCCACATCCCATGATGAACCAAAAAAATATTGACAAAAGAGATTGGAGCACAACCTGCCGATGTCTGTTTCCTTGGTGGGCTGTCAGTTCTGACAGTCCCTGAAATCCGTGAGTCCCTTGAACCCGGTGTGGCTCAAGATTAAGATGCTTTAGGGCGCAGTGGTTTGGAGTGTGGGTCTGGAGCCGGGCTTCTTGGGCTTTGGGTCTCAGCCCTGGACTTCTAACTGGGTGACCTTAGGCAGAGGAATCCACCTCTCTGTAGAAGGGGGACGGCGTTAGACCCACCTAAAGGGTTTTTGAGAGGATTAAATATGGGCCATTGTTGTAGCACAAGTTGGGGGAGAGGAGGGGCCTCTTACCAAAGCCCAGGAAGTATGGATGGGAAAATATGGGATAGTGGAGAAGTTTCCTAAAGCAGCTAGCTTAGCCAGGATCGCCACAGAGTTCGAGCTCGTTCAAGCCCTTCTAGTCTTAGGGAAAGTAGAGTCACATTCCTGATTCAGGCACACGGAGAGAGTGAGGAGAGGTTTCTTAATAGCCCTGCCCTTGTCCTTCTGCAGAGTTCACTCTAACTCTGAGGGTCTGATGACCTTATGGTGATATTTGAATGTGGTTTCATCGGGCCTTTGAGATCTTAAGGCGATCGTCTGATTATTTTTAAGTATTCTGGGTGAAGGAGAGGATGCTTAATGTAGGCGACAGGTGCACCAGCTATTGATTTACCACCTGCTGTGCTCTGGGTGCCCTTCTGGGTGACAGGGACCCCATGGGGGACAGGACAAGCAAAGCCCTGCCCTCACGGAGCTCATAGTCTAATGAGGCAGGGATGGGGGATGGTTAGAGATGGCCTCTCAAATAACCAGCAAGATGAGCAGAAACCGGAGGAAGGGAGAGAGCAGATCCCGTGGCTACCTGGGGGAAGTGAGCTAGGCCAAGGGAACAGCCAGTTCAAAGGCCCTGAGGCAGGACTGTTCTGAAGGGCGCTAAAGGGATGAGGGGAACCTTTTTCTCCCCTTGTTTCTTCTCTCTTTCATCTCCCTCTCCTCATCTCTCTCCCTCTCTCTCTCTCTCTCTGTCCCCTGTCCCCTTCCATCTCTCTCCCCTGAACGCTCACCCTCTTTTTGTTCCTCTTTCACCGTCTCCCTGTCTTCCACTCTGCTGTGACTGGCCATAACCCGATAGGCAGTATAGAGTAGTGGTTAAGAGCTCAGACTTTGGTGCCATATAACTGGGCTCTGCCACTTTCTGGCTGTGTGTCCTTAGGCAAGTTACTTAACCTCTCTGTGCTGCTGATAATAATAGTAACCTGCATCAGGGCTGTCATGGGGAATACACTGAGATGCGATATGTAAAGCACTTAGAACAATGCCTGGCACACGTAAGCATCAGTAAGTGGTGGCGATTATTATTATTATCACTTAATGTCTCTTTTTCTTTCATCTCTCTTGACTGTCACCCTCTCCCTGTCCTCTCGTTCTTCTCTCCCTTCATTTCTGTCCTGACATCTGTCTTACCCCCTTGCTCCTTCTATCTCTTCCCATGTTTCTTCTCCACCTCTCTACCCCTGCTCCTGTCTCTCTTCTCTCCCTACGTCTCGACCTCTGCCTCTTTCTCACCCCACCATTGCCCTCCAAACCCCCTTCCTCCACCCCTGCCCCTTTGTCACCTTCCAGACTCTCTGAAGACTCCCAGTCCTCGCTCCTCTCCAAACCCGTCAGCAGCCTGTTTCAGAACTGGCCCAAACCACCTCTGCCGCCACTCCCCACAGGAAGCGGGGTCCCCCCTTCAGCCGCTGCAGCTCCAGGGGCCACCTCACCCTCAGCCTCCTCCTCCACGTCTACCCGCCACCTCCAGGGTGTGGAGTTCGAGATGCGGCCGCCTCTGCTCCGCCGGGCCCCCAGCCCCTCACTGCTGCCCGCCTCAGAGCACAAGGTCAGCCCTGCGCCCAGGCCCTCGTCCCTGCCCATCCTGCCTTCTGGACCCCTGTATCCGGGCCTCTTTGACATCCGCAGCTCCCCAACTGGAGGGGCAGGAGGCTCAGCTGACCCTTTCGCCCCTGTCTTTGTGCCACCACACCCCGGGATTTCCGGGGGGCTTGGTGGAGCCTTGTCAGGGGCCTCCCGCTCCCTCTCACCAACCCGCCTGCTTTCGCTGCCCCCGGACAAGCCCTTCGGCGCTAAACCTCTGGGGTTCTGGACCAAGTTCGACGTGGCTGATTGGCTGGAGTGGCTGGGCTTGGCTGAGCACCGAGCACAGTTCCTGGACCACGAGATCGATGGCTCCCATCTGCCCGCCTTGACCAAGGAGGATTACGTCGATCTGGGTGTGACCAGGGTGGGCCACCGCATGAACATCGACCGGGCTCTCAGATTTTTCCTGGAGAGGTGATGGCTGGCCCGGACGGACCAGCCCGTCCACAGAACCCTTGAGCCTACTGGCCTCTTGACCTCTGACCCCTGGCCGTCATTCTCTCCCCCTGGGCCAGGGACTCTGCTAGAACTGTGCCCTGCCCTCCTCTCCCAAGGCCGGAGGTCACCAGGTGGCCTGAGCCTGGCCAGACATTTGCACCTCACAGGAGGGGGCAGCTGACACAAGACTGTGTGTGGAGCAGGGAGCAGGGGGGAGGTGATGGAGGAGATCACAGAGGGGGATGGAGAAGGAGGGAAGGGTCGGTTCTGGGGAGGGGGAAACAGACAGAGCCATAGAGGGTCAGCCCTGAGCCTGATTGGATGGGGGTTGTCCCCGGCCGCAGGGGAAGGGGGTGCCCTCAGATTCCACCACCTGCCACCCCTCTAACAACCCTTCCCCCCCTCTCCAGGCCCCTGGGCTCTCCCTATGCACCTTCCCCTCTCCCTAGCACACACAGCAGCCCCCGCCCCGGCCTCTTGCACGCTCCTTTGCACGCCTGCTTGCCTCTCCTCTCCCCGGGCTACAATTTTGCACAAATTTGCCCTCTCGCTGTCTTGCACACTCCGCCTTCGCTTCTGGCTCGTGAGGCCCTCTCAGCGCTCAGACACGCCCTGTTTCCCTAGCACACATTGCATCTCTTCTCCCACGTTCCGTACCCTTACTGTCTCAAACTCTCGCCTGTGTACTCTTCCCTTGGTACCCTCTCTTACACACCTCACTCCTGAAAATCTCTAAACCCTTGCTGCAGACACACTTGGGACACCCTTTTCCCTACCCACTCACAAACTCTGTGCGCACATACTTATTCTGTGGAACACACCTGCCTTTATTCAGCTCTTGCACACTTGCTATCCCATGCACCGCTCCTGACACGCTTGTGCCCATCGTCTTTAAGCCTCTCCCCTTCTTGTTCTCGAACCCCCACGTTCTGACTCTCCCCACCTCTCCCTCTCACAGTGACACTCCCACGCCCTTCCCTGCCCCTCCCCTCCTCACGCCATCACTTCTTATCCCGCATCTTGTACACCTGCCTCCCAGGAACTGCTTCTCTCTCAAATGCTCGCTCCCTTCCTCTTTGCCAGGCCCCCACTCCTGCTTTTCCAAATTTGTGTCCTGCTTCATTCTCAACTCTTCTGTGAACTTTCTTGCACCCTCAACTCTTGCACACACGTCCTCCCCAGCACACTTCCGCTGCTCTTGAGGTCATGTTCCTTCTCTAACAATGTTCCTGCACACCATGGCTTTGCTGCACACTCATTCTTGAATTCCTCCTTGTTCTTGTTGGCTCCTCAGTGACTGTTTCCATCTCCCTGGCGGGAACTCGACTGTCTCTCTCCTTTTGCACACTTGTCTCCTAACACACTCTTGGGCTGTACTGTCGTTTCTTTTCCTAGCATCCTTATTTTTTGTGCCTGTGGAGGAACAGGTCTTGCAGACATTCTTACCCTGCCTGTTTTCTCACCTCTTGGACACTCCTTTCTCCTGTCGAGAAGACCCTATGCACACTCCCCTCTTGCTCACCAGGCCTCCACGCTTCCTCTTCTCCCTGCTCCAGTCTGTGACCCACATCCCCCCTCCTCTCACTCTTCCTGGACCATCTCTCCATCCATTTTGCACGAAGATTCCCCCACCCCCGCCCCTAACCTTTCCTTCTCTCCAAGAAACACCTTCTCCCTCCAGCATGGCTGTTCCTTCCTGCACGCTTCCCCCCTCCCTTTATTCCTGGGGCTTGGGAATTTTAAGCCACCCCTTCCCCTGGGAAGCCCCCTCTCCTACTGTGGGTAAAAGGGGGAGGGCATCGCCCTCAGGTCCCCCCCATGTTCAGCTGCCAAAGAAGGGAGCTCCCCCTCCTTTCCCCAAGCCCATTCCCCTTCTGCTGCCCCCTACCCCCGGGGGGGGGGGCGCTCCGTCCATAGGGGGGAGGGTGCTTGCAGCCCTCTCCCCTCACCACGTCAGGGATCTGCGGGGAACCTTGTGGGAGGGTCGTGGGAGGGGGGAGGCGTGGCAAGGAGGGGGCAGAGGTCGCGCTGGGCCCCTACCCGCCCCCTCCCCCTTGTCGGATGCCCCCCGTCCGCAGGGGGCCTGCGCGGCGCCCGTCTATCAAGGGCTTGTTCATTCTGGATGGGTGCCGCGGGGTTGGGGAGGGTGTAGGGGGTGGGGGGGGAGGAGAGGTCGGGGTGGGAGGGGGAAGGGACTGGATGGGGGCAGCGCGGGGCGGAGAGGATAAAGCAAAAAGAGGAACAATAACAAAAGAAAATACAAAAAAAACACAAAACCCTAGAACACATAAAAAAAATCCAGAAAAAAAAAAACCTGAAATAAAAGCCCGAGAATTGTCTTCCAAGGGGGGTGGGAGGAGAAAAGAGGAGGGGGGCGGATGAAGACGTCTGGTTCTCGCTGAGACAGGGATTGGCATGGGTTGAAAGCCCCGGCGCCCGGGTCTTCCCTCTCGCGAGCCTCAGTTCATCTTTCAAGGGATTGGGACCCAGGCGTCCATTTGCAGGGACTGGGGGGAGATGAGGGAGGCGGGATTATATTGTGGGGGTTCATCCCTACCCCCCATCACCTCCCTCCCCCTGACTCCCCACCAAGATTTTGCAGAGAGACATGGCTTTTGTACCAGGTCATTCTTTATAATTAAACTCACAGTATCCACCCCCTCGAGCCGGCCCCGCCTCCTTCCTGGGGAGGCAACGCCCCCTTCCCTCGGGGGTTCCGGGCGGGCCGCCCGAGCCAGCTGGGCGGTGTACGGGCGCAGCCGGGCCCCGCCCCCTAAGTGTTAGTCTTGCTCGGTCGGCTCCGCCCCCAGGGCCTCGAGCATGCGCCGCCGCACAAGGGAGCGGCGCAGGTGCAGGCGGTAATCGGCCAGCAGCAGCTCGTCGTGGCGCACCAGCGGGTGTGCGTTCCCGCGGAGGCGGATGCCGGAGCGCAGCAGACGCGAGCGAGTCTGGAAGTCCGTGACCGTGATGAGCCACCTGTGGGGGGCGGGGCCAAGAGGACAGGGACGGGGCGGAGACCGACGGGAATCGCTGGGGGTCCCAGCCCCTCCTTTGACTGTCGGGGGGTCCCTGCCTGGTCCATGTTCGTTTACCCACTCCGGTTGCTCAACTAGTCGCTCTGTCCCTAAACCCCTCTGCAGTCCTGCCCTCTCGCTGAGGTCAACCCGCACTTCGATCCTTACGCGGGTGATTCTAGGTCCGGTTTTCTCTCAGCCTGGTCCTGTCCCCTAATTGTGGTCTGTCCAGGCTCCATCTCTTCAAACCGCCGCTCCAGGGCTGGGCCCTTCAGTGTGTCTCTCAGGCCTGTGCCCTGATTTAGGTTTCTCCCGGCCTCGCCCCCAACTGCACACTCCAGGCCGCTGGCCCTCCAGATCTCTCCTGGTCCCACCCCCTCAATGTGCTGGGTCCAGGCTCCGACCCCACACCTCGGTTTTATCTGTCCAGGTCACTCAAAGCCTATTTCCTCACCCCAGATCCCGCCTTCTCTCTGATCTCACCTGGCCCTGCCCCCTCACCGCGCTCACTCTCGGCTGGAGCCCCTTCCCGGTTCACTTCACTTCGCTCTCAGCCGGGTGGTCCGGCCCTTGCACCGACCAGGTCCCTCTCCAAACCGCACAGCTTTCCTTTCCCGGCCCCGCCCACTCAGCGCCTTGGCTCCGGCCCCGCCCCTCCCCACCGCGCGCACTAGGCCACACCCCTCACCTCCGCCGCTCCTGGCCCCGCCTCTCGTTACCTAGAGGCCCCGACCCCGCCGCAGTCTCACCTGTCCCGGCGCCCCGCAGTCCCACAGATGACATTCATATTTTCAAAGCGGATGCTGCTCACGCGCCCGCTCTCCATGGCTCCGGGTAACTCGGCCTGCAGAGCCTCCAGCACCTCCAGGTGGGTAAGGTCCTCCTCTGGCTGGAGGAGTCAAGAGAGCGAGCCTCAGCATGTGACACTAAGGTTCAGTCCAGGTTCCCAAGTCCCCACCTTAGACCCACTTGCAGGACCTGCCAGAATCCCAGGTGGCATTTGAGAGGCAAGTTCACACTCCATCTCAGGATCCTATCGCTCTAGTCAAAGCGGGGAAAACAGGTGTCTCTGAGGTAGAAAAGCATCTACCTGTCATTCTAGGTCATTCTCCAAAAAATCACTTCTCACCAAGCCGATTTGCCAATGAATAGTTGGCTTACATGATTCACCAATTTGGCCAATTTTACCCAGCTACCAAAAACTTTTCCAGCAACCTGCACTGGATGGCAGGCTTTGAGCAGCTCTTGAAGATCCCGCAAGGCTTAAAGTTGCACACTTTTCCTTTTATGTTCCTGTTAGCATTTTAAGGAATGTTCAGTTGTAAATAATAATAATAATAAGGATCATAGGGGTTGTGACTTCTTGTCATTCAGAAACATTGACCACTAATCACATTTTCAGCATGAGATTACCATGTGGAAGGTGACATACCATGGTCATAACATATAAAATTGCTGATGAACTAGGATGAAATCATGCAATTGGTCACCTCCAGGAAGGCAAGCTGTGGATGTGTGTGGCGGGGGGAGGAGGGGGGTCCCCTGTTCAGAGCCACAAAGAAGAGGAGGGATGCGCTGGGAATTGGTTCCCGTAACAAGGACAACAATCTCTGTGTTGGGCTAAAGTCACTCAGATCAGCTGAGGAGTACCTCTGAGGCCTTCCATGTACCTGGCACATGGAAGCATCCCATTAAGGCGCTTTTAATTTACTAGCGAGAACCTAGTAGATACCTCCTCTGACTGATGGTAGACATTACCAATGGATTTGTACACTGAATGACCAGTTCACAGAATCTGCCCAAAACGGGCTTTATCCTGAGTCTTTGCTATATTTGCAAACTTTACAGAATTTCATGGTAGATGAATTAACAGGACTCCCTGTGTCCTCAGTCTCCCTGCTCTCTACCTTTCAATCTCTGCCCTTCTCTACCCCTCTTTCTCCCCCTCTCTCTGCCTCTCTGGGACCAGCAGTGATCAAAGTGACGATTGGTCCTTTGACAAATTCATAATCAATTTTTAGCAACCTAGAACCTGGTGCCAAGCCCACGGCTGGTAAGCCGCAGAGCCTAGATGTAAACCTCATTTCTGAGCTGGTTCCCTTTCTAGCCTCCCACCCAAATTGTGAAGAAGCTCGGGGTCCGAGGTCACAGGGGCAGGTGCAGGAGGGCCACTCACTGAGGTCTCCATGCACAGACAGAGAGGCTGGGCAGCGGGTGGTGTGGGGAACTTCCGGATGCACGGGAGCTCTCGGTCCAGCGCCTCATATTCTGCAATGACCTGACGTAGGTACTGCTTCCTGGAGAGAGAGAGAGCGGGCAGGGCACTCCAAGGTCAGGGGTCGCCATCATCGCACTCGGGGGAGGGGGGAGCTGAAATCAGAAGTCATGGGGCCAGGGGCTACTCACGAGGATCTGACAGGCCTGCCTGAGCTCCGGGCTTGTATCTCCTCTGGGGTCTCTAGGTCCACAAGGAGGGCTCCTGGGGATGAAGAACTCAGTGTCAGCTGCCCTGAGCACTCCTCAGACATTATTCGGCCTAAATGGGCATCCTGAAGTGTTGTCCATGCCACTAGCTGAGAAGCTATTGCCTCTCAGCTCTGAACAACTCCCTTCTGCACCCACTCTGTGATCTCAGGGCAGGGGACCCTACCAACCCGGGTTCTGTTCCTACAGCTGGGTTCCTGTTAGGCCCTGCCTGAAGGGGGCGCTAGAGAGAGGTTGCAAGGCCGGAGGAAGAGGAAGGGACTTGCCTCGCTTTGCTTTCTATTCCAGTCACCCCAGCCGGGCAGCAGCCTTTGAATCCAGTGTGTGGTTTTCCCAAAACTCTCAGAACCAACCTCCTGATTGCAACTAGGCTGATAAAAGCTGCCAAATCTGAGGTGTTCTAGGCAACTCCTCCGACTAACGGGTCTCACTTACGGCCAACTGCTAGTTACCCCACATAATCCATTTTCCCCCTCCTCTACAATCTTACAGTCTGATCCAGCACACAGCTGGCCGCCGGGCTAGAGATAACATCCCTTGCAGCTGTGTGTGGCCGTGTGACCGAGTTCTCACCAACAGTGTTAGGGGAGTGAAGGGTGCAACTTTGGAGTCATTTGTTTAAAAGAAGATGGCTTGGGGCGCCTGGGTGGCTCAGTTGGTTAAGTGACTGCCTTCGGCTCAGGTCATGATCCTGGAGTCCCGGGATCGAGTCCCGCATCGGGCTCCCTGCTCAGCGAGGAGCCTGCTTCTCCCTCTGACCCTCCCCCTCTCAAGCTCTCTCTCTCTCTCTCATTCTCTCTCTCAAATAAATAAATAAAATCTTTAAAAAAAAAAAAAAAAAGAAGATGGCTTGTCTTTGACTTGTGGCCCCCTCCCTTGTACTGGGATGTGGATGTAGCAACGAGCCAGCTTCAGCCTTGCTAGAGCAACAATATGGAGGGAATCCGGGTCCCTGAGTCATCTCATGGGGCTGAGATGTCCTACCAATGCAGACCACCTGCCTCCTGTCACATGAGAGCAATACACTCTCTTCTTCATGCCATTGTGTTTGCGGGTGTCTCTTTGTTACAGCAGATGAACAAAGAGGAAAGCAGCCATTGACAGCCAGGGCTCTTTATGTCGGACATAAACAATTTCACAGAACACCCACATCAGCCAAGGCCACCCCGTGACCATGACAGACCAAGATAAAAATAAGAGTGGATTGGGTGCCTGGATGGCTCAGATGGTTAAGCGTCTGCCTTCGAATCAGGTCATGATCTCAGGGTCCTGGGATCGAGTCCCGCATCGGGCTCCCTAATCCTTGGGAGCCTGCTTCTCCCTCTGCCTCTCTCTCTCTCTCTCTGTCTCTGTCTCTCATGAATAAATAAATAAAATCTTAAAAAAAAAATAAGAGTGGAGTCATGTCTCAACACCACACAACACGAACACCGTCCAAACCACAAAATGACCAAACATCCTCCCCTTGGTTCAGAGCTGATGCTGCTTCTTCCCCACCCACAACGTTCGCTCCATTCATCCCTCCTGCGTCATAGACTTGCCTCCCCTTTCTGCCAGCATGCGATCCAGAGCAAAGCCTGCTTCCCTGAATCCTCCCAAAGTCACCTAACCCAGCAGCTCCCATAATAATAAGTCCTCCCTAACACCCTCCGACTAAGACATGCCATGTGTTACGGACTCCCTGAGTACACAAGTCAATAAACTCAGCGGTGTGCTGGTAAATGTTTAATTAATATCACTCTGTCTCTCTCTCTTACACACACGCACACACACACGCACAGATTGTAACATTTGCCAGTTTTCATACTGTCAGTACTCCCACCATGACCAATTTCATGCTCCCCACAGTTTTAACAACCAGCTTGCAAAATTTAACAATCGGCTCTTGTGAGCAGATACAGGCTGTCTCCGGCACACAGCTATGTCACAGCTAAGCTCCTGGCGGTCTTTGACTCAGCTTGTACCATAGTAAGTCCCCTGCTCTTGTCCCCGTCCTCCCACCTCCCATCTGTTTCCACGGGGCAGCTGGGGTGATCGTTCCATCATAGCGCCCCATGTTTGCAAACCACCAGTGGCTTCCTCTTGCCTTCAGGACCCAGTCCTTCCTGAGGTGGGGACTCGCTCCTCAGTGTGTGATCTGGGGAACAGTACCTTATTTGAAATACAGCATTTTGGTGTGAGGGAACTGGTATAATAGGAATATTCTATGCTTCACAGTGTTTGGGTGAGATGAATCTAGGCATTTGTCAAAACCGACTGAAATATATTTAAGATCTCTTTGTTTTATGTATGCAAATTGGAAAATAAATTGAAACAAAAAAAGAAAGAGTCACAGCATTTTGGGGTCCACCCCAGCCCTACGGGATCAGAATCTGCATTTTAACAAGGTCCCCTTTGAGAAGCACCTGCCCTGCGTGTGGTTGCCCCTGCTGACTTCTCTGATCATTTCTTCCAGCTATACTGGCTTCCCCTACATCCTTCCAACACAATAACCTCCTCAAACCTGCCCACGTAACAATAATAATAACTGTATGTTTACAATCCCTTTTTAAAAGCCAAGCCCTTGGGGTGCCTGGCTGACAGTTGCAAGCAATTCTTGATCTCGGGGTTGTGAATTCAAGCCTCACACTGGGCGTAGAGCTTACTTTAAAAATAAAATAAAAAGCCAATCACTTTCAAAGGTGTTTTCCATTGCATCCTCACAACAACTTTCCGAAATAGTGCAGTTTAACAAATGATGAAACAGAAGCATAGAGAGATTATGTGACTTGCCCAAGGTCACGCAGCCTTATGTGATAGAATTAGGATGAAAATCTAGGCATCTGGATCCAGACTCTGTGCTCTCAATCTCCCTAGTCTGCTGCCTCTCACCCCACTCTTGTCTAGACCAACTGCCCTGCCCTCCAAGAGCTCCCGGTCTGGTGGGGGAAGCAGTCAGTAAAGGGCAATAGAAGCTACAGTGGACATGTCACGAGGTGAAGGCGAAGCCTAGCCTAGGGGCAATCAGGAAAGGCTCCTTGGAGGAGGTAGTGTCCACAGTGAGACCCAGAGAATAAGGAGGAGCTTGCCAAATAAAGAAATGGCGGCAGGGGGTAGGGTGCCTGGATGGCTCAGTCAGTTGAGCGTCTAACTTTTGATCTCAGCTCAGGTCTTGATCTCAGGGTCGTGAGTTCAAGCCCCACATTGGGCTCCACGCTGGGCGTGGAGACTATTTAAAAAAAAAAAAAAAAGGAAGGAAGAAAAAGAAATGGCAGGGAAAAGGATGTTTATGCAGAGGACCACCAGGGACTAAGGTCTTTAAGCAAAGAGAATATGGTCATCTGCAGCAACTTCTCAGAATTCCCTTCAGCCCCAAGACTAAGGCACAATTATTGCATTTGTAGGTTATTAATTATTTGTGAGACAGTGTGTTTCATGTCCGCCCTCCTTGCATGGGAACAGACTGGATCATTTCATTCATTGGGCACCATAGGCAAAACACTGGGGACCCATGGGTTTTCTGATGGCTGACACCAAAGTTTGCACTCTGGTAAATTAAAAATGTTACTGGTTCAAAAGTACCACAAAGCCGCCACAAAACTGAAATATTGATCTACAAAACTGGCCAACTCAGTTCCACTCAACTTGTCTGGATCTCTATGTAAATTATATTTATCAGATGGGTGCCTCAGTCTAGCTTAGGGATGATGTGGGGCAGAGATCTCCAAAAGGAAGAGGTCTTCAAAGACTCTAAAAAGAGACCTGAGAACCGGGGCGCCTGGGTGGCTCAGTTGGTTAAGTGTCTGCCTTTGGCTTAGGTCATGATCCTGGGGTCCTGGGATGGAGCCTCTCTGCTCAGTGGGGAGCCTGCTTCTCCCTCTCTTGCTCGCTATCTCTGTGGCTGTCTCTGTCTCTCTCACATAAATAAATAAAATCTTAAAAAAAATAAAAAAATAGGGCGCCTGGGTGGCTCGGTTGGTTAAGCGACTGCCTTCGGCTCAGGTCATGATCCTGGAGTCCCTGGATCGAGTCCCGCATCGGGCTCCCTGCTCGGCAGGGAGCCTGCTTCTCCCTCTGACCCTCCCCCCTCTCATGTGCTCTCTCTCTCTCATTCTCTCTGTCTCAAATAAATAAATAAATAAAATCTTTAAAAAATAATAAAATAAAAAATAAAAGAGACCTGAGGACAGAAACGGTATCTATTTTGCCACAAGGTCATTTGCCTTACCTGACATAGCACCCCGCACAGAGTAGGTATTTGTAGCGGACATCGAGAAAGGATACCCACTCAGCCATTCCCATTCCCTTCTTCCCCCATTTGAGGAGGGTCCATGCAACTCAGGAGAGGCTCACCAATCTCATCTCCTCAAAGGTTATCCCATGCAGCTTAAACCAGTGCCTTCCAACTCCTACTGTTCATTGCAATCACCTGGCCAGCATTCACAAGATATAGATGCAAGGACCCAAATCCTAGAGATTCTGGCTAAACTGGATCTGAAGTAAGGTCGGGTATAGATTCTTTTCAATCCTTTCACTTGATGTGTAGCCAGAGTTGAGGACCGCTGATGAAAATAATCATGATTATCTTCTTTTTGCCAGGTGTTGAGACAAGAGTGACTGGGTGACTGAGTGCTGGCCAGTAAGATGTTAGGAGAGATCATTTAGGGGTTCTGAAGGTGAAGACCTCTGCAAGTGATGCCTGGGACTGTGGCAGCCATTTTGTGGTAAGCAAGCTGGTGTGCAAAGGAGACACATCCCAGGCCAAAAGGCAGCGAAATAAAAGCTGGGTCCTCAACCAAACCCAAACCATGCCCCACTTCTGGGCTTCTTTTTGGGTGATAACGGTTCTCCTATTCTTTATACTGCACTAAGTCCAATTTCTATTACATGCTAGCCAAATGCATCCTCACCAAGATGCTACTCAATAAATGCTGACTGAGTAAATGAATGAATGAATGAATGACCCTACTGAAGTAGAGTGCAGGTAGGGAGCCCTGGAACGTGAGGTGGCAGACCACACAGGGTCTGAGGCTGAGGGGCTGGGACTCTATCCTGGAAGTAATGG